AGGGAGAGAGACAATGAACAGAAAAACAAATAAATTTACTTAATTTACTTACAATTTAATTACAGGGGCTCTTAAGGGTAATGAGGACAAATAAAATAGCATAAAGAGCCGAACCTGATGGGAAGTATTATTTTAGAGAAAACTCAAGGCAGAGAGAGTATTTGAGCCGAGATGGGGAGGCAGTGATGGGGGGCCACAAGAGAAGAGAGAGAAAGGAAACTTTGAGCTTTTTGGCCTGAGCAAGAGGATGAACATGACATTTACTATGCGTGGGAACACAGGGAAAATGCACATTTGTGGGACCACTAAGAATTCTGTTTTATACATGTGAAGTCTGAGAGGTCTTTAAACCTAAAAGTATAGGTGTTAGGAAGACAACACGTTTAAAACCATATTAAATGCCAGGGAAGGATGTGTGAATATGGGAGTTGTCGGTACTCGGGGGTCATTTGAACCAGGAATCCAGACATATGTGTTTCCTGTGCTGGAGTAGCTTGCTGAAGACTCATGCTCCCAGGAAAAACAGATTAATAGGGAAATAAGATTTTTTTTCAAAACCGGCACAACATCATCAGATAGCTGCCGGGCAACTAGGACTGGAGTGGGCAGATGCCAAAAGGCGGAGAGCCAGAGTGGGGAGCCGAAAGCATTTATCTGATTTTTGCCTTTTGGCCTTGGTCTGTAATGACATGAGGGAGTGTGGAAATCCAGGCGTGGGGAGGTTTGGGCAGAGTTGTTGCTAAGTGACAGAGAAGGGCGCAAAACAAAATGCCAAAATTGAAATTTGTGGACGGCCAGGGAGCCAGGATTCAGATGGTCAGTCCTGCAGAGGAGGAGGCAGAGGGCGAGACCTCAGCTTCTGGCCGGGTTTCTCTGGCTTCTAGAGGCATTTGCCAATGTCTCAGGCTGCGTAGGGGACAAAGAAGTCAGGCAGAAAGCCTCTAAAATATCCCATAGCCTCTCAGGGCTAAAGAGGAAAACATCGAATCTCAAGATCCAAAAAAGCAGAGGGACTCAGGAGATCGGCAAGTGCCTCTTGGAGGCTCTCCCGGTCGGAAAGCCCCGCGGCCCCTTCCCCCTTCGACCACAGGGCTCCGCTCCTGTCATCTCCCTTGGCTGCCCAAGTGTGCACGGCAGATGCCACATGAGCCACCTCCTTCCACGTGCCCTCACCTCACCTGAGAAGGTGGCTCTGACATGGCAGGACCTCAGCGTCTGCGGGCCGCATGTCTTCTGAGCCCACCGGAGGACACCAAACACATGGTTATTTAATTCACTCAAAAGGGTCCATTTTCACAGCCCTCCACATGTCTTCTACACTCGATATATGCCAAGTCAGCGTCCTCCGATGGCCCAGGACTCCTGTTGCCTTCTGAGCTCCTGGTCCCCGTGGTCTGTCTCATCGTTTCGTCTTCTGCCGGCCCGGCCTATCTGTGCACCTCGCCGTGGCCCCAGTGCTCCGCATGGGAGGGTCGCAGTCTGCAGATTGGTCCCCCCTTCTTGGCCCTGACCCCGCTCCCCGTCCCCAGGACTCCTGCCTCAGGCGCGGCAGCTCGGTGCCTCCCCAGGACCGTGGCAGGCGCCGCCCAAACGCCCGGCCACGCAGCTCACTCGCGGCTCAGGACGCCCACAGCTCCCCAGTGCAGGGCAGCTCTCAAAGCCTCCTGTTCAGACTTTCCCCCCAGTCTTGTTTCTAGGCGCACCCATCGCTGCCCTCTGCGCCTGCCCTTCGCCTCGTCTCTGCTGGCTCCTGGGTGGCCTGGGGGGACCCGTGGCCACCCTGTAAAACCCAGAGTCACTAGGGGAGAGCAATTCCCCCCGCGCCCAGGCGGAGTGCAGGGTGGAGAAGAACGCTGGGGCGGCTCAGGACTTGGCAAGGCAGAGTGGGAGGACCGAGCCATGTGTCCAGGGGTGGTGTTTGGGCGAGGGAAGGCGGGTAGAAGTGGCACTCATGCCATGGATTTGCTGGTTCCGGCCCTGCCAAGGCCCCTTTTGGTGTGAAGCAACCCCAGATTCCTCACACAGCTGAGGAGAAGGAGGCTCCCAAGTTGTGTGGCCTCCTCAGGACACAAGTGGGCAGGGGCAGGGCTCCTTGCGGTCCTGGGCCTCCAGGCTTTCCTGACACGCGCTGAGGGCCTACTGGTTGGCAGGTAGGCGGCCTGCACCGCCACTCCCCCAATCCAATGTTCACTCTACTTTGTCCCCCTCCTTGAATACCCTGAGCACCATCACTGGCACCAGCCAGGCGAGGACACGTGTGGCGCTCCTTCCCAAGGTTCCAGGTGGGTGGGTTTCCCTCTGAACTCATGGGGCAAATATACCCCAAACCAACCAAGTGCCCGTGGGTGGAACAGGCTTTTCCTTTCATTCCACCTGGAAACCTACAACTGAGAACTCTGAGGAGAGGAGCCTGAGCCAGGCTCCTGGATCACTTTGCTTTCAAGTTCGAGTTCCTCTCTTTCTCTCTGTCTTTCTTTTTGTCTCTTATGTCCTCTCTCGTGAAGGAAAAAGGGGCCACATACTCAACCTGACAAACTCAGGAGGGGCCCACAGGTCGGACACTTCCAGGATAGTCCGCCAACAGGAAAAGTGAAGCCCGGTCCTTTCCCTGGTGAGCTCAGGACTTGGAAAAGGACAACAGAGTCGGCGCACGTTAAATATTTGCTGAATAAATGGAGAATCACGGGGCCGAGCCTGGGGCCAGAGGCACACAGTCTAGAGTCACGAGAAATGATGAGCATGAATGTTTGCAGGGAGCAGGGGCCTCACTTCTGCTTTTGCTTCTCAGGGCAGAAAACAGGAATGGCTGGCCTTGGACTCTCCCTGTGCCCCGCCTCAGGTCTTCGGTGTCTCTGAGAAAGGAGGTCCTGGCGCCCCAGGTTTTGTGTCTGCTGCCCAGAGGACACATCCCCTGACAGCCTGACTCTGGTGGCCAGTGGGGCTTGTGTTCACAGTTCAATGGGACAGTAGCAAAGGAGCAGTTCTTAACTGGCTGTGCCCCCAGAGCTCAGCTCGGAGGGAGCAGACAGGACTTCATCTCCCAGTCTTCCCCTGACAGAGGTGGGTTTGCAGACTTTTTAAACCGGGGACCTGTGTAATAGTGTCAACAATCAATGAATCAAGCAATCAATCAAAGCTGAGGGTTTGGCTCCCTGAATCTCAGTGCTGTGTGAGATCCTCCCCTTTGACACACTGACAGGCCTCGGTGCACTCTCGCTGCTTGGACAGTCACAAAGGTCTGAGGACCACCGAGAGCGGGGGCGGGCGCACCGTGCGCTTGGCCTCCCGCAGGAGGCCACTCCCGCAAGCCCGGGTGAGGCGGCCGCGGTCTGCCACTCAGACACCGACACCGAGAGCCCAGGAAGGTGAAGAGACAGGGGGATAAGTTCCCAATTAAAAGACAGACAGGGTAAAACCTCAGAAAATGACCTAATGAAGTGGAGGTAAGTGATCTACGAGGGAAAGAGTTCAAAATACAGACCATAAAGGTGCTCACGAAGCTCAGGAGAAGACTGGGTGAACACGTGAGAACACTCGCTTACCTGCAATGTTGCTTTCACTCGCATTTGTGGTATCAACACAGGGGCCCATAGGCTGCAGACAGGTAGAGTGAAGAACCCTGAACACTGGAATGTTAGTTGAAGAGAGAGCGGGACACCTAAAGAGACTTTCTGAGAGACGGTCAGGTTGAAATGGTCGTCCTCGCCTTACTGAGGGTAAGAGCCCGTGGCAACCCGAGAAGCAGGCGTAGTGTTCGATGTGCTGGACCCTTAGAGCTGGAAAGGAGCTGGTCGCCGGGTTTCAGTCCCTTGTGTCATTTGCCCACATATGACCATATTTGAAGAAAAAGTTCAAGATCTAATAAATTCAAACATAAACTGTTTGTTGGTATCAAAGGTAGTGAATAGTTAACAGCTTGTTCGTTCACTTGAATTATGTAAACCAAAACATAGAGATTTTATTTTAAGTCTATAATTGGTAAACTGAAAGACTTCGGGAGAACTGGAATCACTGATATAACAGATACCATAGACTCCCTTTCTCTCTCTTTAAACCACTGTTTTTTTCCTTTAAATCCCACTTTCTTCCAAACAGTTCTCTGTGAACCTAATTCAGCAGAATGAAAAACATGGTTTCTTGTCATGGCACAGTCTGTGTTTTACGGGAGTGTCACCGTGAAGAGTCTTCCATTCTAAATCCCAAGATGGAGGCCGTCTGATGGTCCCTGACAAGCCCAACCTGGTTTTAGACAATGGAGTAGATAACATTGTAGAAAAGCTGGTACTTCTGAGAACACTGCTATGGGTCAGACTGGGAGCAGGGTTTAGGGAAGGAGTTGTTACCACTGAGCCTCACAGAAGGACTCCTCTAGAAAATGCTGGAGTCCTTTGTCAGGTTCTTGGGAGAAACGCTCCGGGTCCCAGAGAAAGGCGCCGATGGTACGAACCATCTTAGGCCAGGCCTGCGCCATCAGCATGAGCCTCCATGGAGCCTTCAGCTCAGCCCGACCTTTCCCCTCCCACTGGAAAGTTAAATGTGCACAGATGGGGCTGCGTTGGGGCTGGGAGACAGGCCCCGCTGGCCAGATGCGACGCCCCAAAGTAGACACACCGATGCGAGAAGCAGATTCCCTTCCCTGGTTGTTTGGAGCCTAATGCCACATAGAGGCTTGAATTTGATGCAGGTGTGTTAGCTGGAATTCCCTAGCGTCCTGACAAGTTCACCAGCAACCGGAGCCGCCCCAGGTCCTGCACTTCCAGTTAAAAGAGGATGCGTTGATGGCATTGAAATGATGACCCCTAACAAGCTGGGCTCTGGCTCCGGGGCCGCGGCGGCAGAGGCCAGGCTGTGGGGCGGCGCACCTGCAGCCTGTTTCCCTTGGAGCCAGATGGGCTGTAGGTGGGAATCCTCCCAAGTGCAGCAGACTTGGGCCCACCCTTTAAATTCAGAGCAACCTGTAGAGGAGAAAGGAGAGTGGACGTGGGTTCAGGCCACGCACGATGGAGCTCCAGTTGCCTGAAATACCGTTGTTGAGAATCTTCTCCTTCCTGGATGCATTCAGCTTGCTACAGGTTTGCCAAGTGAACAAGGTGAATGTTCTCCCCGCTTCGCTGCTCCGTCTCAGTGGACCACACCCGTCCACCTGGTCAGCGCCGGCATAAGGCTCTCCCTCTTGCCTCCCTCCCTCAGACTTGGGACCTTGCTACCCCAGCATCACCCCCACACAGTGTTCCTTCCCTCACTTTTTAAGTTTACGTTGTCTAGGCCTGCCCGTTCAGGTCTGACCTACCTGTCCACATCCTTGGGAGCGAGCTGTGTCTTGACCAATTTGAGGACCCACCTGCACAAGAACAGTGGCTCACTGAGCGTTGGGGGTTAGCATCCTTCCCTCTGAGAGCCTCGTGCTTTGTTGAATGAAAATGACAAACAAGTACAGGAGTTGTGCTGTCTAAATGTTCTTGAAGCTCCCATATTGATCCTAAGAAATCCACTCTGACCTTTCCCAGGAATACCCTGTGCCGGCAGTGATGGGTGTCCGCTGGGACCCTGTCCCACTGCCCCAGACGGGGAGGGCGTGGAGGCTGGGATGGGGGCAGGTTAGCCCAGAACAAACGATAGCAAAGGAGGAGCCAATGTTTGGACACCAATTGCCTGCTTCTCTCTTCCTTTCTCTCCTCAGTACTGGAATAAGGTTGCAGAGAACGATCACCTGTGGAGGTAAGGAAAAGGGTGGGGGGACTGGGGTCCCGGGGGAGAGGAGGATGTGGGGCTGCGCTGTGGGAGGCGTGAGTGGAGGCTGCGTGAGCGGGGGGTCCCCGTGGTGCACCTGTGTTGCGGAGGCGGCAGGCAACCTGACGGAATCTTCACTCCTTCCAGAAACCTGTGTCTGAGGAAATGGAGCTTCCCCTGCCTCTCCAATTTGTGCCCACATGTGCCAACATGGAAGCAGTTCTTCCTCAGCCAAACGAGGCATGAGCGCCGGATGGCATTGGCAGAGCCTGAGGACTTTGTCTACAAGGAAGGAACTGGCAACCTTGGTGTGGGGACAGGGTGATGTCATTAGCTTGTTTCAGGAAATTCACTATAGTTTTGTTTTTTCGGGGGGGGGGGCGGTGTTCTCATCCAGTGAAGAAAAAGGGAATTAAAACTTAATAGGACTGGCCCTGGCCAGGTAGCTCAGGTGGTTAGAGTGCTGTCCCAATATGTCAAGGTGAAGGGTTCGATCCCCAGTCAGGGCACATAGGAGAATCACTCAATGAATGCACGAAGAAGTGGAACAACAACGAATCAATGTTTCTCTCTGCCTTTCTCTCCCTCTTCTTCTCCCTCCCCCTCTCCCTTCCTCTCTATATAAAATCAACAACACAAACACTGATCTCCCTGCTTCCTTCCTTCTCTGGCTGCATGGAGAAACCAGAGCCATCTTTTCACAACATAACATCAGGCCTGTTGCTCCCTGTTCCCAAAGGCTCCCCATCCCCCTAGAATAAAAACTTTTAAGAAAAGGAAAGGTTTAAATAACAGTTCTAACACTCTATTTCTGATACCTCTTTTAAAACGCAGAACAGAAAGTGATGCTCAATTGACAACAGGAACAAAGTTCCTGTTATTTTTATCCCCATGTTATACAGAAACTGAAATTAAGGAAGAAAAACAGATTGGCCAACGTGTTCCAAATGGCCAGTCACACACATGTTTGAATGACTCTGAAACCCAATTTCCATCCTGTTGTCTCCATAAAGGTTGCAAGAAAACTTAATCTTCCCAGGATTCTTTATTTAATTGGATCATTCCTCAACTATCTGGTGGCCAAGTATTGTCTGTGTTGCCTTCTAGGGATCTTGGGACATATGGCTTATCTCTCAGAAAGTTGTCAACCAATGGGTGGACAAGAGAAGTCACTCCTTTGCACAGTGTCTTCAAAGCGCATGCTCTATGTCTGGGATGTGCAGGAGGTGAGTCTGGCCAATGAGGAGCACAGGTAATGCATACCTATGCCCATCCAGTTCCAAAGGTAAAGCAAAGCAAATGCTAGGAGGAAAGTGATGCTCAACTGATAACAGAAACGAAGTTTCCAATCAGGCCTTCTAAGTGATAATCTGTGACCTTTTTATTTAGACTATAGACCCATAGAAAATTCACTTTTGAATATGTGTTTCTATATATAAACTTGCACAAGGACTTATTGGCTGCTGGTAATGTGGGGTGACTTTGTAAAATAAATGATCTTTTGGCCTTGCGCATCTTCATTACCTACTTCAGTCTCTTTGTCAACAATTGGCATTTGTTTTATTGCCTCTTTCAGGAAGTGGTCTCTACCTCCGACCACCTCCAGGGGGCACAAAGCTTGTCTTACGTATCAGGACCAGCACGGGCAGTGCGCAAAGCAACAGAGGGGGAGGCAGGAGGTTCCAAGTGGGACCCAAATGATTGTGTTATCTTGATTTGTCCTGCTTGAATTTCTCTCTCTTCCCCATAAAAATCAGAAAATGATTCTCTGTAACACAGGGTCTCCTGATCCACGATAAACACCCTTTTGGAATATATGAGGTGGCAGGGAAATGATAAGATGAAATTCTAGAAGTGTGCTCTTAACATTAAACTTACACGATGTTACATGTCCATTACACCTCAATAAAGCTGGGGAAAGGAAATTAAAAGGGTGCTGTCTTGGATAACTTGCTGTAGGGGAAACCAGTCACCATGTCCCCAAGGACATCCAAGCAGCCGGATGGACAGGGACGCAGGGCAGAGGATGCGAGCCCCCTGCCGCCAGCCGGCACCACCTCGCAGTCATGTGAGCGAGCCCTCCTGCAGGCGAAGCTTCTGGCCCGGATGAGCCGTCAGATTATTGCATCCCCGGCTGACATCTTGCTGCAGGCTAACAAGGGACCCTAAACCGCAGCCACGCGGTAAATCCACCTTTGAATTTTTGACCAACAGGAGCTGTGGGAGGTAAGAGTTTATGCGTGAAGCTGCCATGCAATTTGTTATGCAGCAATAGACAACAAACATAGCGTTTAGTGCCTGGAAGTGAGGTGCTGCCACAGCAAAACCCTAAAATGTGGAAGAGGCTTTGGAATCAGGTGATGATGGGCAGAAGCTGAGAAGACTCTGAGGAGGATGCTGGGCCTTAAAGGGACTCTCAGCGAAAACCAAATGGCCTGCCATGCAGTGGCCAGTGAGGACCTAAAGGGAAATCTGAAAAATGTTGTTGGACCTTGGAGGAAAAGGGACCCTTGCTACATAGTGGCAGTAAGTGTAGCAATGCTGTCACCCATGGTAATGTGAAAACTAGGAAACATATCTAATGAGTCGAGGGATCTCACTACAGCGATCCCCAGGCAGAGTGCTGAACGCTGGTGTCCTCTTGCTGCTTACAGTAAAATGCAAGAAAAGAGGGTGAGGATGAAGTAAGGACTGTCAAACAACATGGAACCAAGGATTGCTAGTTTCGAAAATTCGCAGTCTTTCTAGATGACAAATGATGCTAAAATTTCAGAAATGGAGTCTAAGCAAGATCAACCCAAGTCAACATCGATCGATGATACTATAAAGTTGCAGCAAAAATTCTTTGTTAGACCACAGAAAGATCTAAGGAAGTGCCTCAGAGAACTGTTCACTCAAGCAATAGGTCTTCTAAAAAGTTTTGTGGCGGGGGGGGGGCTTCTAAAAAAATTGTTTTTTATTTTCTGGGGAGAGAGAGAGAAGGAGAGAGAGAAATCTGTTGTTTCACTTATTCATGCATTCATTGGTTGATTCTTGTACGTGCCCTGATTGGAGATTGAACCTGCAACCTTGGCGTATGGGGGTGGCACTCTAACCAACTGAGCTACTCAGCTGGGGCCTGAGAACTTCTGAAAAGTTTAAGGCATTATCCTCAGCAGCCCCAAGAGGAGCCCAAGGTATCAAAGCATTTATTTATCTCAAAGACTTATGAGTGTGGCTCTTGTCTAATGATATAAACTCCAGTAAGGTTCTTGGGAGAGCCACAAAATTTTGGAGAGAATTATATTGGCAGAAACACTGCCAGCTTGGGTTTAAAGGGGCTGAGGAGACAAAGAAGAAGGAGACTTTTGAATGCCAAAGTTTTATAGTCAAGAAGCAGGCTGTAAAAACTACTCAGTTGCAAAATTAGGCCACCGTGAATGGAAAGGGAAGGATGTCTCAGAAACAGAACCAAGAACCTGGAGACAGGAGCCTACAGGCACGAAGAATTCTTCCCCGGTCTTGAATCCTAACCAGCAACCTACCAGATGTTCTCTATGGGACTTCAGTTTTTTCGTATAGCGGCCATTCCTCATTGCTTCCCTCTCTCCCATTCTCCATTTCCTCCTTTTTGGAACGAGAGTGTCTATAATGTTATCCTGTGCCTGGGGAACAATGTGTATATTTAGTTCTAAGTTTTTCATATCAAGATGAACTGAATCTAAAGAGCCCCCTTTGTACTTGAACCTAATTCAACAGTGAGTTCCTATCAGGGGTGTCCAACACGCAGCCCATGGGCCACATACAGCCCAGGTTGGCTATGAATGTGGCCCAACACAAAATCATAAATTTACTTAAAACATGAGATTTTTTTGTGTGATTACATGTCGCACTGTGTTTAATGTGTGGCCCAAGACAACTCTTCTTCCAGTGTGGCCCAGAGTTGCCAAAAGGTTAGACACCCCTGTTAAGACTTTGAGATGAGGCTGTAATCACCTGAGATAGTTGAGGGCAGAGGGAGACAGTGAGTGCATTTTGCATATGGGAGGGGCATGAACACTGGGGGCTACAAGGCCGACAGCCTTAGCCAGCCTCCGAGGGGGCCCTTAACATTCCTTGTCCCATAGTATTAATGATCTTATGTCGTCTGCTCCCACATTGAATAAAGCTAAACAATAGGATGTTGTAGAAACGATGGTGTGTAACTTGTGAAGTTATGTCATAAGTGACACGTGCTCTCTTTTGAGTCCTTGGCTCTTAGAAAGCCGCTCACAACATTATGAGCACAGGACACCGAAGAGCCCTAGAGAGAGGGCTGGGTGGTGGGTGCTGGGGCCTCCTGCTGGCAGCCAGCACCGACTTGCCAGCTGAGGGAGTGAGTCACCAAGGTGCAGCTCGGCTTCGACCTCCTAAGAGAACCTGAGCCAGGACTGCCCAGCCAAGCTACACCTGAATTTCTAAGGAACAGGCTGTGAGATAAAAATGTATTGTTGTTTTAAGCTACCCAGTTTAGGGATGTTTTATTACACAGCAAAAAATAACAACACAGGCAACCTGTTTAGAGTTAGGAATCAAAATAGCGATTCTATTCGGGGAAGGCGGAAGGGGTAGGAAATAGAACAAACAACAAGGGGGCTTTAAGAGGGCACAGAAGGAGTTAATATCGATCACTTTGTAATAACTTCTTAAACTTAACAATTATGTTTGTGTTTTTTTTCTTTGATCTATTTTACAATTGTAATGAGACTAAAGAAGAGTCTAGAAGGGAAATGCTTCCTTCTATCTTGTTTGCAGTGTACAAGGTTGATGATGGAATAAGAATTATCGTGATAGTTGATGCCCTTGATCTCCTACTCTGTACTAGGCAGAATTCTAAGTACATTTTATGTGTTGAGAAATGTAATAGCATAGCCCTGTAAGAAGCCACGGTGATAGGTAACTTGCTGAATGTCACGCTGTTGGTAAGAGACAGAACTGAGTGAGCCCAGCGAGTGTGATTTTGCTCACCACATGAGTTCCTGCCTTTGAATGCATCACATAATTCCTTTTTCATGTTCACTACTCCTCAAATAACTGAGATGTTTAGTAGAATTTTCTTATTCTAATCCCAGAAAAAAGAAATAAATCAGAATTGGAAGAGGCTTCCAAATAAGTCCTGGCAGAACAAGAGCCCACCGTGTGTGGGAAGAGCGCCGTGCACACAGATAGCATAACTCTCGTTCCCTAGGGCACCATGATCTGGTCAAGCCCAGTCCAGCGATGCAGCATCAAGTTCCTGGTGACCCTGCCGCAGCTGCGCCTCGCATTCACTGTGGACGTGGAGGAAACTGTCAAAGTGTGGAACTGTCAGTATCAGGACGCGCTGGCTACACTCACCATGCCCCGGACCAGTTTTTCCCTGGAAGCCTTGCTCACAAAGGATGGTCCGTTCCTGCTGGTATGTGGGCCCTGCCACCTTGGCACACGTGGTGGCAGGAAGGGTCCTGCCACGTTCCAGTCTGTCTTCCTGAGGCATCTCTATCACAGGCTCCGAGAGTCACAACACACCCATGAATGTTGGCCACACGAGCCTTTATGCCAGCTCGGCCTTTGTTATACCTCAGGTGCATTTCCCCAGTAATTCTAAAAAAACCCAAAAAACGAAAAAACAACTTCCTGAATCCTTTCGTATGTATGTTTCTTCTTCCAAGTGTGTGTTATCATGGAGTTCATGAACTTGGGAGGAACCACGGAGGGAGAGAGATGGGTTTGGGGAGACGCTGAGAAAACAGTGCCGTGTTGCTGCGCTAATGAGTAACTGTCCTGCGCGGTTTTGGGGCTGAGAACATTTTATTCCTTGGGACTGTCCCAGCAGCCTTGTGGTCTGCTGGTCAGAGGCGTCCGTCTCCATTGCGCGCCTGGAGAAACGCTGGCACCCCGGCACCTGCCCACGCTGTCTGCCTCCTGTGCCCTTCGGGTTGTCCCGTCTCTGCATTGACGTGGTGGCGGTGCTTTGGTTCCAGGTAGGCGATTCTGAAGGCGACATCTACATGCTGACAGTGCCCGAGTTAAGGAGTATTTCTGTAGTTAATGCATTTAACCACAGTGTTGACCTTCTACATTCCTCTCCGGACACGAAATGGATCTTGGCCGCCGGGATGCACCAGCGCATCCTGCCACAGGTAGGTGCTGCCTGTGCACTTTAACCGCAGGAGGAGAGGGCGGGGGTCAGGAAGGCAAAGTCGGGAAGCATTGGTGCAACTGCAGAGCTCAGCGAGGACCGGACAGGCTGCTCCGTCCCTTCACAGGCCAAGGAAGCCATGGGACCCGGTCCAAGAGCCAAGAAACGATGTTCTTGGAAGCAACGACCAGGTGCAAAGACAAACCTTTATTAATGAAAATCTGCTCGTGAAGCCTGAGGTGGGGGAGGGTGAGACAGAGATCAAGAATTAGGACCTTTGGTAACCTGGTTGACTTTGGTTTTCCTTATTTTACCTTTACCTTCCTTGGCTGGGAAGTACAACATCCAGAAGTAAACAAAAGCGATTCAGCCTCTGAATGTCATTCTGAGAGAGTGCCATTGTGAGCAGGCCTCTTGACGTGGCACAGGGCACTGGGCCCCAGAGAGCAGGCGCTCAGGGAGGCGGCGGCAAGAGCGGATCAGCCCTTGACAAGTTCTCCCAGGAGGGCACATCCCCTTGGCCAGCCGCCACGGGATCGGCGTCTGATGTGGCCAGATGCTCCTCTAACCCCTTGGCATGCCAGGAGGGAAGTTTTGGGGACTCTTCTTGATAGGTGACCATGGCAGGCAGGACGGGAAGACAATGAGTGACAAGCAGTGGCCACGTAACGCTTCCTGAGATTGAGAATAAAGCTCTGGCCACAAGCTGAGGGTTTTCGAGGAGCCTTTTCTGGAGGCGCCCCTGGACTGAGCTGCCGCCAGCGCCCCCACCCCCGCACGTGCAATCCTTTCTCTGCAGGTATTTCCGGCAGAGTGCTTACTGAGGCCGGCAGCAGGCAGAGCCCCCCTGTTGGTGTCTCTCCCGGTCTCGGGGTGCTGCGCAGCCTGCTGGGCCCCGAGCAGAGCGGACAGGGTAATGCTCATGTTCCGAAGGGCCCCTTTCAAAAAGACGGGGTTTACCACCTTCGATGTAACAACGGAGAGGATCGGGGACACGGCTGTCATCCAAGGTAGGCTATGTCCTCTTGATTCTCCTCCCAGCCGCTCATTTTTAAGCTCTACAGGTATATAAATAGGTCAGTCTGTGAGCAGGGGCAGGGGCTTTCTCAGCTGGAGGCTACCCCATCCCTGTTCAACCCTAATGCCCATGCTACTGACCTCTATACTCCACCATGACCTCTTGGGCCAAATTGTCTCTCTTTATTTGTGTGAGGGAAGCACTGATTGGCTGCCCCCAACCGGAGACACAGCCTGCAACCCAGGTATATGCCCTGATTGGGAATCAAACCAGCAACCTTTTGGTTGCAATGTCCAATCCATGGAGCCACACCAGTCAGGGCGGGCAAAACTGTTTAGATTCCCATCATGCCCCTGCCCTCAATGCCTGAGCTACTGTTTACGGTCCCCAGTCCTCTCTTCCTATGTGATGGCATCTATCACCACAGTCAGTGACACGTATTTTCCGGGCCTACCTTTCCTTTTCCTCACTGGACAGATGTCCCCTGGAAGTAGGGAATATGATTTTTCATTCAGGGTAAGGACATTGTTCTGACTGAATGACCCAAAGTTCACCTGTGTGTGTGTGTGTGTGTGTGCGCACGCGCGCATACATTTTACATGAAAACAGCCCATCAGGTTGCAAGCTTCATGTTGCCAGTTCACATGGAGAGTCCTGTTCGGATGGGAGTCAGCGGTGGAGACGTGATTGTCTTTGACAGTGGGCCGCAGCTGGTCCTCTTCACCATCTCCGGCCTCCTGCTGCAGCGGTTTCACGACCACCAGTTGACCATCTGTCACTTGTGGGTGGTACGTACGCCCCCCTCCTCCCGATGCTCAGTGCTCTGACTCGGACGCTGGGCCACTCACCCCCGGGTATCCTTTGAAGGGTTCTCAGTATGTCCTCACCACGTCCATGGATAACTACCTGCATTTGTACATGTGGGAAGAGAAGGGCCATCATCCGTACCTCAAGAGCTGTTGTTACCTGGAACACAGAAGGGGCGATCAGAGGCCAAGCTGGTAAGCCCCGCTTTGTGACTTAAACTGTTCCCGAAGGTTTTAAAGTTCTGCAGTAAGCAAAGTAATAAAGGGGTAATGGGATTTTTTTTTAAAGTTTCTTTGAGGATATATATGAATCAACGTATGCCCCAAAGGAGAATTGCTTGTTCTTGGAATATGTCCACAGCCCCTGCAGTAGATTTTCAAAAGGCTTTCCAAAATGGCGCTCAGTATATATTCCCACAAGCCGTATATGACAATGTGGTGTTAATGTGCTATCTTTTGTAACGGTTTTGTTTTTTTGTTTTAGTTCATTAGTCATTTGGGTTGCATCTTTCATGAACTGCCTTTATCTTTATTTCATTTACTTTTCTTCTAGATTGCTCACCATCTACATTGGTTGTTTTGGGGTTGTTTGGGTGTTTTTTTTTCTTTTTGGTTTTTTTTTTTTTTTTTGATATTTTATATACTACGCATAGAGGTCTTGTCTTTTACATAGTTTACAAGTATTTTTTTTCCAGATTGGTTTTTGTCCTTATAATGTTTATTTGGTGCAGTATCTAACAAGGCATACATACATATATCCTTTGAACTGCCAACACTGTTAAAAAGAATTTAACAGTACACTCAGGTGATCAAATGCATCAGTGGTTCACTGCGGCATCAGTTGCGGTTGCCAAGTGCAGGAAACTACCTAACTGCCCCAACATAAGAAATGGTCTCAATTATTCCACATAGTGGAGTATTGCGCAGCTGAAAATTTTTTTAAAAGTCAAACTTAGAGCATCGTCCCAATATGCCAAGGTTGTGGGTTTGATCCCCCATCGGGGCACATAAAATCTCTTGCTCTCTCCCTCAAACCAATAAATTTTTTAAAATTGTTTTATTTAAAAAAACAGGAAAGAAAGAAAAGAATGAGTAAAATTGTTATGTTCAGATAAGACATTATTTCCAGTGTTTTGGAAGCAAAAATATTTTAATTAAATGTATATAATTAATATATAATTATGCTTAGCAAATTTTCTTTCATATATTTTGTTCTATATCATATCAGATAAATCTTAGCCTACTCTAAATCAGGAATACTTCTTTTCAATTTTGAATACTTCCCTTTCATATAAGGTGTACCCTACTGCATAGCTTTGTCTTTTATGCATCTGACAATTTTTTTCCACAAAGCAAGGAAATTTTATGTCTTTGACAAGGAGAATCTGGTTGTCCAACACACAGTTTGAGTTTTGACAAAAATATAAATTCCTATAATCAAAAGCACAATCAAACTACAGAATATTTCTAACACCCCCAAATTTATTTCTTTTTTTTTACATGTGGATATTCAATTATTCAATATATTTGTTGGAAAAAAAAAGTTTCTCCATTGAATTGTCTTTACACCTTTATTAAAAATTGACCATATCAATTAACCTTAAGGAATAAAATAACAAAGTCATTTAAAAAAATTGATCCTATTTGTAGGGATTGCTACTCCTGCAACATCAGCATGACTTTGCCACGTCTACACAGTTACTCAAAACCAAACCTGAAAGTAACATCTGTGATCAAAGGACCAGTTGACTTGGGAAGCGTATTTGTATCTTTGTCAGGTTCACAATCATTACCATCCACATGGGTCTAACTACTTTCCCCTGGGTCCACTGATGGGGTCCTGTTTTCTCTTGGCAGCTATGTCTCCAAAGCCATATGTGATAAAGCGAGCATAGTGTGTGCGGTGTCGAGAAGCCGTGAATCCAGTGTTCTGGTGATGTATTCTTTGAACATGTGCTATGGAAACTAGCGCAATTAACCCTGCATTGATGTAGTAAAGAGAATTCTGTTCGCAAACCCAGAATGGTTATGTCAATGATATTAGGGGGGAAAAAGCAGCAATTTATCTATAACAAATCAGACACTGTAACAGATACTACAGATCATACACTATTGAGATAGAGGGCGGAGAAACATATCCTTTGTCTCTGCCATCAGGGAGAGTGTAGAATACTAAGGTGGTGAAATATGGATAGTCACACCAATATGCAAGTCCAAATAATTCAAGAGAAGTATCTTGTGGGGGAAAGTGTGAATTTAGAGGGAGGCTGATTTAAAAGCAAATGCATCTGTATCAGACAGTCAGCTATCGATCGTAAGCAACCAAAAATCTGTAAAATGTAAGCAAAAGAAATGTATTAGAAAAACATAGCGGTTAATATCTAAAGACAACTAGAAGAGACTCAAGATAGATGGGGGAAAATGCTTAGAAGGACTAAGAAATAGAAAATATATCAAAGGCTAAATCACGTGGCTGTCTTGATTTGCATATCATCACAGCTATTGTCATGGATATATAAAGAACTAGCCCATTCTCCCTGTATCCCTAGCTCAGAGTTCAGAGCTCTGGGAGAGAATGGGAACGAATTAAACCTAAGACACAGGGGTCCACTCTCCTGGCTTTGGGGGAGAGAAGCAATAGAAGAAGATGACCTGAGGGGTAGATGGCGCTCTAGTGGAAATGGAATCTAAGCGAGAGGCTTCCCCAAAGAGCGATGAGGGATCCTAAGTGGCCTAAGTGCCTGTCACTTCCCTGTAGAAAGAAGCTTGAGGCTGAGACCAGGAAGATAAAGGAAGGGAAGCCCAATGAAGGGTCTATGGAGAAGGACAATGTTGGGTGGAGAAGGTGACAGGAGATGCGTTGTAAATAGCACCTGGGAAGCGCTGAGGTAGTCACGTGTTCGATGTAGTTCAGAATCAAAGTCAGTGACGAAGTCAGAAGTCAGCGATGAGGAGTATAGTATATACTAAGACAAGGGTGGAAAGTCAGAAAGTGTGAATTCATACAGAAAGTTGCAGGCTATAACCCAAATATTTAACGCATAATAAGTGTGATGGTAAGATTAATTACTTTGGTTTTTGTGTTTTGTCTTTAAGCAAAGGAGAAAAAAAGATCTGTATTTTTTAGACCTATGTTTTTAAGAAATCCTTTTCATTGCTGTTCAGAAAGCTGATTTAAAAGTAGACACAGGAACTGCACAGAGCCAATTAAGCTCTCCTCCGATTTACAGATGAACAGGTTTGTTGGAATCTGTTATCTCAGTTAGAGTTAAAGGTAATAGGTGGCGGTGGAGTCCAAGGTAGAAGATGAGACAGAGGAAGGAATATGTAAACTGTGTGGAATATATGCACATGAGCACAAAGAATACAATTTGTCGAAGGACAGGGAAACAAATAGAGTCCCACGGGGTCTGTGATTTCTGAATAACTTGAGAGATAAAAATTGAATTACTTTTAGGCCTTCATTTTTCAGAAACAAGTAGTTAAAATGTGTAGAGAAAATTTTCTACACAGAGCACCTAAACATCATTCAAATTTGCAAATGTAAAATAAAACTCTGAAATCCATGTGGAAGGTGGCTGGAATAGAAGAGAAAACTTCAAGCTGGGGAATGGGGGCAAAAATCCAGAAGAGACAACAGCTGCTTTTACCTTATTCATAGACTTTTAAAAGACTACAGGATGGGGGACAGGGCCTCTGCCAGCACGGAGGCGGGATCAGCAATCTCTAAGATCCGGAACCTTCAGGAGACAGATAGTCCTCGCGGGCGGATGGAAGGGAAGTCTGCCCCTGGTGGCAGGATGGTGGGGTGGCTGTCTCTCTGGGCCACAGGTGTGTGGGGACTGAAGGCAGAGAAGCCATTCCCTGCAGAGAACTCCTAACTTAACCACACTCTCCTTGGAGCTGGAGTTCACCTCAGTCAAGCTCCCAGGGTGATACAGATGTCACGTGCAAAATACGGTACTGTCGGGACAATTTCTTTCTTTTTTTAAGATTTTATTTATTGATTAATTTATTTTTAGAGAGGGGAGGGGAGCAAGAAAGAGAGGGAGAGAAACATGAGTGTGTGGTTGCCTCTCACACGTCCCCTGCTGGAGACCCAGCCTGCAACCCAGGCATGTACCCTAGGCTGGGAATTGAACCGGCGACACTTTGGTTCACAGGCCAGCACTCAATCCAGTGAGCCACGCCAGTCAGGGGTCAGGCTAGTTTCTTAAAGCGACTACTATAAATTTTTACTTGTGATGAAAAGAATTAGAGAAGTGATCAATCTAGTGTTATTTTAGCCAGTGTCTCCTACGGCCATCCCTACGCAGCTCTGGCGGCCCACGTCCAACTTGTGTTTGATATTCCAGGACGGGTTTTGTTTCTGCCTCAGTCGCAGGAAGCTCCGCAGTGGGCGCTGAGCACCTCATGGTGGGCACTAGTTAACCTTCCCCTCCTGGTAAGACAAGGCTAGTGGCCTATCAGAGCCGACCCAGTTAAAGAAGGGGCACCGAGTCCTACCATCTCACCTTTGATTTCCCTGTGAGGCATGTGCTTAAAGCCCCTTCCCAGGAGTGGGGGCTGCCTCTAGAGCACAGAGGACTAGACAAGGCTGTTCCCTTTAGAGATTATTGCTTTAATGGATGACATTCAAAATAACATGAGCAAATGATTTAAAGTTTACAGATTTGACTAACGTGTTCTATTGAGTAAAAGTTTCACAGGTGGGAGAGGCGTGCGCATCTACCATCCACGCACTTTGCTGCGTAAAGGTGCTCCTGACACTCAGGAGGTGGAGCGCTTCCCAGGAGACAGGAAGACCCCTGCCGATACCTCCAGCTTTACCTCTGCCGAGTAAAGGTAAACCGTGGCCCACGACCCACAGGCCACCTGTGGCCCAGGATGGCTATGAATGTGGCCCAACACAAAATCATAAGTTTACTTAAAACCTTTTTTTTTTTTTGCTCATCAGCTTTCATTAGTGCTTGCGTATTTAAGTGTGGACCAAGACAGCTCCTTTTCTTCCAGTGTGGCCCAGAGACACCAAAAGCTTGGACACGTGGGAAGTTCCTACCCTCAGCACTGTGACAGTTCATCCGCTGGTGTGTCACCCTCGCCCTCTGTGACACTGGCCACCAAAGGAGGGGGTCTATGAACTTGTGGGTGCGTTTTACTGCCGGTGGATACCGAGCATTCACCAAGTTTTACAGGAAGTCAGGGGCCTGCGCCCAAGGCACCACAACATCACTGCTACCTCACCGGACAGAACCTTCTCCTTTCTGGTCATTTCCTGGCTCTCCCCATCTACGTGGGCAGACTGGCTGCAGGTGGGCTTTGACGTCCTAGTTTGTGCCCTTGAAGGAGTCAAGATACTGCAGATACTTCATCAGTGGCTGCAAACACAGGCATTGTCAAATGACATACAATGCAGATTATAAAACAGCCCAGGGCCAGGGGATGGATGGCCCCAAAGCTAAGCCAAAGGTGGCTTCTGTGTTTCGAACCCCGGGCTGTTTATTTCTTCAGTGCAGGCTGAGACTCATTCCCTCAAAGCCTGCTGGTGCCTAATTCAAAATTTTACACACCTCATTATTTTTAACTGTTCAATTAAAAAAAATATTTAAGTGAACTTTTATTTAAAAAATTTATTTTTAAATGAAGTGTGTTGTTCTCTTTAAGAATTTCTAAAAATGGAAATAATATTTATAAATAAATGTTTAAAATAATCCAAACAAGCAGGTTGTTAGCTGTTTAGAGCCTGCCTGCTTTTCGTACTCCCAGCAGAACCTCGTCTGACAACCTTGCAGTTATAAGCCCCAGGCTGCTAGCACCATTCAGAGCTCAGGGACCCAGAACTCACACCACTGCGGGTAAGCGCTGTGTTGCTGAGCTACGTGCCTGGACCCATGAGTCCCCTTCCCCGTCTCCTCTCTCCCCGAGCACCCAGCCCTCCCCGCCTTCTCGGTGGCGAGGAACTTCCCCTCCACGCACCGCTCAATAAAGCTTGTGTCACTGCCTCTCCTGGCCGTATCTTTTGTTGATCAGCCCCTAGATCTTTGAACCACTACAGACCTGTATCCTGTACGTGTAAAGAATTCTCAAAATTCAACAAGAAAACAAACTAAAAATGGGCAAAATATTTGAATAGCTACTTCACCAAAGATGATATATAAGTGGCAAATACGTACACACATGGATGGTCAACATCACCAGCAATGAGAGGAATCTAAATTAAAATCATAATGAGCCCTGACTGCCGTGGCTCAGGGAGTTGGGGGTTGTCCTGCAGACCCGAGGGTCACAGGTTCAACTCCCGTTACGGGCACATGCCTGGGTTGAGGTCCAGGTCCCTAGCTGGGGGCGTGTGGGAGGCAACTGATTGATGATTCTCTCACATATCAATGTTTCCCTCTCTCCCTCCTGTCCTTTCTCTCTAAAAATAAAATTTAAAAAGCACAAAGTGAGATACCATTGCACACCTATTAGACTGAGGGGCTGACAGTACCAAGAGTTGGGGAGTATGTGGAGCAACTGGAACTTTCACACATTGCTGCTGGAAATGCAAAATGATACAATTATTTTTGAAAGTAGTGGGGCAATTTCTTGTGAAATTAAACACACGCTACATTACCCAGCAACCCCTCTTCTACATATTTACCCAAGAGAAATGAAAATTTATGATCACACAAAAACCTGTATAGAAATGTTTTCTTTTAGTCCTTTATAGAATTTTAAATTATTTTATATATTTTTTCACCTTTTCTCTTCTACTTGCTTTTTTTAGTTAAACATTTTGAAATGTTTTATTAGTGGTCCTAGAGATTTCAATATGAATCCTTTATTTTTCTTACTATTACATTAATTACTGCTTGTATGGCTTAAGAATTTTATAACAATTTATAACCTTCTCCCCTTTTTGCTACTGTCTTAATATTTTGTACTTCTATATATGTTACAAACCCCTCAAGATATCACTGCTGTTGTTTTAAATGTCATTGTTCATTCCTCTTTTACACATATTTATTCTTTCTGGTGTTTTCTTCCTTCCTTCTTGCGGTTCTTTGGTTCCTCTTTGGAGTAATTTTTTTCAGCCCCCAAAACTCCCATTAGCATTTCTTGCACAGAAGGTATGTTAGTGAGAAATTCAGGTTTTGTTTATATGAAAATGTCTTTAATCCTAACTTTTGAAGGATATCGTCATGAGTACAGAATTCTAGCTAGTTATTTGTCTTTCAACATATTAAAGTTCTTGTTCCACTGTCTCTCGGCTTCCATCATTTCTGTTGAGGATGCAGGTGTCAGTCTTACATTTGCTCCTTTGTAGACAGTGAGCCTCCAACCTCCCACCCCCCAGCGTGTGGTTTTCAAGTTTATTTACCTGAGTTTTGATTGCGGGAGTTTGACTATGATGTGCCTAGGTGTAGTTTTCTTTTCATTCATCCTGATTGGGGTTAGCTGAGCTTCTTGAATCTGTGAGTTGATAACTACTGTCCATCATTTTTTAAAAATTCTCAGATAGTATCTCTTAAATACGGCTTCCACCCTATTCTTTCTCTCTTCTCCATCTAGGATTCCAATTGTATGTATCTCAGTCATTATGGTCAAATAGAAATTGGGTTAACGGGCACTGATGATAAAGACCCCTTTGCCATAGGAAATTGTTGTTGGATTGATCACATTGAAGGACATCAGGTCACTGTGATGATGACCGGCCATGGGTTTGTGAAGAGTGGGGTCAGGTGTTCAACATCAGGAAGGCACAGAAGTCTTTAGGAGTGCATGTCGATGTAAACATCTATGCGTTTAAGATAGTAAGAGCAACCTCAATGCCTGGAGGTTTCTCAAGAGCATAGGAATAATGATTACGAATGCTCTGGAGAGAACAGTGTCTCTGCTTTTATCCCACACATACCTGTGGCTGAGAGAGGCAGCTGTCCCACCATCCTCCAATGGGCAGATTTAGAGGTGGGGGTGTTGGCAAGCAGAGGACAAAGGCAGGGAGAGGCCAGGCAGTGACCCTAGGCAGGACGAGGTGGGGGCTGCCCAGGGATGGGCAGGTGACTTGCAGTCCCCTTGGACTCACAAATCTAAGTCAGGGCAAAAAGGCCCCATGAAACGCACGCTGGGGCACGGAGGCCCAGAGGGGACCTGGCAGTGCTGGCTTCCTCTGTGCCCCCTCCATGGAAGGCCAGGGCGAGCTGTGTGCTCTGCTTAGATGCACTTTCTCTTCCTTCCTGTCCTTTTCCAGTGAGGCCTTGGCTGGCCACCCGGTCCACCTCCCACAGGGGGCAGGCCTGGCCCCCACCATGGAGGGCCAGCTCTTGTCCTGCAGGCTCTCGTAGCCCTGGTCTCCAGGGGCCTGATTTCTCCGACAGCTTTCCCAGCATGCACTCCCTGGAAAGGTGCTTAAGAATGCACATCTTGCCCTGGCTGGTGTGGCTTAGTGGATTGAGCACCAGCCTACGAACTAAAGGGTCACTGGTTTGATTCCCAGTCAGGGCACATGCCTGGGTTGTGGGCCAGGTCCCTGGTGGGAGGCTTGCAAGAAGCAATCACATGTTGATGTTTCTCTTCCTCTCTTTCTCCCTCCTTTCCCCTCTCTCTAAAAATAAATAAAACCTTTAGAAAAAAATAATGCACATCTTATGGGAGAGGAACACAAGGCTTGGAAAAGGGGCTGTCTCAAGGTGGTCAGTGCCAAGACCAAGTCTGCGGGGCTCTCCACCAGGGCATCCTTCCTCAAGGTCAGAGCTTCTGCCTGCCCCCAGGCCCCGCACAGCATGTGTGTGCACGCACGCGCGCACGCACATGCACACAAAGCAAGGAGCTGCGCTGCTGTGACTCCAGGCCAGCAAGCTGGGCTGGGAGCAGCAGGTTGAAAGTGTCTGCACACGTTTCAGGGGGCATGAGAAACGCAGGTGCGAAGGCCTCCGACATCTCTGCAGCAGGTCTGCACCCGGCCCCCGCTGGATTCTTAGGCCCGAAGTGAAGCTGCAGATACAAAACACCTGTTCCACAGCCTGCAGCTGTGCCTGCCTTGGGCCCCTGCTGGCATACCCAGCATCCCACGTAAGCTGGAGAGGACCCGGGAGGCCCTCTCAGCCCTAAGGAGCTGAGGTTTCCAGGGCCCTTCAGGAAGACTGCCGCACCTCCCAAGGGGCACCAGGGCAGGGGAATGGGAGGACACTGCCAGGCCAGGAACCAAGTCCTGCTATGGCAGTACCCCGTGGCCTTGAATAACAAAGCACCTCTGTGTGCCGCCTCCAGGGTAGTCCGCGCCGTATGCCCACTGGGCGCGTCCGGCCAGCTCTTTCACCTGCTCTGCACTCAGGAGCCGGACTCGCCGTCTATGCCCTCTGTGCCCGCCAGGAACCCCTGCCCTCCGGCTTTCAGGTAGGTTGTCCAACAGGGGGAGCTGCAGGCGACTAGGAGGTAGGAGCACGAGGCCAGGGTAATTGTTCCCCCAGCGCCCTCCCTGCCAAGGGGTGGCTGCAGCTCCCACGGGTGCTGGCTGCTCAGTCCCTGCCCCTCGGTTCCCCGGATGCCCACAGCCGTGAGGACTCCTTCCCTTGAACTCTCTCCCGCTCCCTCTCCGCTGGCATTTGCTGTCCGCTTCCTGCCAGGCACTGATAGGTCAGGAGTGGTAAAGGTTCGGAAGGAGAGCCGCGAACCCTCTTCCTGGCGGCGCCCGTCCGCTGTGCCTGGTACAGGCGTCTGTAGCATCCGCGAGCTTCCTGCAGGCGCTGGCCACAGGCTGTGGCTTATATGGCTGTCCCCTTGCCAGCTTGAGGCTTCCATGGCCCCTAATCTTTGGGTAACTTGACTCCCCTTTTGTCCTTCCAATCCCTCCAACTCTTTTATAATCAACCTCGTTTTAAATGCCCACAGTGGTTTGTTTTCCTGATCGGTTGTTACACTGCCTCAACCATCTCACATCTAAAACCAGAATTCAGGTTAGAGACAAGGTACAATTACCCACGAAGCCCTAGCACTTCCGAATTTCGACTGGTCCTCATTGCTTTAATTTTCTGATGAATTCCTCACTGCGGCCAGAAGATGGCAGTGTGCTGCCACCCAAACCACCAGTGATCCGACCAGGGCCCACTGGCGGCTGGGACAGACCGCAGATCATTCTGCTTCAAGAACACTCATCAGCCAGGTAATCCAAAGGCTTATAAATAAAACCTCAAAATTACAATCAAGAAATAAATTCCTTTCCAATGTCATGATATCTTTGTCTTAAATTTCAGGTCAACATTTGGAATCGGATGAACCATCATTCTCAATGACGACGAAGCACTTTCAAAGGGAGATCCAGGATGCATCAGCCATCAACTAAAGCAGGCAATTTGGAGTCTCAGCTACGAGAGTAAGCAGAGAGCCAAGGGGGCGAACCTTGTGAAGACCCCATGAGCCCTAGGCTCCGGCTGAGGCCAAGGGCGGTCTCAGTCAAGGGCGCACCCACCCCAGGCCCCACCAGCTTCCCGAGACCCAGTAAGACCTCGAAGCTCATCCCCATCTACAAATCAGGGAAACCATGCAAGGAGGCCTTCATCCAGGCAGGCAGCTGGGTTAGGAGGCCCCACCCAAGATGCCTTGACTTAGAAGGCAACCCAATATCCAGGAACTCCTTAGAACATCCCAGGCTACAGCGGGTTGGGGAGTTCAGAAACAGGACCGTGGGAAAGAGCCCGTGGCCCTCTCTGCCTGGGATGAGCACCATGACGCCATCCTTTCCCAGTTCCCTTCCAGACAAATGGCACATGAATGCAGGAGCCAGAACACTCGAACTGCAGGTAAGGCAGCACCCCCCAACCCCCTCAGTCGCAGTCTCCCCAGACACAGACTGGATGCGGCTGTCATATTCTCCATGGAATCTCTGGGCCCGGCCTGCCCTGAAGCCCAGAGCGTTTGTTCTGTGGGCGCCTGAGACCGCCCCCTGGGGTGAGGATCTCAGCGCCTGCGCCACCAACCAGCGCCTGCCGCCTACCAGCACCTCCCGCTAAGGGAGGGCTGGGCTGAGCCCACGCGTCAGACAGATGCCACGCAGAGTGTTATCCTTTAATGAAGAGCTGGGTCAGTGTGGCCACCATCTCCCCTAGGCCCCCCCGTTACAGGTGCCCCTCACCACTGGCTGCTTTCGGGGCAGGGTGGCCCCAAGGCAGTTGACCCTTCTGAGGGGTCAGTTCGCAGTGGCCTAGGAAAGGCGTTCATCTCTTGGACCTAGGACCGCGGCAGCAGCAAAGGCCGGAATGCGGCTACACCGAGGTCAGGCCGACGGAGGGGAGCTGCGGGGAGGGCAGGACAGCCAGCGGGGCCTCCTCCTTCCACTCGGGATCCCGGCGGGACACAGGCCAGTGTTCAGGACTGTACAGTCTCCCCAGGGGCTGGGGGCCCTTCCAGCCCCTCTGGAAGCCCTTTGTACCCGACTCCCCACAGCCCACAGGGTCGCGGGGCTCAGGGAGCAGGTGGGGCACCACCCCATCAGCCTCGGGCCCCAGGCCTGCGAGGTGAGTCCAGCAGGGCCCAGGCCAGAGCCACCAAGAGACCAGGGCCACCTTCCACTAACTCGGCTTGTCAGGCACTACAGGCATCTAAGAAGGTGGCTTCTCCCCCGAGGCTCCAGGGCTGCCCGGCGGGGCCGAGGCGGCAGCAGAGTTGCTGGTCCCTACAGATCCGTGACCTTGTTCTCCACGGCCGCGGCGATCTGCTGCAGCCGGTAGCCCAGCTGCATCTTCTGGGCCGTGCCATCCTCCTCCAGAGCAGTGATGATCTGAACGAAACGCAGAGGTGGCCCCGTCAGGGGACGCCTCCAGCCTGCACGGTCGCCTTTGCAGCAGCCTTTCACAGCCTGCTCAGATACTGGGGCACAATTCGGGGGACCCCCACTACTTCCTGGGTGACCTCAGGGCCTCGTCAGAGGGAGGGAAGATGATCCACTTAAGTCATTACTATGGGGCTTTAAGGATTGGTGAGGTCACACAGGAGAGGGGACTCAAGTAGCCCTCATGGTCACGAATAGCCACCTCCTCGGGAAAAATCGTTCAGTGGAGCCAGCCCTGCCCACCACACTGATCTTCTCCCCTCGAACACCTAGGGCTGCTACAGCGCCCCCACCAGGTAATAAGTATGTCCTGAATGCCTATGTGCCAGGTGCTGGGCAAGGAGCAGGCACCCAACAATGACAGATGTCACCCTGCCCTCGTGGGGCTCACGGGTCGGGGGACAGACACTGATCGACATGAACAACTACATCACCTCAAATGGGGCAGCCACAGAGGGGACAGCAGGAACTGAGAGGGGCCGGCCCGCTGTGTCCCCTGCCTCCCTCACACCAGGGCCCCCGCCATTCGGAGAAAGTACGTGGGCCTCACACCGCACATCACTCCTCTGTTAAAAAGCTGTCTTACTCCAGGTCTGGGACACAGGCAGGCCACGCCCCTGGGGCCACGTACACGTCTGGGTGGACGGTTTGGCACACACCCAGTAGGCTGCCTGGTGGGTGCTCTGATCTTGAGGCCCAGCCCTGGGCCCCCAGAAAGACGACTCCATTGTGACCTTATTCATCCCTGGCCCTGGGCCCAGACACTCCTCCCCGGTGGCCTGTGCAGCCCAGTTGGGTCCATGCCCGCCAAGGGTGACCGAGCCCAGCACACTGCCACCCATGGGCTCGGGCAAGGATCTGAGCAAGGGCAAGCTCAGGGCAGAGGTGGCAGCTGTGCGTCCCACCTAGCACATCCTGCACGCCGTCTCCAGACTCTGGGGGATCCCCCGCTGCCCGCCACCGCGCCTGAGCACCCTGCTGAGGAGCTCGGATGCAGGGTGGGGACAGGTAAGAGCGCAGCCAATACCACGAAGCACGTCTGAAGAGTGCTTCCCAAACCCAGGACCCAGCCGCTCCCTAGTCTGTGCCCGGGGGGGGACCCGAGGGCCCCCCTGAGAGTCCCAGGCCGGGCACCCTCCCACATCCACCTCCTCAGCCCCCAGTCAGGGCCCGGGGTGCGCCCACCTGGTCGTAGTACTTGTTGATATACTTGTAGAGTTCATGCAGAGCCACTCGTGCCCCAAGGTCCCCCGAGTAGTTCTAGGAAGACAGGAGACAGACGTGAGCGGTGCCGCCTGCCACCAAGGCAGGCCCAGAACCCGGGGAGGGGGTGGGTGGAGGACCAGGGGGCCTGGGAGGCGGAGGAAGGGGCAAGCCCCACAGCGGCACGCGGAGCCCCTCTACCGAACGGGGGTCCCAGGTCAGGTGGGCTCAGCTGGGTGCAGGGTGGGCCAAAAGGCCTCCTTGGTGAAGAGACCCCAAGCCTGCAGCGTCCGCAGGCCCAGGGCTCCACTGCAGCCCTGCCTCTCCCTACCGCCCGGGGCTCCGGCCGAGACCCAGGGTCCTCCTGGGTGACTGCAGAGCAGAGCAGGAAAGAGGTGCTCTGCTCCGGCTCCAGCCTGCCCTGCGGCCCCCCTGGGCGCCCTGCAGCGACACCCCAGACAGCGGAGCTGGTATCACATCCCTTCGCCTGTGGGGCGCTTATGTGGATTAAGTGAGAAGATAAACAGAGCTCCCCAAGATACACAGAAACACCCTGAAATCACAGCTGCTATTATTATGGTTGTGATCGTCCTTGTTGCAGGAACATCGTCTCAGGTCCTGGGGTGAAGTCTCGGCTGCAGCAGGACTAGGTGGGGCCCGCACGCCAACACCACCGGGAAGCAGAGCACCAGTGGACGTTGGCCGGTCAACTGGGCCAAGCCCCGGCCACCTCGCTGCCGTGGGCTGTTGTCCACGGACCTCCACAAGGGATGCAGGCACCCCAGCACCTGGCTGAGCCAGGGCAGGTGGCCGCTGCTGGGGAGCAAAACCCCTGCTGCTTTCTGACGCGATTCTGGGAACCCTGCCCTTTTAATCAAAACAATGCTGAGGACCCGAGAACGTCCCTGCCAAGGAGCAGCGTGAAGGGGCCGGGCCCGCGTGGCAGGAGGCCTGCACTTCACCCGAGAAGCAGAGGGAGGGCCGTACCCGGGAGAGCTCGGCCAGGACGGAGTTCATCTCTTGGTCACTGGCCGGGACGGTCTGTCTGATGTCTGCGTAGTACCTGCCAGAGGTCACAGGGATGGCAGCTGCTGGGAAACAGCCCCCTCCTCACCCTACCAGGCGGGGCCGCCCAGGGCCTCCGCTCTACCCACCCACCAACCTGTCCGCCCCGCCTCTCCAGCCCCGGCCTCTGCCCTCGTACCTTTCCACCATCTGTTTGTAACGGGGGATGTCCCGCGCATACAGAAGTTTGTTGATGGGGGAGTCCTGGGTGCCAGTGGCAAGCAGGGGAAGAAGGATGAGACCCCTGTGAGTGTAACGAACTGTCCCAACTTTCACAGCGTTGCTTTAGTTTTAAAAGTCCCAGGAATGCCCCTCAGTCCCCAGCAACCGGGATGGCTGGTCACCCTAACCCACTCACCTCTGCAAGAACCTCTCCCGCTCCTTCCCTTTCACTGAGGCCAGACCCTGCTTTTGTCCACCCCCACCCCCCCGCAGCTCCTCCCCAGATGACACCAAGGTTGTTTCTTAGCTCGGTGCCTCCCCTGGACCCGGCGGGGAACCAGCACGCAGGCAGGGCGGGGCAGTGCCGTGTGCCGCCCTTGCTGCCTCCCACGTGCTGTCCCTCCCCGACGTGATCACTTTAAAAATTGGAAAACTGACCCAGGAAATGAGGTCAATTGCCCAGGCCAACTCATTCCTGAGTGGCTGAGCTGGGATTTGCAGCAAGTCTCTCAAGTTACCAGAAGGCTCTACGTCTCCTGTCTGACACCTCCCCCACCCCATTCCCCGGCTTTCCCGCTCCCATCATCCCCTCAGGGTAAGCCCTTGCCTAGTGGCCAGGGCCTCCGGCCACCCCCGCAGGCTGCACTTGCTCCCATGTCTTAACCCTGTGGATCAGCACGCAGCAGCCCCAGCCCCTGCTGATCCTGGGAGATTGGGGCAGTGCGCGGGAGGTACTGCCACCTCCCAGGGAGCCCAGGGACAAAGCCTGCCCTGGGGCCTGGAAGCAGAGACCTGCCCCTGCCCTGCTCCCCGACATCCTCAGGAACCCAGGGTGCAGTGCGCATGTCCAGCACAGCACAGCACACCCCTGGCCCACACTGCCCCGCCCGCCACGACGTCCGTGTCCCCGCCCGCTCACTCGGCCCAGCTTGTGGTCGGCCAGGGTGCAGGCATCCATGAAGGTCTGTGCGATGACCAGGAGCACCGCGTCCATGTTGTCGGATGTCTGCACGTCAAACACGAACTGCGGGTTTTTGATTATATTGATCCAGAACCTCAGCGGCAGGCTGTGGGCAGGGCAGACGTGGCCGGTGAGGGTGCGGGGGAGGCCGGAGGGGAGGGCGCGGGGGCCGGGGGAGGGACTCAGCTACCCCTGCCCGCCGGGCCCCGCCACACCTGTTGGTCTTCCAGATATGGACAGTGTCCTGGTCGGAGATGCCGTGCTGCTGGGCCTGCTCATCCAGCAGGTCAAAGAAGTACTTGATAGCAAGCGGCACGGGGCGGCTGGTGCTGAGGATCACCTGGAACAGGTCGTCCACAAACTTCTGCAGGGTGCCCTGCGGGGACGGGAAGCATGGCAGTGTGGTCAGCAAGGGGACCTTGGACCTGGCCCAGACTCAAACTCGGGGTGGGAGGCCTGCAGGGGCCCCACGCCGCCCCTAACCCCGCGGGTGGCCTCAGGCCACCAGCCCAGGCCCTGCCCACCTTCATGGACAGCAGGCGGGTCAGGTAGATCTCGGGGATGGCCTTGGCTCGCTCGCGCTCCCCGCCCCGGAGGCTGCCCCTCCTCGGCCTTGGCGGCTCCGGCTCCTCGCTCGGCTTCACCAGGTGCCAGGGCCGGATGCCCCCCTCGTCCACGTCCTCCAGCATCGGGGTCCCTGTGCCGAGGCCCCGCCGCTTGGCACCACCCCATCAGGCGCCTCCTCCCCTGAGCCCCAAGGTCCTGCCCACCCCTAGGAGTGGGGGCACCCAGGGAGGGTTTCTCTGGGTGGGAGGGAAGTGGACACAGACCCACCCTGAGGTCCATTACTGGGCAAAGGCAAGGGCGGAGGGCTGGGATGGGGGCAGGAGGCAGGGTACTCACTCTCCCCAGGGACGTAATCCTGATTTTCCCGAAGAACATGCTTGGTGAGGCAGGGGACCAGGGCCACAGTTGCTCCATCTGGAACCTGCTGACCACAGCCGGTGACCCCTCCAGCAGCCGCACCCCCTCACCCCCCCATCCCCAGCTCCCAGCCTTCCCACCTTGTAATGCTGCAGGGTATTCAGTCGCCTCCACAGACCCTGGACCTCAGAAGTCACATCCTCGTCGGAAAGAATGAGGTGTCCGGCCACCCCGGACCGCCACTCTGCAAGGGCAAGGGGGCACTCAGTCCAGGGCTCCGGACACGCTTTCCGCAGTGGAGCCTGTCTTCCTCCATGGGCACGCGTGTCCCTCCGTCTGGAGTGGCCCCGCCCACCCTCTCCAAAGACCAGGAACAGGTGCCCCACCAGGTGTGAGGTCGTCCCTACACAGCCCCGCTGCCTCCCAACTCACTGCATCCCACCCTGCAGAGCAGCTCCAGGGCCGGCCAGGCCCGGCTCTGGCTCAGGGCCCCCCGCCACCCTCCCTCTCTGCCCTCACCGACATCCAAGGTGCGGGGGTCTGGCCGCTGGGCGAGAGGCACTCCTTTGTAAAGCTGGTCCAGCATCTTTTCCTTGGCCTGGGAGATGGTGTCGCAGTCCAGGACCTTCACAGGCACACCTTGGGCCTCTCCCGCCCCCGGCCCCACGGCCAAGAGGGCATTCAGGGTCTGCACCGGACACGTGGGAGCAGTCGGGGCTCAGGCCGCACATGGGATGGCCAGGACACAAGGGCAGGGGCCACCCATGAAAAAGCCCTCAGCAGTTCCCTTCTCTGTAGCCCCAGCACCTACCCTAGTGCCCTAGTGACTATCTGCGGGGTGAACAGCAGAAAAAGTGAGTAAGCCCAAGCCGGGTCCCCTGACTCCTGGCTCAGCTGGTCAGGCTGAGACGCCAGAGAGAAGTCCCCCCACCCCCCAGCCTCGCAGTCCACCAGGTGTGGCAAAGCCTGAATGGGATTTTCCCAAAGGAACTCTGGGTGGCTCCCTAAGGGGAACGCACACCCAGAGGACCGCAACAGGAAGGTCTGCCCGGGTGGCCGCCGGCCGGGTGGGCGCATCACATGCCTTGGCAGGACAATGAGACCGTGGCCAGGCAAACACTCAGGCCCTGGTACAGCAAGGACTCTGGATTGGTCCCAGGCAGGGCTGGCTTGACCCCAGGCAGGACTGACCCCGTCCCCAGCCTGAGACCCTCGGAGGCCCCATCCTCAGGTCTGGCCCTGAAGCTTCTATTCTGCTAAGCTGGCCGAAGGGTCTCTCCCAGGGGTCCAGCTGGCTCCCCAGACACAGGCAGCCACACACAGTCGCACGTGCTCGCCCCCACGCCCCCGAGGCTGACACTCCAGTGCGTCACCAGGCACACACTCCCTCACCAGGGGTCGGTACTCCACGTCCTCTCGGAGAAGGCGGTTGTCATTCAGGGTGTATTTGGCTTTGCCTGTCACACTGTCAACTGGCCCCTTATCCACTTGATGCTTAATCCCACGGAAGAGCATGTACAGAGGCTCCCCTACCGCGTCCTGGGAGAGTGGCAGGCAGTTAGAACCCCTGGGCAGGTGACGGGCCCGCGGCAGAGATGGGTGGGACGTGACCCACACTGAGGAAGGGGACAGGTTGCAGAGGGCTTAAGGTGACTGAGGACACGGTGGGCAGGCGCACACAGGCTGCATGGGCGTCGGGGGCTGCGTGGTTTGGGGCTCCTGCAGGGGAGCCCCGTCTACCTCTGCGACCCTCACCCTGACGAAAGTATAAAGGCAGATGGACATCCAGTTGGTGAGCAGCTTCTCCACCACGGTCTCTGTCCTGGGATGACAGCAAAGGGAGGCAGGGTCAGCAGGTGGGGCCGCAGGGCTCTCTGTCCTGCAGACCCCCAGGCCCTGGAGGTCTGGACTCAGGTCCTAGCCCCAGGTGTCCAAAACCGCCCGGCCCCTGCTGCTTCCAACACCTGCACAGACCTGCGCAGCATCAGCTTGGGGTTCTTGGCCACACACTGGGCCACCAGGTCACTGAGCAGGGTGCGGAGGATGTCTGTGAAGTACTCAAGCTTCCCATGTAGCGCCACGGTGAGCAGAGAAGCCACGTAGGCGCGGTCCCGAGCCGAGAAGGTGCGCTGGCTCTCCAGAGTGTGGATGAACTGGTATCATGGAGAGGAGATGGGTGGGAAGGAGAGGAGAGCGGGAGGGAGGGAGGGGATGATTCAGAAACCCAGGGATGGAGAAGGGGGGGCAGGGCCAGGGCAGGCCAGCCAGGTGGGGTGAGGCCGGGAGGGTCCAGGTGTGGGCGGGGCCAGGGCAGGGTTGGCACCTTGGTGAGGAAGAGCTTGCTGTTGAGCAGGTTGGAGAGCTGCCCCAGCCCTTGTTCCACTGTAGGTCGTCTGCTCTCCGGCACACCCAAGTCCCGGTGCAAGGGCGACTCCTGGTGCCCAGGGAAGAAGACCCGCTCAGCGTACACCTTGTAATCAAGGAAGGGGATGCCGCTGCCCAGAAGGTCACTGGTGAGATCTGTCATCTCGGTCATGAGGTCTGTTGAGCAGAGGCGGGCAGGTATGGGCGCCCAGCCCATGCGGTGGGAGCCGGCTCGGCAGCCTGCAGCCCCTCTCCGCAGCCTCACCCGTGAACTCCTTCTTGCAGCGGTCCCGCACGCTGCTCTCCAGGTTCTCCAGCTGGATCTGGACCTTCTTGTAGTCCCTCAGGGCCTGCTTGCTCTTCCTCCTGCTCAGCACCAAGGTCAGAATGGGGCAGCTGGAGGCCAGGGCCTCTGCTGGACCCCCGCCCAGGCCCGCCTAGGCCGGCAGTCCAACCTGGCCACGCCCAGCCAAGCCAAGGTCTAGCCCAGAATAATGTAAGCCTGTCCCATCCCAGGCAAGTCACACCCACCAGGGCCTGTGCAGCTCAGCACAGTGCAGGCCAGGGATCAGCAAACTACAACCAGGCCAAATGCACAGTGACCTGCTTGTGTAAACATCTATTGGAACACAGCCACACTGGAGTGTTTTGCATTGTTTGTGGCTGCTTTTGGGCCCTACTAGAAAAGTCGACAAGTTGCAACAGAGAACACCTGGCCCACAAAAGCCTAAAATATTTACTCCTGGCCCTTTACAGCAAGTTTGCTGACCCCTGGCCTCGTGTGCCCCTTCACAACCCGGCCATATGAGAAGGCACCCACCTGTATATGAAGACGATGATGATGACCCCCACGGCCAGGAGAGAGACGCCCACCCCCAAGCCCACCTGGGCTGCCATGGGAAAAGCCCCGGGGCTCTCGCCATCATATTGCACGTGGCCCAGGGTGAAGCGCAGGTTCCCCATCTGTACCTGTGTGGCAAGGCTGCCTGTGAGCAAGGCTTCAGCGCACGCCCAGTGCCTGGCCAGCCCAGGACCCGCCCACTGACCGTGAACTCAGGCAGAGCATCAGGTGCCTCCTGGAGGGGCAGGGGCTGCTCCACGGGGGGCTCGCAGTACAGGTGGTGCCGGGTCAGGGTCTTCACCACGCAGGGCCCAGTCCCTATCATGGCCACAACCTCCTCCTTGGACATGGCAAGGTCCAGATTCTCCCCCTGGAACACGGAATCACTAATCGATCACTCAGAACTCTTCCCTGAGGGACGAGCTAGGGGTCACTCTGATCCTGTCTCCCCAAATGCAGAAGGGATGGTCCTGAGACCTGTCCCCAAGAGCAGGGCCGAGGGGCCTCAGCACCTGCTCCCCTCCCCGTACGTGGGGTGAGGCCCGTGGTGTCTTCCAAGCTTCCAACCCCCATCCCAACCTTCCTGTGCCCTTCCCTGTTTTTCTTCCTCAAGCCTTGACTTCTCCAGAGCTGCTGAAGACTCTAGAGTTGTCCCAAGTTCTGCCCAGCTGCCTACCATGGCGAGAGGCCCTGCTACATCTGCTGGCTGCACCAGGTCGGTGATGGTGGGCTGTCTACCTGTGGCATTTCAGACTGCCCACCCACGGCATGTCAGAACACATGCCACGTGTGTGCGCAAGTCGGGCCCTGAGACAGGCATTGGCCCAGGCCCCTGCTGGGTGTCACGCCTCCCACCTTCTGCGTGTGCCAAACCGTTTGCACACTGCCATCCAGTCGCCTGCCATGGAGCACGCCAGGACCCGGGCCACCAGAGCCAGGCTCCGCCAGGTGCATCGGCCTAGGCAGCCCCCCACCAGCGCCCCCAGCCCTTGCCACAGGAGGTGTGAGGCCCCAGGTGCGCCCACTGGCCCTTGCTCCGCTGTCATGCCCCCCATCGCGCCACATGCGGCAATACCAGCCCCGGGCAGGCTCTCGGGCACCGCCATGCCCGAGAAGCGGCAGTACCTCCACAGACAGCACGCTCCCGGGCTTGTGCCGGAACGGCGTGGTGGGGTCCTCGGGGTTGAGGGGCTGCAGGGTGGGGTCAGCCTCATAGGAGAAGGGTGCAGGGCTCAGCGCAGCGAAGTCGAAGACCAGGCTGTCGAGAATAAACTCCACCCGGACCCAGGGCTCCTCGGGCAGGCCCGGGAGGGCCGGGGAGCGGCAGGTGATGAGCTGGGAGGAGTTCACGCGGCAGGGCTCCTCAAGCTGGGCGGGGAAGGGACGGGGCGGGTCAGGGGAGGGTCTGCAGGAAGGGGCCGCAGAGATGGCACCCGTCCCGGCTGCCCCCCAGCGTGGGGTGTGGGTGAGGTGGGCGACAGCCAGCCCAGCCCAGGCGGGGGGCGCCCACGGGTGTCCTACGTGATGATGACTGCCACAGGAGGCTCCAGGGGGACATGCCGTGTCCGGAACCACGTCGCGCCTGTGCCCAGGCCCCTGTGTGGGTGGAGCCATGGTCACTCGGATCCTTGGGGTCTGCACCACATCCAAATTCTGGCCATGGACCCGTATCTCACGTCCTCCACTGCAACACAGCCCGTGGCCGCTCATGGAGTTGGGAACCCGGCTCTGCAGCCCAGCCCAGCCCAGAGCTGTGCGGCCCTCTCCCCACCAGCAGCGTGGGGGTCAGGGCCCCCACGTAAAGCCCTACAAACCCTCCCGGTACTAGACCGGCAAAGACCCCCGTGCCCCGTGCCAGGCAGCCATGCCCTTGGCCCAGCACCTGAGGAAGCTCTTGGTGGGGCCGACAGAGGTGACGTTAGGGTCTGATGTGTACTCGAACTGGCTGTGTTGAAGCTTCCGCTCAGTGGCCCCAAACCACACAGCCACAGGGAGGGTGGCAGGCGTGGGGTGTGGGCCGGTTTCACACCGCAGCTGCTCTGCCTGCCGCCCCTGTAGCCTAGGAAGGGAGACGGGAGTGGAAGGCAGGCCAGGCTGCCCAGAGGGAGCACGGGAAGGAGGGGAGGATGGGCCCAGGACACAGGGCCCACTCAGGCCTCGGCTCACAGCACTCTGCACAGGGCGCCCAGCAGGCCGCGCTCCACGGCAGCCCCCGTGTCAGGAGGCTCTGGCCGCTTTCTGACAGAGCAGACTTGGCCCTCTCCCCCTCTGTTCTCAGCACCCCAACCCCCCGCCCCGGCTCCTCCCCAGAGCACATGGGTTTCTCCAGAAGGAGGAAGAAGCCCTCACAGGTGACAAGGCTGGTCTCCAACTACTACTCGGATGTCCTCCAGCCGCCCAGTCAGAAGCTTGGAGCCGTGCAGCGTGAGGCGGGTGCCCCCGGCTCTGGGGCCTCGTGAGGGGAAGATGGAGTGCAGCTTTGGGTCCTGTGGGCAGGGGGACAGGGACAGACAGACGGGCATCAGGCCAGAAGCAGAACGGCAACGAGGGAACCTGAAGCAGATAGGAAGGGCCCGGGGTGGGGGGCCCGGGAGGGTGAAACCAGACGGGCTGGGAGGAGCCATAAGAGGGGGCAGCCCATCAGCAGCTCGGGGGGCTCAGCAGTCAGGCACCTGGTAGGCAAAGTCATGCTCTGAGACGCCACGTCCTCTTCCCGGCACCTCCACGGTCACGGTGCCTGCCACCTCCTGCCCACTGGCCTCAGTGACACACACAAGGCTGTGGGCACAGGACAGGCTGGGGAGCCAGGCCGCACCACGGGCCCCTCAAAGGGGCCGGGCTGCCCCTCCTCACTCCCCACCCTCCACGGGACTAAGAGAAATCCTCTCGCTCTGGGGGGAACCCCTCACGGCACACAGGAGGCTCTGGCGTCTGAGAGTGAGAACTTGTGGTTTCAATCATTCAGGTGGAACCCGAACCCCTTAACAAGAAGAAGACCTGGGTGTGGCACAGATTTACAAAGGAGCCCTGTGAGGCCGGCTGCAGGCGAGCAGCTAAGCTACCGAGGGGGCCTAGGTGGCCGCCGTCACGTGCACACAGCGCCCCTTGCAAAGTGGTGGACATTTGACTTCCTCGTGGAAAAAAAAAGTCCCTGGAACCCTCTAGTCCGGTCTGGCAATAGGCACGAACAGAAAGTGAGCCATCGAAGAAAATGCTGGGTCTCAGCCAGCAAACAGAAACTTGGAGCAAATTAATTTCCACCATGGGAAGCCTGCAGGGGCCTAACGCCGTGACATTGTCACGGTCACTGAGAAAGCAGAACAAGTGGTATGTAAACTACCCAGCAGGGGCTTCAGCCAGAATATATTTTAATCACTTTATAAATCACATTAGTCTCATGGTTCTAGAATCATTAACAGTCTAGACAGTGACCTCAAGTTCTCAGTCATAACACATGTAGGGGAAAAAACCACACGTTCTCGCAAAGCCTTGCTTAAAACGCCAATTTCCTGGCCCTGGCCTGGCCCACAGGCCCAGATCCCCACGGCGAGTCTGAGGACCTGCTCTGCTGTTCGGCTGGGTTTGGGGCTTGGGGACTGTGGCTCTCTCCCTGGGGATGCCCCATGCATGCACTTCTGGGACCTTGCAACCACCAGCCAAGTTACTATGAGCCAGGACCTCCACAGGCCGCCAGCCCGGGAGGACCTGGGCCACTGGCGGTGCGTCACAAGCCTCCCCTCTAGAGGAGCCCACCCAGGACAGCGCTCGGGGAAGGGTCCGCTGGTGAGAAGGCTGGCCCCCGAGCACAGCTGCCTGGGACCTGAAGACCTGCTACACAACTACATCCACAGTCACCCCACAACCCAGGCGAGGACACCTCGGCGGAGCCAGGAAGCAGAGCCACCTGCCAGCTCCGGGCAGTGGCTGAGCCCCAGGCCCAGGAACGGCCCCCTCCCCCCCACCCGCCCAGGCCGGGAAGCTGCAGGTCTGTGCCTGACGGCACCCCGGTGCTGAGGCCTTGTGCCCAGAAACCAAGGAGAGGGGGATGGGGAGGGCAGGTGGGCCGTGGGCTGTGGGCGGCTCTGAGCAGGAAGGCCAACGGTGGCGTCCACAGGATGGGCCCTGCTCCTGGGGTCCAGCCTGCTCACCTGCTGGAGACCTCGTACTCCTGAGCATCGACCACACAGGGCACGCCAGCCACCCTGACCGTGCCCTGCACGTCCTGCACATGCTGGCCCAGGTTGGAGCCCCTGATGGTGACTCGGGTGCCTCCGTCCACAGGCCCAGTCAGCGGCTCCACCTGTTCCAGGACGAGGGCTGCTCACCTCCGCCCCCCGGCCGGCCCCCCAGCAGCGTGGAGAGACAGACCCAGCCTGCCGCCTTTGGGGCCCAGACCCACGGCAGCCCGCCCTCCCGCCGAGGGCGACAAAGGGGAAGGGACACGCCAGGGTCCCAACGCACCGAGCGGATGAGGGGGGCGGGGCACTGGGTGGCCACGGCCTCAGTGTGGCCGCAGGCTTCCCGGGCCACGCAGCGCGAACGTTCCCCCTCGCACCACACACAGCCATACTGGGGCGCGGCGGTTTGGCAGCGGCTGCAGTCCCCGTGTCCCACGGAACAGTCGTACAGCACCACTGGGGGGCAGAGGCAAGCGTGAGAGGCAGCCCAGGAGAGCCCCACCCCGGCCCCCACCAGCCAGCACAGCAGCCCCGGCAGCTCACCGTGCAGCCCCTCCGCGCTGTCCACGCGCAGGTGGCCGGCCCGGCGCAGGAACAGCCCCACGCGGAGCTCTGGCCGCTGAGTCTCATAGCTGAGCTGGAGAGATGGGAGCGGGGTCAGAGTGTGGGGTTGGGGGAGGCAGCAGGCCTGAGGCAGGGAGGTGGTCAGAGAAAGGAGCAAAATGACTCACGGCGGGAACACAAAGACCGAGGTCAGACTTTGGGTGCAGGAACCCAGGGGACCACAGGGTCAGAGGTCAGAGCTACCAAGACCCCCAGGGACATAGGGCACCAGAGACAGAACCGGAGTGTAGAGCCCGGTGGGTGAGCGGTCAGGGTTGCGATACAAGGACCCCGTGGGACACAGGATCAGAGGTCAGAAGCGGGGCACCAAGCCTGCCTCAGACTCCCAGGGTCAGGGCTAGCGAGGGCTGGGATGAGTGCGGCGTGACCAGCCGGGGTCGGAAGCCACCCAGGCACACGGGACCTGCACCTGGAGCTGCTGGCACGTGACATGGCACCGGGTATCCGGAGGCAGCTCGCACTCAACCTGGGCTGGAACTGCCACCTCACGGCCCTCCAGCTCCATCACACACTCACGGTCTCCCGGGCTGTCCTGAGGGCAGAGGGCACGGCTGTGGGGGCAGCTTCAGGAGCTGGGCCTGGCGAGCCCCGCGGGGACCCCAACCCAGCCCCTGGGTCGGGCGCGAGGCCCGGGCCATGCCCTCTTCCTGGCCCCCAGGGCTTGTATACAGTTTGCCAACAGCCAAGGAGGCCACAGCGACACCCGCAAGCGGGACCCGCTCACCTGGAAGAGGTGCAGGTTCCTGCCCAGCAGCCGCACTTTCCGCTCCACGTGGACTGGCATCAGTGTGGAGCCCTGAACGATCTCCACACACGGGCAGGAGCTGGCCCCGCCGCTCACTTCTTCCTGCAGCACCGAGAGCAAGGCGGCTGCGGACCTCACCCCACCACCTCAGTCCCTCCCGCACAGCACCCCGGGGCGCAGGCCGGCCCCTGCGTCCCTGCCTGGGCGGAACCGCGAGGCAAGCAAGGGGCTGCACCTGCCCCAGTCCCCTCCCGAGGCCTCCTTCCCGGGCCGGGCCTCACCAGCTCCCAGAGCCCGGGGGTGTCGTACTGGTAGTCGAGGCTGGACAGGAGAACGAGGGGGGCCGGAGGGCCCTCGTGCTCGGCCGAGTCTCCGTCACCTGAGAGGAGGGTGGAAGTGGAGAAGGCGGGCGTGTCACCCCCTGTCCACTCGTCCGCCTCGGGCAGCTCGCCGCCTTCTTTCATGAGCCAGTCCAGAGCGGGCTTCTCGGAGCCAGCGGCCCCTGGGAAAGCAGTGGCGGGAGCAGGGCTGGAGGGCTGGTCCCGGGGTTCCGTGGTGGGGGGGGCCTCGGGGCCAGGGTCTGTGGGGGCAGGGGGCAGTGCCGCTGCGTCTGAGGGGGACGGGCGGGAGGCCAAGAGGTCCTCAGGTGTGGCCGTGGGTTGGAGGTCAGGGAGAGCAGGGGCAGTGGTGCCAGGTCTGTCCGGGGGGCTGGCAGGGAGGGGCTCCTCGTGGAGCGGTGGCTCTGTGGAGGCTGAGGCAGGGGAGGCAGGTGAGGCAGGTGTGGGGCTGGGACCTGCCCACGGCTCCCAGGGGCCGAGCAGGGAAGGCCTGGCCTCGGGCAGGACATCTGAAGCTGTGGCTGAGGAGGGAGCCCGCGGCTCCGCGGGAGGGGTGTCGGGAGTAGGGGTGACCGTGGCCTCGGGGGCAGCAGGTGGGAAGGGGGTGGGTGCGTCTTTGGCAGGAGCGGCTGGGGAAAGAAGCAGGCTCTGAGGGGGCGGCAGAGAAAGACAGGAGGGGCCGCTCAGCAGGCAGGCGCGGGAGCAGGCGGCAGGCAGGCAGAGGATGTGTTAAGAGGAAAGGAGACCAAGGAAAAGAGAAACAAAAACAGCCCATTAATTCTCCAAAGGAGAAAAGCGAGGGCAGGCTCCGGGGCATCCGTGCCGAGGCGGGGCCGAGGCCCAGACCTCCCTGCCTCTCAGCTACAAACGCCCTCTCCAGGACGGGACGCCTTCTCCGTGAGTCGTCACACACAGCGGCTCGGGCACACAGGCCCCGGACCGTCAGAAAAACTCTCACCAGGGGACCCCACACCCCCCTCCACGCAGCCCGGCCCGGGGTCACGCTCACCTGTTGGCTGACCACCATGGGCCCAGCATCACACGAGGCCTTGTGCGTGCACAGGTGCTGCCAGACGCACCAGTTACACCCCCAGCGGCTGCTCACGCAGGCCTGGCACCTGCACAGAGCACAGCCATGGGGCTGGGGCCACGACAGGGCAGCCCCGGGTCTGGGGGTCAGGGGGAGGGACTCACTGTGCCGACTGGTGGAGGTCAGTGACGGCTGCACAGTCATAGAAGGAGAGAGCAGCTTTGGCAAGTACGACGGCACCAAACCTGAGCTCCACGCTCACGGAAACATGGTCTGCAAAGGGGGAGAGAGGGCCGGGGCTGAGGAACGGGGAGCAGGGCTCAGACCCCGCGCCGCTGTCCTGAGATCACACAGAGTGGGGCTAACACCCCAATTGGGGGAGGGCACCCAGGGTCAGGGGACAAAGTCCACAGGGCACAAAGTGGGGACTTTAGGGCCTTGGGGACTAGTGGGGAGGCTCAGAGAAAAGGCTGGATTCACAGCTCAAGCAGACCCCACCCCTGGGAGCAAGGTGGGAGGCGGGCAGGGCTCCCAGGCCCTGGGGCTGGCGCCTTGTCTCACCCACCGGCTCCTCTTGGCAGCGCTGGGGCCTCACTAGGGTCTGGGGAGGGGCACATCACACCAGAGCTGGTCAACAGGGCAGGACTCTGGTATCCCCCAAAGTGGCAGGAATAGGACTCCCCCGGCCACAGGGGTGGCAGGTCAGGTATCGACAGGAAAACCTGCCAAGAGAGGCCAGGACACACTGTTGGAGCCACTGGGCAGCGGACCAGGGCTCATGCTTCAGGGGCCCCCAAGGTGGGCAGGCACCAGAGGCCACCAGCCCCGGCACCGTCACAAACACCTTCAGGCCGGGTAATAACAGAGGGAGAAAGCAAGGCCCCAAAGGAAGCGACCTGTGCAAGGCCACGTGGCCCCTGGTACACCTGACACCAAAATCCAAGGTGCCAGCCCATCGCCTGGGCCTCCCCCACCAGGACCCCGCCTGCTCAGGGCACTCACCTCCCTCCGCTCCTCTCGGCTGATGTTGGCAGGATCCACGGCTGCCACCTGCAGACAGCCCGGCTCAGGCTGGAAGCTCCACAGCCACCTCTCTAGGCCCTGGCCCCGTGAGCACTCGGAACGGCGGCTGCACCTGGGCAAGAATGACCAGTGTCCCCGTGGGCCCCTCGCAGGGCCACCGGGAGTTCATGGGCCGGGAACCCCTATAGTCCTGGGGACCGGGGCCGTATCCTCCACTGGGCTGCGACACCGGCAGCGACACCCAGGGCGGAGGACGCAGTAGGGGACTCGGGCCTTCAGAGGGCAGGGGTTGAGAGTCAAGGGTCAAGGACCAGCAGTCTCGCAGGGCACTGAGGGCTCGAGGCTGGGTCCGGAGGAGCGGGCGGAGCGCTGACCTGCCGAGGAGCACACACCACCCACAGTAGGGGTCCCTGTGAGCCAGACAAGACGCACAGTCCAGGTGCTGAGCGCAGGAGGCCACAGGAACCTTGAGAAGCTGTGAGAGCAAAGGGGACTTGAGGCCAGCCCTCCAAACACGAGTGGCTCACCCACATACAGGCCCCTGGCCCAGCCCAAGACCTCTCCCAGCCGCCCGGCTCCAGCCCTCGCCTGGCACTCACTGTGCTCTGAGTCATGACATACAGGTGCTCAAAGGCCCCGTCAAAGACGAGGTCTCTGCTCACCGCAGACCCCTGCTGGATACTCTGGGTGGAGTATGGGTGGCCATCACTTCCCGGGCCCAAGTACACCTGAGATCAGAAACCACAAGGTCTGGGACCCAAGGCCGTGGCTGCAGGCCCAAGGTTCTCCCTCTCCCCACAGTGAAGCAATTTAAGGGGAGATTTCCTCCCAGGCAGAAGAGGCCACACCACCCAGCCCCGGGGGCGGGGTGGGGATCACAGTTAACTACCACCCAGCCTGGGAACAGGGACACGGGCTATCTCACCCAGTCCGGGGTCAGGGGCACGCCATGTCCCAGCCCCAGGGGTTCCAGGGGCGGCTCTGCCCAGGCTGGGTCCCCAGGACTTCCCGTGGACTCACCCTATGCAGCTGCCCTTGACTGTCACCCAGGAAAGCAATAGTGTGTCCATCCTCCATGGTGACTGCCACGGCTGTTAGCTGAACCCCAGGCCACTCTAGAACTGGTGTGGCTTCCAGGGGGACACGGCTGGCCATGGGGCTGGGCGTGTGGTCCGAGCCACAGGGATAGGCGTCCAGGGTGTCCTGCGGGAGCAGCAGCGAGGCCTTCCCTGGACGGCTTCCCTGCCCCAGCCGCCCGGACAACCCCGCTGCCTTCCGCAGGCTCTCTGCCAGTTCTCCCTGAACAATTGTCTTCTCTGCTGGGCCTCCTGGGACAATGGCGTCCCTGCCCCCAGCCTCCCTGTCAACACCTCCCACAGCTGCACCCTCAGCCCTGCCCGGGCGGCTCATCTCCAGCTGGGCCAGGACAGCCTCCAGCAGCTCCTCCATCCGCTCTTTACTCCCACCTGCCTGGGGCCCCACCTTTGCCCACCCCTGGCCTGGGAGCGGCTTCCTCCGGCGACGCGAAGCCCGGCCTCCCCCCAGCCGACTTCTCCGAAGCCCTCGCAGCTTGCACCCTCGACTCCCATCCACACCCCAGGCCCTGGCACCTCTCAATGGCTCAGGCCCGCTATGTGCAGCTTCTTCCCTTCTTTAAGCCATCCTGAGGCTAGAGCCTAACAAGCCTCAACCTCACCAGCCCTCTTGCTCAAAAACCTAAAACAACAGGTCCCACTCCCCCCATCCCCATTCTGGGTGGCTGCCCCATACCCCAAACACCCTCCCAGTCCACCTACACAAATACCACCCCTTCAAAGCCCACCCCTGACAGCTCTGTCCCCCTGAATGCCATGCTTACCTCAGGTACCCAGACTCGAAGTCACATCTGTGACATCCACTACCCTGCTCAGCCCCACACCACCGCCAGCTTCCCTCAGACTCCTGGGCAGCTGCCAGGCAGCGAATTCCTGGCCAGTGGCCTCAGGGACGGCTAAGCGCTGGGACTCACCACAGGCAGCTGCGCACAGTCGGAGTTGACATCATACTCGATGTAGGCCACCTCCACCCCGTCCGCGCTGCGGCCCTCCCGAGTGTAGCAGGCATCGCGCGTGAGGTCGGCAAGGCGGTCCACCTCGTCCAGGCGGAAGGCACAGAGGGCAGAGGCCCCAGACACCCCGGCCGCTGCCGACGGGGGCCGGCCCACGGTGGGGGGGGCGGCCGAGGAGAAGGCTACGAAGAGCACCTCCCCGCGGGCCGCCTCCCTGGACGTGGCCACAGCCGCGGCCTGGATCAGCCCGTAGCGGCCACCCTGGCAGGCCAGTGGCAACTCCACGTAGGAGTAATAGTGCTGGTCCCGGAGGCACACGCGGGACACATAGGCACGGAAGGCTCGAGACTGAGCCTGCAGGTCCCGCCGCAGGAACAGGAAGTAGGCACTGTCCCCGTGTGCGAAGGCGCTTACGAAGTGGTGGCTGTACTCAGAGAGGCGGCCCACAGCCAGCTTGGCTGTCTCCTCATAGGAGAAGACAGCCTGGGGGTCCGGGGGCCGCAAGGCTCGGGTTGTGATGGGAGGGATGCCGCCTCCTGCGCCCCTGCTGGTGTATCCCCGCCCCACAAACAGGAGGGGTTCCCCATCCAAGCCCCGGGCCACCAGCCCCACAGTGTTGACCTCAGGGTCGTTGGCGGCGACATACTGGGTGTCCCCGGGCCGCTCTGGCCGCAGCAGCAGCTGCTGGAGCTGCCCCAGGCCCCGCTGCTCACAGACGCCCTGGTGCACACTCCCGCACACCACCAGGGCGCCCGGGCTGACCAGGAGCAGCTGGTTCGGGTTGTCGGTCGGCTGGGCCTGAGGGCACTCATCGCGCACCACAGGCGGCAGGCAGTCCCTGCTATCCAGCACAGGGCCAGTGGGCACGGCGGCCTCCAGCTGCAGCTCCGGGCTCAGCTGGAACAGGAAGTTAGTGGCCCCCAGGTAGATGGTGCCGGAGGTGGGGTCCCGCGCCAGGTGCTGCAGACGAGTGCCATTGGGAACGAAAGCATCCGGCGGAGGGGGGCGGAGGGTGAGGACCCACCCGGCCCAGAGCACCTGGAGGAGAGCCGGGCCGAGGGCGGGCATGGTCACCTGGCGGGGAGAGAGGTGGAGCAGGGCTCACGCGGCCACCTGAGCGCCGTGAGGGGCAGGGCTCCATCGCCACTGAGACGCCCCCTGGACCCAGGGGTGGGTGGAGGCACCGTGATCCAGGATCACCCCGGGACCACATCCTAGCAAGGGGTCAGGAGATCTTTCCTGGAAACTTCAAAACTGCCTGTCTGCAAGTGCTCTTCTCTCAGGAGACCTTGACCCTACCCCATCCTCACCCTGCACTGCCCTGTGTCACCCACCAGAGTCTGAGGGTGAGCGACTGCTAGGGCAGAGTCGCGGGGAACGCCCCACCCCCAGTGACCAGGCCCGGAAGCGGCAAGAGAAAGTAGGTGACCAGAAGGAGCCCAGAGCCGGGAGGAGGGGCGGGCCCTCCTCGAAGATGTCAGTTTCCTGGGCAGGAGAAGGAAGGAGGGCGAAGTCCCATGGGCCACTGGCAAGTTAGGGCGAGGCAAGATTTGGAGGAAGGGCCTTTCCGCAGGAATGCACAGGGTAATGAGCCCAGGGCCAAAGGCCCAAGAGAAGAGGGAAGTCCGGGAAGTCCCGGCCACCAGGAGAGGCGGGAGTGACACTTCTCCCAGATGCTTAGGTGTGAAGTCAGGCTCACCTGGCAGGGCCGGCGGGGTCAGGAGACAACAGCATGACCTGTGTCGGCGTCACCTGGCCAAGGAGAAAGCAGAACATGAAGCCGGGGGCTGGGATGTGGGCATGCGTAGGACGCACAGAGGTACCCCCTTCTCCCTGCCCAGCCCGCCGGTGGAACTGGGCCCAGCCTGGCCCTCAGCCACCAAACACATTCCACAGGGGACGCCTCCTCAGAGCCCGCACAGGGAGGGGGCGGGTGGGAGGACCAGGCACCCTCAGGGCCTGGGAAAGGGCAGCGAGGAAGGAGCCCCAGGACTGGCAGGGCGCAGCCAGGCCCCCCGCATGGCCCTGTCCTGCTACAGCCCCTCTTTTTGCTCCTTGGCACTCTCCCGTCCCCACCATCCGCCCAAACGGCACCCTATCAAGGCACCCAGGTGCACAGGCTGGGGGCTGTCCTAGCCCAAACTGCCACTAGCACAGAAGTAGACACATGCTCGCACAAACCCAGAAGCAGACATACCAGCCAGATGCACACGGATGCAATCTCTACACACAGAACACAGGCAGACACACCACCTGTACTTAGATACCTGCACAAAGACACATCCACATAGCAACAAACTCCTTACACACAGAAACAAGCACATCACACAAACATGCGCACGTCTGAAGAGGCACGTCACGCCCACATACCAAAGACAAATACATTCAGACACCCACACACAGACACATGCACACTTCCCTGGGTTTGAGCCCTAAGGCCTAGAGGGCTGTGGGAGCCTGGCCATCTCTTGCTATTTCCTCTCCAGAAGGTCAAAGGAGATCCAGGGCCCGGGGTCGGGGAGGGGGGTGTCCTAGAATAAGTCACCATGCCCAGATGTGCCCCCATCCTCAGGAGCTCCCCAGGTCCTTCCTCACAGGCTCGGCTAAGGCCTGCTGGGACCAGGAAACCATGGCAACACCATCCTTCCCAGGCCTGGTGGTCCTCAGCCAGCAGCTCCAACGCTGGTGAAGCGCTGGGACAGCCGTACATCCCAGGCCATCAAGCACTTCCCCTACTTGCCTGTGCCCAGGCCACGTTGCCCAGCCCCTCCTACCACCCAGCTGCCAGACTGCCAGTGGGAGAGCCTCCCTCGCCAGGTCAGCTCCTCCCAGCCAAGGGCACCGCGGGGTATCCCCGAGGCTGCCCCAGAGTGAGTGAGGCTGGGCCAAAGGCTGGGAGGAGGGTCCAGCAGCCCAGTGGGAGCTGTGGCCACTGCCCGGCTGGGCACTGCTCCCGAAATAGCTTGGGGGTTTCCATTTTTAGTGTGCAGAGAACAGGGCAGCTCTATGGGAGCAGGAACAAGGCCGCCTCTGTTTGCCACCAGAGGGGGCGGGGGGAGGGGGTGGCAAGGAGAGTCGTGAACCCGGCCAGAAGCCCAGGACTGTGGCAAAGGCTTCCCAGGAGCCCCCCACCTTGTTTCCAAGGGGTGAGGGAAGAAAGTGTCTTCCTCCAGGAAGACAGGGTGTGCCTGAGGATGGGCAGAGGCCACCTCCTGCGCTTGGCTCTCTCCCCTCCTGCAGCCTCCTGCTCAGGGGTGTGCCTGGAGCAGAGGGTCCACAGTTAGACCAACATTCACTCCTCTGTCCGCTTACAAACATTTGCTCAGAGCCTTCTGTGTGCCAAGGTCCTCTAGTCCTCAAGGGGCAGCAACCAAGACACTCCCTGAATGTAAAAGCACAACTGGGTGGCCCAGAGGAAGAAGATGGGTTGGGACCAGAATGGCCCCTTGGGCCAGGCTTCGTAAGTTACTGAAACAGAGCCTAGAACCCCTCGCCCGTCCCTGCTTACCACGCAAGGGAGAGGAAGAGGAAAAGGACAGTGACAATTTCCCCTCCTTGCTGGGCATTCTTATGTCACTTAACCTCTGTCACAGGCCACACAGCAGCCCCGGCTCCTTGTCAGTCCTGCTTCACAGGATCTTCAAGCAGAATCGAAGCACATCCCTCCCTTCCTCCCTCCCGGGGTCCTGGGGGCACACTAGGGCCTGGGATGAAGACTGAGCCCCTTCAGCCCCCGCCCTCTCCCACACATGCTCCTCCTCTCCCACACATGCTCCTCGTGCCTGGCGCCTGAACTGCAGGCCGGTTGGCTCCTCCCTGATATCACACAGGCTGTTCCCATCGCCTGGAATACCCACTCCCCCTCCAGCCTATTAGCAGAACTCCCAGCCACCATCCCCCAGGGGAGCCTTCCCAGTCGACCGGAGCCGCTGAGCCGCTGAGCCCACTCCGTGTGGTGGGTGTGCAGCGTTGCCTTGGGCTGAACAGGACAACAGGACTGCTTTGACCATTAAAGGAGACAGGGTGTATGTCCGGCATTGGTGGCACCAACCAAGGCCACTTTCCTCCCTGTTCCACCCACTCTGGACTTAAAGCTCCCTGAAGGCAGGGGCGTGGCTTTTGATTCAGAGGCCCCAGCAACGGAGACAGAGCAGGTTAACACAAAGCAGATGCTCCTTGTAAGAGCCCCTCTTTCATAGCCAAGGACACCCAGCCAGCAGACAAGATCGGGGCTCTCTGAGCTACTTGGCCTCTCAAAGCACAGGGTGTAAGCACCACTTTTATTAATGAGCAGGCCAGAGCCGACCAAAAAGGAGGGTTTGGAGCCAGGCCTCACATCCCTGACTTGCACAGCCAGGATCTCCTGCCCACCCCACAGATCCGAGGCCCGCGCCAGGCTCACAGCCAAAGCCTCACTCTGCCTGTGCCCAGGCCTGTCCTGAAGTCTTTTCCGGCCCACATTTCTCTGGACCTCTGAGGCAGGGCCCAAGATGCCTGATTTCTGCCTGCGAAGAAGATACCTCCTGGGCCCTTCTGGGATGTTCTTGCCAACCAAAGGGGCTCACAAATGCTGCCATTCCACATCCGAAGAAGGGTCGCACCCAGCCCTAATTTTGCGACTCCTGGAAATTACTGGAAAACTGGGCTTTCCTTTTCCCCATTCTGCTGCTCGCGGGGCCGGCCGAGAAGAGTTATTCATTGACAGAGTGGAGTGCACACCCCTCGCCCTGTTGTCTGTGCGTTGACGTGCGGTGGGCGGATACACCATTTATTCACAGGGTCCCGCGAGGACTCAAGAACAGTCTGTGGCCCGGGAAGGGGTCCCCCCGCAGGCGATGCGTGCAGGAGGTTCACTGCCCACACTTGTCGGCTGCACCGAGCGCAGCCTAAAGAACTGTTACTGCGCACGGGAAAGCCTCGACCTCCCCATCGGCTCCTCCCCGGCCCTCCGCCCTCCTCTCCCGGCCGCCGCACGGACCCTACCAGTGGTCTTGGGAGGGCGGGGAAGGGGCCGGCCGGTTCCGGCTGAGGCGGCGGTGGCGGCGAGGAGGGGGCGCGGAGGAGCAGCTCCACCTCCTCTGTCTCCCAATCGCGTTACAGGCGCAGCCGCCAGAGTTTCCATTTACGCGGAGAAGTGTGATCCCAACTCTCAGGACCGAAGCCGCCCACCACTCACGGGGCTGCCCCTGTCCTGCGGGATCCAGGCCTGAGGCCCTTCCCCCGGGGGGCGCGCCGCGGCGCCGGGTCCCCACCACCCCGGCCCCCGGCCCCGCACTCACCACCCGGCCGGGCCCGCGGGACGAGCGCGCCGAGGCGGACGCCGGCCTCTCCGGGCTCGGGATCTGCGCGCGGCGACCTCGCTGCCCGCCTTCGCCCCCCGGAGGTGGGTCTGGCGGAGCCGCAGCTGTTACCCGGAGACCGAAGGGCGGAAAACTGCGCCCGCTGCCCGCCCCTCCCGCCGCGGCGCTGCCACCGCCGGGAACAAAGAAGACAAAGCCCGTCGGCCGGGCCGGCTCTGCTCCTTCCCCCGCGCCCGCCGGGCCGCCCTCCCCCCGCCCGCCGCCCAGGCCAGGCCGGAAGCCGCCGGCAGAGCCGCGCGCGCGCCCCGAGCTGCCTGGGACCCCCCGCGGGCTCCGCACTTGCCGAGGGCGAGGGACTCGACCCGTCCCTTGTGGGGAGGGGCAGGCTGCGCCCCGGAGGTAGCCAAGGCAACGCGGATCCCAGCGGGGTGGGAGACGAAGTGGAGCTCCGCTTGCAGGCCGCCCCACCCCGCCCCGCCCCGCCCCGCCCCCGTCGGGCCTCACCTGCGCGCCGCGAAGAACCGGAATTGGGAGCCCTCCCGCGATGGAGGCGCGGGGGGCGCGCTACGCACCCCTAGGTGGCTGCTACCTTGAGCGTCCAGGCCTCTTACTGCCCGCCGGCGTCGGGTGGGACCCGCGCCCCCTACCTGCTCCGCCAGTTCGTTAGCCACCACCTCCTCCGCCCCGCAAAGTCCCGAGCTTCCTCTTTTCCCTTCACGTACCTGGCTCCCTTGGTCGGCCTCCTCCAACTTTGTTTACCTGCGTTCCTAGGCGTCTAGTTTCTCCTACCGCGCCCGGTCCTGCCCATCATCCTCACTCCCAGAACTCCCAAACAGGCAACCCCTCCTTCCGGCCCCCACCTCCGGCTGTGCGGGAAGAGCGCAGGCATTGGGGCTGGAGCTGGGGCTGGGTTTGCGCCATCACTAAGCCAAGTAACCTGACCCCCGCCACCCCCAACCATACATGACCCGCCTATTTGCTCACCAAGTGGAGGTGATACCACACCTAGCCCCACTGTTGAAGGAGGACGCAGTCGGCTGCAAAAGTACACGAGCAAGGGCACATTTCCGTCCTTTTTTTCCAGGCTTGTACCTGGACCCACCCCCACGCTGAGAAGCCCTGGGCAAGTTTAAACTCCCTCACTAGCAAATACCTGGGCCATCCAAGGAGGAACTGCTGGGCAGAAGGGTTCTCTCCAGAGGCCCATTTGTGCCCCCTGCTGGGCCCTTCTCACCCTGGTCTGCCTATCGCAAACTCCAGCTGGGATACGGGCCCATCCTAGTACCTATTATCACTTCTCGAGGATTTTGGCTCAAGGCCATTAGGATGGCCTAGCAGGCAAAATTTGTCACACATGCTCACTACCCTGGAAGCCCCCAGAGCCTCTGCGAGCTGGGGGGAGCCTCAACCAGAAGGTTCAGGTCATCCACGCTGGCTACTACCCAAATCACTACCACCACTGGCACCCTCTTCCCACCTGCCACCCCCCAGCCCCTCATTAAGAGTCTGCCTTCAGCCCTGGCTGGTGTGGCTCAGTTGGATGAGCTTAGTCCTGCAAATCAAAAGGTCGTAGGTTCAATTCCCGGTCAGAGCACATGCCTGGGTTGTGTGCCTGCTCCCCTGCCAGGGCATGTGCAAGAGGCAATGGATCAATGCTTCTCTCTCACATAGCTGTTTCTCTCTTTCTCCCTTCCCCTCTCTCTAGAGTCAATAAAAGAAACAAAAAAAAATGTTTTTAAGAGTCTGACTTTACTCTCATCTACCCAACTCTGCCTTCTAAATTCTCCCTTCCCAAGGCCTCAGGTCACTACCGTTCCTCTGCCTCTCTCCAGCCCTGATCTGGACCAGCATGGCACCCTCTGCCCAGTCCCCTCGTCCCTGGCCTCCGACGTCGGAGGCCCCAGGCGCCTGCCAATCTGCCGCCCCAGCTCCTCCACCTGATTGTCTCACCTTGTGCTCCACTCCCCCACAGCCATCACCACCTCCACCAGGTCAACCTGTCCTAAGTCCCTCTCCTATCATGGCTTTCCCGCCCATGCAGCTTGTGGGGAGGGGCGATCCTTCCAGGTGCCTGCAATCCTCTCCTCCCTAAGCCTGTCACTAAGTGCACACCCCGAGGGGAAGGTGGGACTTCTAAACCCCACAATAGCCCCCATCTGTACACAGACATGGCACCTCCTACCCCATGAGTGTGAACGTCCCAAGTGCAGAGGCCATGTCATCCCGCGCCATCCTGGGGAATCACTGTGAAGAAAACATTGCCAGCGATGAAGTGACCAAATGGCCAAGGGGCCAGGTGCTCAGAGGCTCAAAGCCCCCATGGGGCCACATGGGCCATGCTCACTCCTCAGGCCTGAGCACAGGCTTCAAGAAGGGAGGGCACTTTATGGGAAACACTTCTGGCTCCACGGGCCTCTGCTTAGCAAGCCCACAGAGAGCCCCTCCCCGCAGACCCCGGGCACCCCCTCAGGGCGCTCGGAGCTTCCCCAGGCCCGGAAAGTCCTCCAGAACTCTGTCGGGAGCATAGGGTGCCTCCCCACTGCCCTTGTTTACTCAAGGACACTGTACAAGGCCACCATGGCCATTTAGTCCAGGGAGTCAAAGGTTGCCCTTCTCCCCTGAAAAGGAACAGGTCAGAGGGCTCCAGGGAAGTCCGCCTCCACGCCTCCCACTGCACCTCCCACCTCAGGGAAGCCCATCCCCATTGCTGTCTCTGCTCACACCGCGGGCAGGCTGAACTCTGTCCATGCCGGTGGAGGCCATCCCTGGGCTTATGCTGGAGGACACCCAGCCCTAGTAGCACACCAGGACCGCCCAAAGCGCTCTGCACCAGCGACCCAGATTGGCCACCAATCCCTGTAATTATGTCCCCAACAACATTTATCAACGCTTCCCCCAACCCTCCTTCCCTGCTCTCCTCTGATTATCCCTCCTGCATTAGAACCGGGAGGTGCTCCCCACTGTGGCAGAGAAAGTGATCCAGAGAGGGACAGTCATCATGGTCACCAACGGGTGGGCAGCAGGCTAGGTTCCACTCACGAGAATGCACAGGCCCCCTGATACACGAGGGCTGAGGCAATGGAAGGCAGGCCAGGAAACCCAAAATGAAAATCCAGACCTCGCCCTGGCTGGTGTGGCTCAGTGGACTGAGTGCCGACCTGTGAACCAAGGGGTCGCCCGTTCGATTCCCAGTCAGGGCACAGGCCTGGGTTGCAGGCCAGGTTCCCAGGGTGGGGCGCGAGAGGCAGCCACACATGGATGTTTCTCTTCCTCTCTCCCTCCCTTCCCCCCTCTCTAAAAATAAACACATGAAATCTTAAAAAAAAAAAAAAAAAAAGGAAAAGAAAAGAAAATTCAGGCCTTGAGGTATCCAAAACAGTCCTGAACCAAGGACAAGACCAAGAGGAGATAAGAGAGGAACTAAAGGGGGTGATTAATGTAATTCCAGATCAAACCCTTGAGTCTTCAAATCGCAATTTTCAACAGATAAAACTCAGTCCAATATAAATTACTTTAAATAACACAAACTCAAAGACATTTTAATTGGACATTAGCACAAAGTTTTCATAATTAATATAAATGAGCATCGCCTAAAAAGCAAAGTGTGCCTGCTGGTGAGCCACACAGACCGAACCCAGGCTCAGGCTGAGGTCGCGTGCGTCTCCATAGGCTCACTTCAGTGCTGGGATTCTCTACTAAATCCACACCCATACCCACCCCGTCAGACCCTCCAGACTCGAGTCCAGGGGCTAGCTGGCCCTGAAGAGCACGTAGAGCATAGGCATTGAGACCATGATTGTCACACAGGTGACCAGCGTACTGTAGATGGTGTTCCTGTTGACCTGGGCTTCTAGCCTCTGCTCCATGTCCGCCAGTGCCAAGATCATGTTCCCCTGCTCCAGCGAGGAGCTAGGCAGAGCCCTGTCTGCAGCCTTTGCAAGAGGAACCACCCCAGCCGTTTGGCTGAAAGTCTTTTCCAGACCATGAAGCTGTTCTCGTAAATCCTCTAGGCAGGAACGGACCTGCCTGGAATGGCTGAGCTGCTCTTTCAGGGCAGCGGAGAGAACATCTGCATCTCTGCCTCGGGTGGGGGCAGTGCCTGCCTGGGACCCAGAGCTCTGCCCTGGCCCAGCTTGTACCAGGCTCCTCAGGTCCGCCATGAGGTCGTGGAGGTCCCTCTGCTGGAGGGAGTAGCTGGATGCCTGTTCTCGAATGGCCTCCTGCAGGCTCACGGGCCCCTTCTGCGCCTCCAGGAGTAAGACCTTCAGCTCCTGCAGCCGCACACGATTCACGTAGGTGGAGCCAGCCACACCAATCAGGGCCCCCAGGACCGAGCCGATGAGGGACCAGTTTTTGGTCCTCTCCGCCCGAGCGCGCTCCTTCTCGTGACTTTCCCGCACAGCCGCAGAGAAGAGGGAGAACTGTTCTCGCTCAGAGTCTTCGGCGCGCACATAGGCCGCGCGTAGCCTCTTCTCCTCCTGCAGAAACACAGCCGCATTATCCGGTGGCCACGTGGCCGGGCAGCTACAGCTGCTGGCGGATGCCCCACACCCCTGAGGCTCAGCCTTATGTCTGGCACTGAAGACATGCCAGTGAATGAGGGCAGCCTCGGCCTGGTTGTGTGGGGGGTGCAAAGGAATGGGGCGGCTGACATGGCTGCACTGTCCTCCTAGCCAAGCAGCCGTGGCTTTCACCAGACTTGTACCGATGTCTACAGAATGTGTCTATCGGAAGGCAAGTGTCTGGCACTTTCTGGGCTAGCCCCCTCCCTGGTGCTCCCTCCTTAGCAATTTGGGGCCGGGTTACACGGCCCTGCTCTGGTGACCCCCAGACTCCAGGAGGAGGTGGGCAGAGGGGCTCAGGAAGCCTGGGGCCCAGTCCCTCCAAAGGAGCTTCCAGCGGACCTCCTTACCAGGCCTCTGACCACCAGACCAGCTCCCGCCTCACCCCTCTGTGACCTGCCAGGTGACCTGCCAGGCCGGGGCCCTGTGCAGGTGAGGACGTGCCACCTCCCGAGGTGCCTACCTGCAGCATCCTGTGCTCCAGAGTGGCCAGTTCCAGGTACTGGTTATCCTCTCTGGAGGTGCGGTCCAAGCGGTCCCTCACCTCCTTCAGCTTGGCCTGCTGCACTTCCAAGTCCTCCTGAGCCTCGCGGACAAGCCCGCGGGCCACCATGAACACCTTCTCTGCCTGCGGAGAGAACAGCGGAAGCCTCCTGTCCCTTCTCTCCACACCCCCGCAGGGCCAGCTCTGTTCCCAGCGAGACTGGCTGAGAAGAGGGAAGTGGGGGGTCGGTGCAAAGGGTGGCAAGGCTGTTCCTCAGAAACATAATCCTGGCTCACCCAGTCACCCTCCAAAGGCAGCTCTGGGCTGAATCACCGTCCGAATCACCGGATTTATCCAGTCAAGTGGAAATAACATGCCCTTGAGAAACTTGAAAACAGCTAAGAATGCACCAACCCAGCCAACTCAGGTCTGATACAAACCACAGAAAGAAACCTATGTTCTTAAGATGTTTTGTGTGTCACCTTATTTACATTTCACAACAGGACCATTGTCATGGCCTCCACTGGACCCACGCAGAAACCCCAGCTCAGCCAAGGCTGCGACCTCCGAGCCTCCCGCGGCAGCCCAGCTTGTCCCGCCTCTCCAGGCTGGTCTGCACCGAGGCAGGCGCGGGGACGCAGACGGCAGAATGCGTGTCCGCTGCCACAGGGGACGTCTCCCACGCCCTCCGTCTTCACAGGGGATGTTTTCATTCCACGCAGGGCTTCAAGAACACGGCAGCCCAGGAACCCTCCAAGCGACTCTCACCGCTAACCCCACATGGCCAGTGAAGGAAGAGCGTGCTGGCCTAACAGAGCGGGTGCTGATGACCAGGGACACCTCGACACACAGCGACCTGTTTTCGGGGTGGGTGGGTGGGGGCACAGTCACAGCGCGATCTTCACCCCTGGAGGATTGAACCCAGGCTGCCATGTGCAAGACAGTCAGATCCCTCCACTCGCAGTATGTGTTCGAGAACAGGCAAACCTGGGTGTGGCTGATGGCTTTCTGGCAGGGGCCCCCGGGCCCCCGACTCACCTCGGTTACCTTTCCCTGGGCCTCGCGAACCTCGCTGAGTCCTACAAACTCTTCATATCTGTCCCACCACGTCTTGGCTGTGGCGAAAGCTCGCTGTCGAAGGCTGCGTCCCAGGGTTCTTCCCAGGGCTGAGAGGCGCTGGTACAGCCCGACGGCCCCCTCCTCAGGTCTCTTCTCTCTGGGCTGGCTCGCGCCTGGGCTGCACAGGGTCCTAGTCATCAAGTCCCCTCCAAGGAGGCCTCTCCTCACCAGTATGGGGGGCACACCCACGATGCAGTGCATGGCCGACAGGGGGCAGCACCGTGTCATTGAGAGATCTGTGGGGGACACCAGACAGCTGAGCTCACAGCTGAGAAAGGCGGGGCCTCAGTCAGGCTGCAAGGCCTAGAGGCAGCCCCAAACTGACCGGCTTCCCCTGAACGGCCCATGGCCAGTGCTGCGCTGCTGGGCCTCGAGGCCGCGGCAGCCAGGCTTCTCCCTGCCCCGTGGTGTGCCCGGGGAGTGGGACCCAACGGGGAGGAGTGCACGTTTAGGAAACCAGGCCTCCCGCCTCTGTCCACAGTGCCACACAAACCAGCCCGCCCACCGCACCCGCATCCCCAGGTCCCGCTGTGACTCAGATAAGAGTTCTGGGGCCCAGGCTCCTGATGTCATCAAAGCAAATCCTCAAAGCTGTGTTGTGTCCACAAAGCCCCACAAATTCCCTAGGAAACCGTGAAATAGAGAAGATTTCAGGGACAGATCGTGGTAAGAGACCATCAAAACCAGTTTCCCAGAAACCCTGGAAGTGCCCCAGCACCGGGGAGGCAGGCTGCGACTTTTGTTTGAGGACTCAGGCCACCTGTGTCCCAAGCAGAAAAGCCCCTCCTCGGCGCTCCTCTGAGAAGACTATTGCAGAGGAAACGGGGATCCTTCAGGGACGACGGCCCTCCTCCCGGCCTCCACGCCCACACTCGCCCACACTCGCCAGGGCCAGGTTACGAAGTCCCGGGCTCACGCTGCTTCCCTTTCCACAAGCTCCTCCTCCTCGCCAACCTTACTCACCACTCACCAGGTGAGGCTTCTTTAACCTCTCCCTTTTCAACCTCACTTAGATGTTCAGGGCCCAACAACGCCTACCTCTCCACTCGAATGAACAGCTCAGGGAGTCTCCCACTTCCCAGTGAGGCCCCACCAGGCCCCAGAGCAGCTGTGACTCTGAGGACCAGGAGGAGAGGGCCACCGAACGCCCCCCCCCGCCCTCCCCCCCTCACCACCATGCTCCCAGGCAAACCTGGGCCAGCAGCACCCTCCCCTGGACAAACTACCTCCACAAGTCCCCTGGCTGTCACAGTGACACCTGGTGGCCAAACAAGCAGGCCAGAGCGAGAACAGCAGAGGAAGCTGGCGACAGGAAGACAAACTGGAGGTGACATGGAACAGAGATGGGCCAGAGCAACCCCATGCCGTGCTTGGAGAAGCTCCGGCTCTGTCGACAACTAAATTGGGTAGGGACATTCCTCCTGGACAAAGTGGACCGGAGCCGAGGGCCACAGAGGGGGGCATCCCCGTACCAGTGGCTCCAAGCTGGTGCTGCCCCTGAACCCGAGTCCCAGTCAGAAGGCCCAGGGGAGCACACGTCAGCCACGCCCCGGTGGTCGGGCAGGCCACCTCGATGCCAGTGCCCACTGCGCACACGCCGTGAGCCTACAACAATCTCGCAGGCACACCCCTCATCAGAGAGGAGCGCGCAGCCTGGCGGCCCCGCCAACACAGCACCCGCTCTCCTCCTCCCAGGCAACACTCAGCGGACGGCACCCACCTTGGCTCTCACTACTTTCTTGTCAACCCTCCTTTTTTTAAATGTGCTGATTTTTTTTTTTTTTTTGAGAAAGAGAAATATCAATTTGTTGTTCCACTATTTATTGGTTATAGTTGCATGTGCCCTGACTGGGGATCGAACCCGCAAGCTCAGCATATCAGGATGACACTCCCACTAACTGAGCTACCTGGTCAGGGCCCCCTTCTCTCTTCATCCCATTCCACCAAGCTGTTCTCCTGAAGGCCCTGCAAATGTCCACCTGGCAAGATCCAGCAGGAGCTTCTCAGATTTCTCCACTATCTCCACAGCTTTCAACACCCTCTCTTTTTGAAATCACTCCCCCCTCTTGGCTTCCCCTGACCTTCTTAGCTTCCTTTCCTCTACCAGCCGCCCAGTCTTGGACCCCAGGAAGGACACCCAACCCTGGCAGAGAGGGCAGCTCCAGCCCGCTTCGAAGTCCCGGCTCCCCCCGCCCCTGCCCCCGGCCCCCACAGCTGTTCTTCACGTGGCCACCAGAGGGCTGTTAGTCCTAAGGCAGACCACAAGCCTGGGTTTCCACCTCACCTGGCGTTAACTCGGGTCCTACCGCTGGCTCGTCCTCTCCCTCCTCTCCCTCGTCTCCATTCCTGCGCTCCCCTCCAGCCGCCCTCCCACGCTCAGTGCGACCCTGCCTGTGCCCTGCCATTCCTGAGCCGCTCTTCCCCCGAGTCCAGTCGGCTCACCCTCACTGCTATGTCCTTGCTCCAATACCACCTCTTGACAAGGCCTTCCTTGACCACCCCCTCCTCGGCCCCCTTACCTCCTTCATTTTTCTCCATCAGACACACGTTGCTTTCTTCAGGGGTTACCAGCCCCTCCCTAGGACATAAGCTTGGTGATGGCAAGGACTGCGCATCATACATGCCAAGGACCCCCAGACTGTCCCTCCACTTCAGTCCCTCCTCTCAGCCTCCCACCTTCCTGCCCCTGCCTGTCTCTCAGCTTCTCCCCACTGAGATGCCCCACAAGCCCCCCAAGAAAGGGAAGACGTTCCTGGCAGAAGAACTGGGAAAGTGCTGGAGGCTTCTCAAACCTGAGAGGCAGCCGGGGCAGCTGGAAAGAAGCAGAGGAGGGAGGAGCAGACGGAGGAGAGGCTGGACGGACGGACGGGGCCAAACTAAGCAGGGCCCTGAGGCCCGGCTGCAGGTCTTGCACCTCCAAATCCACTCTCCCGTCCATCCAGGCGCCTGTCTCCACCAAATGCCCGTTCCTCGGCCTCCATCACCTGCACCTCATCCTCTCTTGTAGCTCATGGCCGGCTCCCTTTTTCATCAAGGAAATATTTAAAAATTGGAAGAGAACTTCCCACCACACCTCCCCACCTGCCAGTGTCTGTCGCACTGCCACCTTCTCTCTTGTTCACCAAGAGCCCATGCTCCAGGGAGGACCAAGCTGGGTCCCAGGTCCCATGTCCTCTCCCCTCCTCAGACACTGCTCAGTAATTAATCTGATACCCCCTCCCTCTAGCAACCACCCTATTTCTCTGCTCCTCTTTACAGCCGAACTCCCTGTCAGGTGGTCTCTACTCACTGTCCCCAGTTTCTCTTCTCCCATTCTCTCTTAAACTCTCTCATCTGGCCCTCACTGCCACCATGCCACTGGAACTGCTCTGGGCCAGGTCATCTCCACTGTGAAATCCAATGGTCAGTTCTCCGTTCTCATCACTTGCAGCCTGTGCCTCATGACGGTTCCCTTCTCCTTGGAAGGCCTTCAGCTCTTGGCTTCCAGTCCCCACGCGGCTCCCTAACCTTTGCACAGAGTGCCCCAGGGCTCGGTCCTCAGGCTCCTCCCGTCCGTAGTCCCAAGGCTTTAAAAACCACCTACAAGTCCAGGCCAGGTGGCTCATTTGGTGGGAGTGTCATCCTGTGCACCAAAGTTGTGGGTCCAATTCCCAGTCAGGGCACATACCTAGGTTGTAGGTTCTATCCCCAGGTGGGACATATATGGGAGGCAAGTGATTGATGTTTCTCTCTTGCAACAATGTTTCTCTCGCATCAATGTTTCTCTCTCCCTCTCTCCCTTCCTCTTTCTCTAAAATCAATAAACATACTCTTGAATGAGGATTTTTAAATTAATTAATTATTTACATATTTAAAAAAACCATCTGTGAAAATATTCTAAAATTGATTGTATCCATGGTTGCACAACACTGCAAAATACTAAAACCACTGCATTGGACACATTAAATAGGCGAGTTATGTGGCATGTAAATTGTATCTCAATAAAGCTGTTACTTAAAAATAGAAACCAATTATACTGACCTATCCATCTCAGATGTCTCCTCTGAACTCCAGGTTGATTTACAGAATTGCCCAATCCACATCTCTACTTGGAAGGCTAATGGGGACCTTGTCTCCCCTTCCTAAACCCGCCATTCCCACAGCCTTCTCCATCTTGGTTACAAAAACCCCAAGACCAATTCAGGCCAAAAATCTTTCATCCTCCCTGACTCTGCTTTCTCTCCCACCTCACATCCAACCCATTAGCTAACACCACTTCCTTTGTATTTCAAGCAATTAGCAATATCTGCAATTTGGAATTGCAATTAGCAATAATTGTGCCTTGGATAAACCTCATTGGCTACAATACTGCCACTGTGCAAAACTATCACTTCCTTTCTAAATCCAGAATCCCTCTTCCTCTTGCCCCTGCCACTGCTGCCACCTAGTCCCAGGGACCAACCTCCTTCGCCTGGGTTATCCTGGGAGCCTCCCGACAGGTCTCCCTGCTTCTGTTCTGGCCCCTACAGTCTACGGTCAACAGAGCAGTGGTCCGTTCAAATCTTGCATTGGTTCCGCACTTCTCTCCAGGTACAAAGCAAATCCTTTCCACGGCATCCACCTCCTGGCTCTCACTCTTCTCTGACCTCACCTCCCACTTGCCTCTCCTCACTCTGCTCCCATCACAAGGACTGTCTCTCCCTCCACGTCCAGCGTTACTGAGATATAACTGACATACACCATTGTACAGGTTTAAGGTGTACGATGTGATGATTTGATGTTTGCCACAATAAGGTGAGCTAACACATCCTGCACCTCACATAAAAACCGTGCATGGAGTTCTTGACAAAGCTGGAACACCCTGGGCTATCCCCGCCGAACCTTCACACCAGCTTTCACTATCTGTGCCACTCGCTCCTTCTTCCTTTTTAAGTCCTGCTCAAATATCATTGCCGCCCACCCCAACATTCCTCACCCACTTTCTCTGCTTTATATTCTCCATGCACATATCACATGACCTACGCTATGTATTTCACTTATTTACTTGTCTTATAGTCTGTCTCACCCACCAGGATGTTAACTCTGCCAGGGTAGGCACTGTTTTGTTCACTGCTGTATCCACAGTGCCTAGAATACTGTCCGCATATATAACATACTCAGCAAAAAATGTATTGGATGAATAAATAGAATTTGCAAAAAGTTCGCAACCTGGACTATATTATAAAACCCAATATCCTTTGGGTGGCCTCTGGGACCACCCTAAGCTCTAGGATCAGGTGATCTAAACCCCACTTCTGCCACCTCCCTCGCACCTTCCCCCAACCACACTGTGTCTTCCTAGACTCCAGGAATCTTACAGGCCTTTGCACTTGCCCTTCCCTCTGCCGTCAGTGCTTTCCTCCCACGAACAGTCCACACCTGGCGCCTCCGGGTAACACCCCTCCCGGCCTCCGGACCTCCCCAGCAAGAGGACAGGACCACCCCACCCTACCCCACCCTACCCCATCCCCTTCCCCCGTACCTGGCCCGCCTACCGGCCGTGCTGCACCCACAACCGAGCACCCGCCACTCAGTAGATGTCTGAGCCTTTAGAGCCCGCCTTTCGAGCCCGCCTCCGGAAGGCCGCTTCCGGCAGTGGGAGGGCAACTTCCTGACTAGGAGCCAATCAGCGGGCCCTCACCGAGGTATAAGCGCAGGGGTGGGACCAGGAACTTAGCTTCCGGTGGCAGGGTCTGGGGAAGGGGCGGCAGGCGCCATGTCCGGCCGCGAAGGTGAGTGTGCGGGATTCGGGGTGCATAGCAGAGCGGAGTGGGAGGGGACCCGGCGGGGACCGGGATGAGCGTGCTCGTGTCTCCCACAGGTGGCAAGAAGAAGCCCCTGAAGCAGCCCAAGAAGCAGGCCAAGGAGATGGACGAGGTGAGGGCTGCGCGGAGGCTTGGGCGGGCGCGGAGGGGCTGGGAAAGCCGCCTGCAGTGACCCCGCTCTCCCTCTCCCTAGGAAGACAAGGCATTCAAGCAGAAGCAAAAAGAGGAGCAGAAGAAACTTGAGGAGCTGAAAGCGAAGGCCGCGGGGAAGGGCCCCTTGGGTAAGTGAGGGCCAGGTGGAGCCCAAGCCCAGCAAATGTTCTGAGCCATCAGCCCGGACGCGGGCCGAGAAGGTCCGTTTCCTGCCTCATTGGCGAGTGACGAAGTCTCGGTTCTTCTGTCCGCTGCGGCGGGCGGTCCTAGCCCGGGTTGAATTCGCCGGAGCACGAAGGGGTGGGAGCCGGACTACGTCTGGAAACGAAGCCTCCTGCCTCCCAGGCAGTCTGGGCTTCCTATCCTCAGAGAAGCGGCAGAACTGGGAACACAGATTTCTTATCTCTTAGACGCCCCTCATACCGTGGGACTTACAGATAACCCTCTAGTTTCTTGCCCCATGGTCCTATTTCACCGCTTCGTCACTTCCTACTCATATTGTTAACGCCAGTAAATACTTTTGCATCCTATCTTTTTACTTCTGGATGCGCTTATATTTAAATAAAATAGGCTGCTTGGCGTGCTGTTGCTTCAAAACCTCTTTTAAACCTAATCTCTTACCATTCTGCCTCTTCCTTTGTGTAAGAGGAATTCATATCAAGGGTTTTCAAGCCCAACAGCCCGAATATTTTCTGTACTGCTTAAATGCTGTTTCCCTTAGTCAAATTAGCGATTATTTCCACAGTGGTCTGTGCCCTGTTGGGTCACTGTGAGCCACACTGGGGGCAGTAGAGGCTGGGATACTGGGAGTGTCATCTACAGCTTCCCAAGACCTCTTCCCCCCGTGGCTTTGATTCATTATTGTTCATCCACACAGCACTGAGATTCTAGCTGTTGAGATTCCTTTTTTAGCGATGTGATGAGATAGCTTAAGCTTTCCCTTCATTTATGATTGTATATAGAGAAAAGGTATATAGTGAACTCCTATGCTGTTTATTTCTATTGAACACCATTTGGTCTTTCAATGTTTATTTTGTCACAGTAGGATCTTCATTCCTATATTAGGTATACTTAGTTCTCCAACTATGTCTTAAGTTACTTACTGTGTGCCAAATATATAGTTATTTGTAAACTGGGTAAAACAAAGGTGTGGAGTAAACCAGACCCGAGGAACACTGTGGAAGGTAGTGTGGTGTGATGCGTCAGTTAATATGGATTTGGAAGTCAGACTACCTGGGTTGGAACCCTGGCGTCATCACATTCCAGTTTATAACTTTGAACACCACCCAACACAGAGACTTTGCTCTGTAAAATGGGTTGGTAGTGGGTGAGGATTAAATGAGTCAATCTGTGAAGTCCACAACAGTGTAGTTCCAGACTAGCGCATGGCCATTACTTGTGGCCCCGCCCCATCCTCATTCTGCTTTCACTCAGAATAGATAATACTGGTAAAGCCCTATATGTGCTTGTGTCAAAAAGAATGCCCAGTATGACAGCTGAGCCTTGCTAGGGCCCATATAAGGCCTCTGGGGCTTTTACCATAAGAAACACATTTTTCACCCTGGCTCAGTGGATTGAGTGTCGTCAGCCTGTGAACCAAAGGGTCTCTGGTTCAGTTCCCAGTGAGGACACATGCCTGGGTTGCCCAGTAGCGGGTGCTGGAGAGGCAACCAGACATTGATGTTTTCTCCCTCTTTCTCCCTCCTTTCCCCTCCCTCTGAAAACAAAATCTTTAAAAAAAAAAAGAAGAAGAAGAAGAAAAGTATTTTTCCCTGAGACTTCTTTTTCCCTTTTGCAGCCACAGGTGGAATTAAGAAATCTGGAAAAAAGTGAGCTGTCCTTATGCCTGGGGCAATGGTGATCCTTCATTCCATTCCTGTGTTAACATCTGGATTCCCTGTCGTAACATCTCTTGCCACCTATAGCTAGAATGAAGTGTTGTCTTGGAGCCTATTGTACATTTAAGAATAAACTTTTGTAAAAAATAATAGTCATGCAGTGGCTCATCTCTTTAGTTCTCACTGCCATTTCAATCTTAGCTGTGAGGTCAGAGTAAACCCAGCCCAGAATCCTGTCAAAGTGTGTCCTTCAGTCTTTGTTCGATCAAGAATTCTGTACCACCTGGAATTAAACCAATTCGTTTGAAATGGCTGTCATTTTTCTGTGGTTGTATATCTAATAAAATACATCACATGAGGTTAGCAGAAAAATTTGTACTTTCGAAAGAAAAAGCCATCTTTTTGTTACGACATCCATGTTGCCATTTGTTTTAATGGGGTTGTTCATCTCTGTGTAAGAAGTTGCCATATGCAGACCAGGCTTGCATCTGCAAACAGAGGAACACTTCCTGTTGTCAAGAAACTTCTCCATGGAGGGAGGGTGCAGGACAGATACACATGGTGTGCATCATGAAGGGAAGTAAACCAGGGAAAGGAGATTCTTGAAGGCCTAAGAACCAAGCTTACTCCCACGTCCCCAGGTCTGCGTTTCCACTAGAGCTTCAGAAAGGTCCTTCCTACATTCTTGTCTTATATCCACATACAACCCATCAGGAAAATTAAATCTGGCCCCTTCACACTCCTTCCAATAACCCACTCCACCCCACCCCTAAAATCCCTCACCCGGATTATTGCAGTCACATCCAAATTTGCCTTTCTGTCCCTACCCTTGCTTCCCTACAGTCTAGTCTTCACTCAGGACCCAGAGTGATCTTGCTAAACTGTAAAACTGCTTTGTCTCTCCTTGGCTCAGAATTCTTCAGAGGCTGCTTATAACAAAAGCCAGAGTCCCTACAATGGCTGGCGAGGCCTTAAGGGACCTAGACACCACTCCCTGCCCTTCGATAGCTACTATGCATCACCCTAATCCATTTCGATCCTCAACGGCCTATACTCCAAACAAGCTTCTCCTGCCTCACCATGTTGTCACCAAGTCTTTATGTCTGTCACTCTTCTGGATACTGGAGACTAGAGAACTCAACATCATAGTAGAGAGCTGTACCCTGACCATGCCACAAAGGGACAGTCCCAATGTCTCTTACCCTGTGTCATTATTTTTTCCTGACTTTATCACCATTAACTCTAGGAGGAATAAATTCCTGGAGGACAGAGGCCATCCATACCATATTCTAAATGCATAGGTACTGAAACAATTCAGAGGCACAAGTCTTTGGATTTCCCCTCCACAACCCTTGATACAACTATGGGAATAAAGCTAATAATGCTAAGTTCTCTCTGAGACTGTCCTCAGGTTTCTACAACTGGTCAGATTTTGCTGAGTCAAAACTGGAAAATATTTTGATGGATTGAAGCCTGTTTTATGATTAATGTGCTTAACAGTCACAGAAAAAATAGTCTGCTTTGGTCCTCTTTTGGAAAGTTGCACAGCCAGCAGGCACCTTCTTTGGACCTGAGCATTCCCTGCCGGGCCTTGCCAGCTGGCACCCAGCCCTGGGCTATCGAACAACACCTCCGAGAGCCAGTGCCAGCACACCACCCCCGAGAGAGGGACCTATTCCTCCTGGCAAATCAAGTACAATCCCGTCTTTATAGGACCAGAGACCTGCAGCAATTACGACTTCAGCATTGGACATTTGTGCACCTATCTGACGGAAACGACCAATTACCTCAAAGAAGTAAACTCAGGTATTCAAGACTCTCTAGGCCCTTACAACCATCTCCCTTTCAATTACTGCTTTCACAGACATTCACAGGACATTCACAGGCTAAGTCTGGCACTATGCATGCAAAGATGAAAAAGTATTATTCCAACACCCTGTTCTAACTGTCCTGCACAGGGTTGCTGCCCAATAAAATCCTGTCCAGCCCGGCTTGACTCTGCTCCTCCTTGAAATTCTACCTTCTTTCTGTAATAGAGAACAGATAACCCGGCACCTGTGTGGCCCCCATTTTGGTGGTGTAGTCTAGTCTATGTATGCCAGTCTTGTGCGCCAGTCTCCTTGCCCACTCGACCTGAAGGACAGCCCTGGTGCCACTTCCAAGGGGCCTTCCTTGACCTTCTGAGCCTCGTTCATTTCTGTAAGACTAGCATTTGGGACAAAACTACTCAAGCGCTCCCAGGGAAGTGAATGAATGATGTTAACTGCCTGAACAGTCAGCTCCCGCCCCCCTCCAACACACGCACCACCTTTTCAGGATCACCTCTTCTTAGACTTTCTTCCCCAGACCTACCTCAAATGTACACATTCAAAACATTTACTGTTCTCAAACATGTTCGCTCACAAGAGTTCTATTAATACTCCCCGTCCAACCCCACTCTCCCAGACTCCTCCCCAAGAGAACCTCTGCGTCTGAGAGGTGAGTCCAGGTGGGTCCGGAGGGAGGACAGCGGGGTGGCAGAGACCAAACCCCTGAATGCTGGCTGCCTCTATTCACAAGCGCAAGAATTAATGTCACAGCGAACGCCTCCAGCGCGACTCTGTACCCTACGCGAAGCCACCCGCGCGGTGGCGCGTGTGAGCCCAGGGCCCACACTCCGGTCGCTCAGGTCGCACGGCAGAGTCCCGGTCACCAAGCCACCGAGCCGCAGCCGGAAGTTCTGGGAGGAGCGAGACTCGGAGGGCAGGAACTCAGCGGAGTCCTGCAAGGCGCATAGATGTGTGTCATTTCTCCGCGCCCGCAGGCTGGCAGCTGATTGGCCCGTGGGCTCGGGGGCGTGGCCCTAGTGGCTAAGGCGGTCGCCGGCGCGCGGGCGGTTGGTCCAGCGTTCAGGTCTCGCGGCGACTGGATCCGGTCCTGTGCTTTCGGAGCCTGGCGGGCGGCGGGCATGGCTGGAACCCCTGCACCGGGCAGCAGGAGGCGGAGTGGGCCCCTGGCGCCTAGTTTTGGCCCGCCGCCCATCACCCGGCAGCCTCCCAACAAGCGGGCCCGGGGCTTCCCCGTGGCCGCAGCTCCGGACCCCGAAGACCCGTTCGGCCCTCATGAGGATTTCACCGCGGACGACCTGGAGGAGCTCGACATCTTGGCGTCACAGGCCATGAGCCAATGCCCGTCCGCGGATCGGGACGTGTCCGGTGAGTGCTCCTAGGGATCTTTTACCCGAGGGTGATGCAGACCTCGCCAGACACCCCTGATGGCTGTGGCTGCGGAACCCATGGCGACCGCTGCTCTTGGTGTCTTGCACACACACTGCGCCTTCACTTTTTTAAAATATAGGAACAGCTTGACTTAGCAGCGGTTGTGTCCCAAAAGGCCCTTTGATTTTGGGGAGAAATGGATCAGGAATGTCAAATATTATACTTTAGTTTCTGAACTTAGGGCCACTAGGTTCTTAGTTCTAACAGATCCTTGGAACACGATTCCCATCACCATCCGAACCATCACTATCTACGCACGGGGACCCGTTCTTGTAACAGGTTTGGGAGGCTTTCAATTTGATGAAGACCACTGCCCGCCTTGAGCATTAGCGGGACCTGCCAGAGGCAGGAGATAAGAGTCTTACTCTTTTTTACAACCAATAAATTGTACTAGGTGCCCAAACATTAGGAACCGCAGCAGACTTAGCAATGAGCAAAAGACAAAAACCCCTTCCTTTATGCACTTACGTTCTAGCTGGGGAATGAGTGAAACCGAGCGGCTCCCAGACAGAGAAAGGTTTTGAGGGCACCTTGCGTCTCTACTTAGATCTCACAGGCCTCTTCAGTTCTGCAGTCACTTCGCAGAAACCCAGTCATCCCCCAGCATCTTCAGCACGGTGCCCAGAAAAGCAGACATTCAGAAAACACTGGTTGATCACCACACGTTCTGCACAACAGTGACTAGCACACTGTCTGTCAGGTGGCACAAGGCCATGGCTCCCTTTCCTTGACCATACATCTACTACCTTTCCAAATCCCATAATTTTACCTTCTTAATCTGTCTCTGGAAATCTATCCTCTCTGCATCATCTCTACCATTTCCCTGAGCTAAGTTACCATTGCCCCTCCCCTAGACAGTAGTCCACTAAACTGTCTTCCCACTTCCGGTTTTGACTCCCTACAAGTCAGACCTCACACCACAGCCAGAGTGATGTTTTCAAAACTCATACTGATACAGGTGAACACCCTTACTGAAATCCCTTTAATGGCTTCCCACTGATCAAAGTCCTGAATGTGGCCTGACAGGCCCAGCGTGATCTGTCCCTGTCCCTCATCCGCTCAGGGTGTTAGCCACACGGACCTTGCTTTATTCCTTGAATTCTCCCTGCTTCTTTACAATACGGAAACTTGGCACATTGCTGTTTCTTGTACATTGAGTGTTTTTTCCATCCGTTCCCCATCCCAACTCATCTGGTTAATTCCTGCTTGTTCTTCATCTCTTAGCTCAGCCATCACTTCCTTAGGGAAGCCTTTCAGTCATTCAGCTGGATTAAATCCCCCTATTATGGGCTTTCCTATGTTTGTTCTCTGCAGCTCTTCTCACAGTTGCAATTTTACATTTACACATGTGATTTTTTTTAAAAGTTTGTATTTATTTTTAGAGAGAGGGGAAGGGAGGGAGAAAGAGAGGGAGAGAAATATGCGAGAGATACATTGATTGGTTGCTTCTCACATGCTCCCAACTGGGGACCTGGCTCACAACCCAGGCATGTGCCCTGACTCGGAATTGAACCAGCGACCTTTTGATTTCCAAGCCAGTATTCAGTTCACTGAGCCACACCAGCTAAGGCATACGTGTAATTATTTTTTAATGTCCTATAATCTCCACAAGGGTAAGGACAATCCATGTTGCTCACCACTATACCTTTAGAGACTAAATCGTGTGTGGCATATTGTAGGTGCTCAGTAAATATTGTTGAGTAATAGATCACTGAGCACTGACCAGTGATATCTTCACAGTGCCTTTATCTGAGACTTAAAATTGGGTGGGTGATGGGGGAGAGGATGGCAGGACCTATTATTTTGTAAGGATCATTTGTGAGTTTGAATCATATTCCTAGGTTGGGGAATACCTATATTGCTTACTAGGTCTTTCTCTAAATTGCTTTCAAGAGTGATTCTTTTCAGCATTGTCTGGCAAAAGTGAGAAAATGTTGGGTCCTGAAAAGTATGTGGGAACTGTTTTTTACAGGTGTTCAGAATGTCCCCAGGTTAGATGGAATGCCCAAAAATCCTGCAGGGAAAAACAGAGAAAGTGTTCCAGTTAAAGATAATTTTGAATTAGAGTTACTTCAGGCCCAGTACAAAGAACTTAAAGAAAAGGTAAGTGACTTAACTTGTGGTTTTTACAGCTAATGCATGCATTGTACAATAAAATAAATGAAAGTTTTAATAAACAAGAGTCCAGAAGTCACCCCATGAATGGGAGAAGGCTGGGAATTGAAAGCCAGAAAACTGAGGTGGAAAGAAACTGAATCCTGAGATTCCTAACAGACCAGTCAAGAAAGGAAACACTGTACGCCAGATCCAGAAAGAGATACAAGCTTCTTGTTTTAGCACAGAGATAAATTTATAACATGTGTCACATAAGCAATCATAGTCAACAACCCCATAATGGTTGGTATTTTCATTAGGAACTTTGCAAAAAAGCAGACATCCTTTGTATGACCAACCTGGAATATAATGTGGAAAACCAGGAATATAATGTGGAATTTCAGTTCTGTGAAGTGTGTGACCCAGATTGTTTAAGACTTACTAAAGCCTCCAGAATCTGCATGTGTGAGTGACAAGTGTGTCTTTATGCTGTCTTGCTGAGTATGAGCTTTGACACTTGGTTGGTATGGGTATTTTGAGCACTCATTGGTCTGTAGCATACTTGTTACATGGGTTTCTCCATTTTCTCAGCTACATGTTGAAATAAGTACATATATAATTTTCCCTTACAAGCTTTTCACAAAATTGATTTGGGATTTACAGATGAAGGCAATGGAAGAAGAAGTCCTCATTAAAAATGGAGAAATTAAAATTTTGCGGGACTCGCTGCATCAAACAGAATCCATTTTAGAGGAACAGAGAAGATCACATTATTTTCTCGAACAAGAGAAAGCTCAAGCGCTCAGTGAGAAAGAAAAGGAATTCTCCAAAAAGGTGGGCAGGAGCATTGGTTTTAGTCATTATGGATATCAGCTTTGCCTGCTCACTGAATTCCTTTAGAAACAATGACCAAAGTTGCCTGTAAATCTTCAAGGAAGATTTCGGCAGTTCTTTCTGTTAAATACTTTCTGCTTCCGTGACCTTTTCTTTATATCTTTTTCTTCAGGCTCTGAACGTGGTTTGGAAAAGGACTCAGATGAAACTGCTTTGCTGTGGTAGTTGATCTTGGCAGGAATAAATCACTAGCTTAGACGTTTCAGAAAACTTTCAGGTTTCAGTTGGGCTCTTTTGGCAGATCAGAAACTCCTCTGATCTAGTTTATGCCAAAGGGGAAGGTCTTGGCCTCCATAACTGAGTCTGGGGAAGACCAGTGTGCTGGGGCCTCGAATGATTCAGCTTTGCCAGGACTCGTCTCTCTTCTCTGTGCTAGAGACAAGCTCTACCCCTGTGCGAGAGGATGTGTTCTCTGGAAGCTCCCACACTCCTATTTCTATAATTTTTATTTTTATTTATTTTCAGAGAGAGGGGAAGGGAGGGAGGGAAACATCGATGTGTGAGAGAAACATCAATCAGTTGCCTCTCACATGCCCCCAACTGGGGACCTGGCACATAACCCAGGCATGTGCCCTGACAGGGAATCAAACCTGCGATCTTTTGGTTCGCAGGCCGGAGCTCAGTCCACTGAGCCGCACCAGCCAGGGCTCCCGTGCTCCTATTTCATAGCTCCAGGGCGGACTGAAGACTTGGGCTCCCATCTCAAGTTTTAAAATTCTGGGGAAGTTTTAAAATGTAAACTCGGCCTAACCTGACTCAGGTGCCTGTCCCTGAACCAGTCAGTATCGCCAGGTAGTCAGAGGTGGGGAAATGCCTGTTTCTCAGGGAAGGGAGATGCTGTTCTGGGAGGAAAAGAAGTAGGGTCCAGTGGACACCGCCACTCCCTTCAGCACTTCCCGAGTCCTTAGTCTCAAGGCCGTGGGGACTTATTCTGCCATCACTTCACTCGGCAAACTTAGCAGACGTTAAAGAAGCACTGCCTGTGCCCAACGGCGACTGCAGTGGTGGTCTTTCCAGATACACGACGAAGGGCAAGGGATTTGCAGTCAGACAACTGGAGTCTGATCAGGGCCAGGCTGCATCACATGCAGGCAGGGACCTCCCAGGGGTGACTTAAGCTCTGTGGCTCATATCCCTTATCCCAGGAAAGAAGCAGGAGGGTTGCTGTGACACTGAACAGGTCTGCACTTACTGTGCGGAGCGTGCTCGGGGAGTGACGGCAGCCGCGTTGGCTGTGGGCCCTGGGGGCCGGAGCAGCAGGTCCCCGTGCGCAGCACGGGGCTCCGGGAAGACGCTGCCGCGCGCCCTGCCCCGACTTTCAGGAAGACCTGGAATTGTGCGCCAGTGCGCTCACCATGGGTTCGGCGTGCTGGTGTGAGACGGGGCGCCCGGTCGGGCTCTGTGCTGGGCACTTGACGTTGACCATTTAATCCCCCAGCCGTGAAAACAGGCATTTCTGTCCCAGATCAGCTCACATTCAGAGGGGCTGAGTAAGCAGCGTTTTAAACCTTACAAACTACCTCACAATAGCTCAGGTCAAAACCTCTTTCTAGAATAACATACTGTCTTTCAGAAAGAAGGCTCAAGCTTGACCCTTTGGGACATTTATGTCACAGCAGACTTTCATTCTCATTCCTCATTGGTTGTTTTTCTTTCGCTTGAGATTTCGAAGTCCAGAGACAGTTTTATATGTACGATAAAGTATGTCGCTTTGCCTTCCAGCTCCAGTCATTGCAGTCTGAACTCCAGTTTAAAGATGCGGAGATGAACGAGCTAAGGACGAAGCTTCAAAGCAGTGAACGGGCAAACAAACTGGCCACTCCCCCCGTTTCCCACAGCAGGTAACGATGGTGCTGGAGGGAGAGCTCAGCTTTGCGTTGTTCAGTAAAAAGCCCGAAGAACACGAAGGCTAGTCCTGAAGGGGCCCGCGGCAGAGCTATGCAGGCCTGGGGCTATCTCTGAAGGCCTCATGCAGGGCAGGATGGAGCTCGAGTGGTCTGGGGCATCGCATCGCAGCCTGAAAGCCAGATGCTCCAGATGTGCTTCCTCTGTGGAGAGCTTTGTAAACACAGCTGCTTGGGCTAGAAAAGGCTAGAAAGATTCCTCCAAACCTTTGGGGTGCACCAGTCTTCATTTTTATGTAATTTGTTTTATTTAAAGATTTTATTTCTTTGTTTTTAGAGAGAGGGGAAAGGAGGGAGAAAGAGATGGAGAGAAACATCACTGTGAAAGAAAGACATTAATCAGTTGCCTGACTTCTTTTTTTCACAGTTATTTTATTTGTTTGTTTATTATAGAGAGGGGAAGGGAGAGGAAAAAAAGAGGGAAAGATCAGTGTGTTGTTGCTCTCGAGCGCCCCCTACTGGATACCTGGCCTGCAACCCAGGCATGTGCCCTGACCAGGAATTGAACTGGTAACCTTTTGGTTCACAGGCTGGCACTCAGTCCACCGAGCCACACCAGCCAAGGCTATAATTTGTTTTAAATAACTGATTTTGCCCCAAGCATATTTCAGCCTTAACTACTTGGAATATTTTTTCTTGTTTGCTGCCCTGGGATCTTTGTCCAGCAGCCCCTGCTTTTGCTGCAGATGTGATGAACTTGTTCATGGTCTGTGTCCTGTGCCCTGCCTGCCAGAAAAGTCTGACACGGTGTCAATATCAGCCTTGAAATTTGAATAGTGTGGGTCAGGGTGTCTTTTTCCGGCACTGGGCACTCTGCTGCCTTTGCTCCTAGTGGGCAAGGTGTGAAATTGAACTCTCCCTTGTGCCGTCCAGGTACGACAGAGGGAGACCTTCCTTACCCCTTCACACAGAAGGGACTCGGCGTTGTCTGCTCTGACCAGAGGGTTCAGACTGCTTCCCTATCATAAACCCCATGGCGCTAAGGAGCTGGCTCAATTCTCAAGCTGCAAGACACAGCACACCTTTTAATTGACGCTCTTTCTGCTGAAAATCTTGTACTTCGTTCTCTATTTAAAAAGAGGTCATTCCATGTTGAAAACATGTTTTGGTAGAATTAGAAATAGTAATGGAATTATGGTCAATAGTTTTGAGTGATTAGAAGAATATGGAAATAAGTGAAAGGTTTTTTTCAACACTAAAGGTCAAAATGCTTTGAATTGCTTTTCTGCTTTGCATTTTTATTACTGCATTGCTAAGGATTATTACATTTTTTTAATTTATTGAGGTAATCTTGATTAATAATATTATGTAAATTTTAGGTGTACAACTATGACATCTGTGTACCCCGTTGTGTGCTCACCACCCAAAGTCAAGTCCCCTTTTGTCACCATACACTTGACCCCCTTTACCCTCCTCTGTCTTTCCCCCACCCTTTCTATCTGGAAACCACCTTACAGTTGTCTCTCTCTGAGTTTGTTTTTTGTTGTTCATTTGTTGCTTTTTCTTTTATATCCCGCATTTGAGTGGAGTCGTATGGCTCTCGTCCTTTTTCATCTGACTTCTTTCACGTAGCATAATACTCCCAAGAGCCATCCATGTTGTCGTAAATGGAATATTCCATCGTTTTTTATGAAAATGCCTTGACTTTTACATTGCTGTCCTGACAAAGAATGATGAATGTATAGCAAATAAAACCTTTGGTCAAGCTCTGGTTGGTGTGGCTCAGTGGATTGAGCGCCGGCCTGCAAACCAAAGGGCTGCAGGTTCAATTCCCAGTCAGGGCACATGCCTGGGGTGCAGGCCAGGTCCCCAGTTGTGGGCACACAAGAGGCAACCACACGTTGATGTTTCTGTCCCTCTCTTTTCCCCTCCCTTCCCCTCTTTCTAAAAATAAATAAATAATCTTTAAAAAATAATAACCTTTGGTCAAATCACCTAGGTATGAAAAGTTTAAAGCTTGTTAGAAGTTTTATAACCAGATATTTTAAGTGGTGTTAGCAGAACCATTACTTTGCTTTCATGGTTAACTTTTTTCCAGTCCTAGGAAAAGCCCTTCTGTGGTTCTAAAGCAAGAAGCATGTTCTCCACAATTTGGAAAACCATCTTTCCCTACAAAGGAGTCTTTTAATGCTAACATGTCCCTTCCCCACCCCTGCCAGCCAGAGCCGGGATACAAGCCGCTGGCGGGCAGAGAAGGTAAGCCAGTCTATCCGTCACCTATTGCTGCGCAACAGATCACCCAGGCCTGTGGCTCAAGACAACCACGAGCATTTCCTTCTTCCTCGTTTCTGTCGGCCAGCACTCCTGACAGGGCACAGTGGGAACGGCTTGCCCCCGCAGGGGCGGGAACCCCGGAAGGCCCCTCTGGGGCTGGAGTACCTGTTTCAAGGTGGCTCACTCACATGGCTGGCAACAGAATTCCTCTCCACACTCTGGCCCCTCCACAGGGCTCCTGGGCTCCTCTCCTAAGCTGGTCACGGGCTTGCACTAGAGCCAGCAAACCCAGAGAGAGCCAGGGGGCAGCTACCCTATTTATGGCCTAGCCTCAGAAGTCACATAGCGTCACTTCTGCCCCGTTCTGTTTGTTAGAAGAGAGTCCCTGAGTCTGGGCCACATTCAAGGGGAAGGAAACTTGGCTGCGCCTTTCAAAGGGAAGTATGTCAAAGCATTTGCAGGCGTATTTGAACGCCTCCCAGCCAGTGTCCGTTGACATGCTGAGAACACAGCCAGTAGCAGAGACGTGTTCCTTCATAGCCCAGCCTTGAGTTTGCACAGCCCAGGCCAGACGGGGGAGTGCTGCTGCTTTCTAGAGCTGGACATGCCCGCACCAGCGGGTTCTCTCTCAGAGACTGTGCTGCACCAGCTGGTCTTATCACTCAGATGCACTGCCCCTCCCCTGCCACCCTCAGCCCTGTCATCTCACTAGCCATCAGGCCACCTCCGAGACCCATAGCCACTCATGTTTTTGGAGCCTCGCAACTGCAGGAGCCACAGAGGGTAGTTGTGATTAGGCCATGGAGCCCACCAGCCTGGCCATGAGGCCCGCTCAGCTACTTACTGGCTTGTGTGATTAGGCAAGTCCCTTAACCTCGTGCCTTAGTTGTCCTATAGGTAAAACCGGGCTAATGACAACACCCTGTAGGGTTGCAGTGAGAACGCGTGAGCTAACTTGTGAAGCTCTTAGAACTGTGTTGGGAACAGCAGCAGCACCATATAAATGCTAGTGGCTCCTGCTTTCATGCTAATGACTCACTCTGAAGTGGAGCAAACAGTTTTTCCTTTCCTTGTGCAAGTTTCTGTGTAACCTGAGGAAGGCAAAAGACACAAAGATTCTTGCGTTGCTTTGGCCAGAAGTAGAAGAATGTCTTCTATACACATTACACTTAAGAGTTTCTGATATGTCTGTGCTTTTGTGCTCACGTTTTGATTCACGTTTTATCCGGTTTCAGAAAACAAGACCCACAGTCTGGGAGGTAACCCCATAAAGCAAGAAGGGTCCCCAGAATGCCTCGTCGACAGCCTGACGCAGACGTCAAACGCTCGAGGTACCGGAGCCCCTGCTCCTGCAGGAAGCCTGCGCAGCTCCCACTGTCCTTTGCAGCGCTGCCAGTGTCCTCTGCCAGTGCCCGGGGAGTGTCCATGGCTCTGGGGCCACAACCCCGGGCAGCCCTTTGAGAGGGTCTGGGGAAGCCGTAGTCGTGACTTAAACACAAGACTATGAAATGGAAGGGGCCAAGAGCCAGGACATCCCAGAGCCCTCAGCACCCACAGGTGTCCCAGTGGGGTAGTGGCTTAGAGGCCAGTCGGCATCCAAGGACTCCTCACTTTTTCATTCTGAGGCTGTGGACAGCCCTCCCATGTCAGCACCTAGAGTCACCTTGTTCTTTGCAGGTTCCATTTTGATAAACCTTCTCCTGAAGCAGCCTTTGAACCCAGGATCACCCCTTGGGCTGTGTCACCTCCTGAGCAGTTCTGAGCCGCCTACCGTCCCCCTGTCGCAGCCGCTGGGGTTTGGCAGGTAAGCATCAGACTCCAAAAAGCTTGTTTAGGAAGCAGTTTTCAGGAAGCAAGCCTCTTCCTGGGACCTGGCCCGCCTGGGAGGGAAACGGGGGGGGCGTGGCAGGCAGGCCGTCGGGGGCCCTTTGCCTCATCTCCACCTCACGCTTGTGGGTTTTCTTTTGTGTTTGTTGCTAGTGCCTTGACTGGGATTTCAAGCCTCAGGCCCACAGCTCCCCGCGATGGGTCGTTTCCCCTCTCGGCCCTTAGAGAAGCGCAGAGCCTGGCGCTCACTGGCCTGACCATGATTGCCAGGGACGAAGGCTCGTGTGACAGCGACCCCGCCGAGGGGGACAGCAGGGCCTTCCCGCTCGGCCAGTTTCCCGGGGCCGTGCACCTGCTGCCGCTGGTGCAGTTCTTCATCGGCTGCCACTGCCAGGCGCTGCAGGAGCTGTCAGTCGCCAAGAGGAGCGGACCCCCTGGGGACTCGCCGGCACAGTCCTGCGTGGGCTCCAGGGGAGAGGCCAGCGCCGAGGACTCGCTCTGCCACCTGGGGGACTTCTGTGTGGCCGCCCTGAGCGTCCTCCAGCACCTGGTGTGCCACAGCAGCGCCGTCAGCCACCTGTTACTGTCGGGAGCGGGGCCCCCTCCTGCCGCCAGCGGTGGGGCCTCAGCCCCAGGAGCGCCTGCCGACGACCATCCGCTGATGAAGATGCTCCTTCGCCTGTTAACTTTGTCTTCCGCAGCACCAGGTCACCTTCAAGCCAGTGTCCTCAGCCAGTGCCTTAAGGTTTTGGTGAAATCCGCTGAAAACTCTCCCATTGACTTCTTGCCCAGGTATAATGCAGCAAGGGAGTCGCAATCAATGCACTCAGCGTGGGCCGCTCGGCGGGCGCAGTCACGGTCCTTGTGGGTCCTATCTGACCCCTGAGGTTTATCCTGGGCCCTCGACTTTGCTCATATCTTGACGTACCTACACTGCTCCGTTCTAAGCCTTGGTTTGGGTCCCAAGGCTTTGTTCAGGGAGTTCTGAAGTGATGGGAAGTGGGGCCAGGTATTGAGAGAACAGAAGGAGTGGTTTATTGGCCTTCATTCGGCCTCTGTACAGCAGGTAAGCAAAAGGCACACGTGATAAAACAGCTGTTAACTGCTATGGCAGAGTGTCCTGCTCCCAGGACAGACAGGCTGAACCAAGAGGCCTTTGAGCCTGGGACATGGATCAGGTGAAGACCACGTATCACAACCCCACTTAAACTTGGTGGGGTTCCCTAAGGAAGCAGAGGGGTGGGGAGGGTCTGCAGGCCCCAAGCTGACCCCGCTGGGAATCTGCACATCGTCATTGTGCGCATCTCTGGCATGAGCCACAGATTAGTTGCTCTTAGGGTTTGTTGGAAGTGACAGTATAGTTCACCTGGCTCATGAACACTGTTCTCAATTCCTAACTTGGGGTCCCAGAGTCTCAGGGTGAAGGGCCTGCAGACACCATCCAGCCCATCTCCTCACCCAGGGGCCCTGCCCTCCCTCTGTCCCCGCCCCCCCCCCGCCCCCACAACACCCGCCCCGCTCCACCGGGAGGCCAGTTCCGAAGGTGGAATGGCTCTACTGGCTGTGTCTGTCTTTTTCTCTCTTAGCTCAGGTGCCTGTTTATAAAAACATTCTGGGTCTTGGTTTCCATCGGAATGTTTTCTGGCTGGTCTGGTCCATCCTACGGGTGGCGCCCCAAGCAGGAGCCAGTTCTGCAGGGCAGCATGGGCCACTCGGCAGGCGCAGAACCACTGCCAGGGGGCCTGGACGGGGCCCAGCTCAGCGGCTGGTTGCTTGTTTCGTGTTTGTTAAGGAACACCAGGAACCACATTTTTACCATTTCTCTTGGTAGATACACCGTCATTCCTTTCCTGCTCACCTTTTCCATAGGACATCAAAAAGCCATTTCATGGGCTCTTGCCACGGGCCAGACAGATGCCTTCTGCTCATTTGTTCATGTGACACCCTCAGAGCCATCCTCACACACAGCCCGGCTCACGGGGCACCCCGTATTTGCTGGGCAACCAAACCCTCCTGGAGGCAGAGGGCCTGTCTAAAGTCCCCAAGTGAGCGTGCTGAGTGCGGGTCAGAGCAGCGTCCTGAACCGTTACTCTTTTTTTTTTTTTTTTTTTAAGATTTTATTTATTTTTAGAGATGGAAGGAGGGAGGGAGAGAAACATCAGTATAGGGGAGAGACATTGATCAGTTGCCTCTTGCATGCCCCCAGTTGGGGACCTGGCCCATCACCCAAGCACGTGCCCTGACTGGGAATTGAACTGGCGACCTTTTGGTTCTTAGGCTGGCACTCAATCCACTGACCACATCAGCCAGGGCGTGCCGATGCTCTTGAGCACCCTGACACCACCTCCCACTCAGCGTTTCTCGTCTGTCTTCCTTCATGCTGGCAAGCCGAACCCCACCGCTGCACAGCTTCCACTCAACCTTGGCCCAACAGCTAGAGGCGGGTACCACCAAGACCCTGAAGCAATCTGCGGTGCTGACCAGCCGCGGCCTCACTAAGGGCCCCACACCCCCCCCCAGGCTTGAGAGTCAACTGACCCATGTTTCTTTCTCACATTAATGTTTCTCCCTTCCTTTCTCTAAAGGCAGTGAGCATGTCCTTGGGTGAGAATTTAAAAAAAAAAAATTTGGAAACTGCTGTATTGCACATAAAGACGGGTTTCCGTGCAGTTTCAGGACCTCAGTGGACTAGTTAGGGCTGCTTCAAACAGCCAGGCTAAATCTCAGTTCCCCCCAAGTGAGTTTGCCCCAGACGGTGAGGCCTTGCTTCCTGGCACAGCCCGGAGAGTGCTCCACATCCGATGCCACACGCCAAGACACCGCAGCTGCTTGCAGGGGACACATGTGGGATGGCCTCCCCACCCACAGGGCTGTAGAGGTTGGGCAAACGGCAGTACTTATCTTGGGACTTGGTTCCTTGGTGACAGCGGTCCCTCTGGCCTGACACCTGGGGGAGAGAGGGTCCAGACAAGTGGAGAAAACAGTCTCCCTGGCTTAGTGGGTGGTCTCATGTGACCAACCGTAGCCCAGTCCGCACCTGTCACTTCTGGAGCCTGGCCAGTTCTTCGGTGGTGGGCAGAGGACATTTCCCTCCCCTGGCCTGCCTCCCTGTGTGGGAGCAGAGGCAGGAAAGAGCCCAGGAGCAGGGCGGAGGCCAGGCACCCCAGGTCCACAGTAGCAGCCGCCATTTACTATGTGGCGCTGTGCCAGGCAAGGGCCTGTCACCTCTAAGCCACAGCAGGCCAGCCGGGAAGGGCAGGGCCCACTCGTTCTTGTAGAAGTGGGTGGTGTTCGGCTGGCATTCGAACCCAGGTCGGCCTGCATGTCCTATTCCTCTAGTGAAACAGGAGCGTAAACTGCGGAGCTGGCGTGGGAGGGTTACGTCCCTCTGGGCCCCTGTGTTTCAGGTTCCAGTGTGTGTTCCTCGTGCTGCCGCAGTGCCTCAGCCCAGAGACGCCGCTACCCAGCGTGCTGCTCGCTGTCGAGCTCCTGGCCCTCCTGGTGGACCACGAGGAGCTTGTGCCTCAGCTCTGCTCCCGCTCCGGTACGGCCAGGCCTGGGGGTTGTCGGGGCTGCTTGCGCAGGGACAGGTCAGGGGCCTCCCAAGGGCTTCTTCAGGGGGCACCGGGCCCTGCCTGAGAGGTGGGGTGCTCTTTCCAGAGGGGTGCCTGCTCCTGCTGCTGTACATGTATATCGCCTCAAGGCCTGACAGAGTGGCCTCGGACAGACAGTGGCTCCAACTGGAACAGGAGGTACGGACGCCAGAGCCCCTCTGGGCTCCTCGCCACCATTTTTCCTCCTCCCTCTGGACAGAGGGAGCTTTAGTTTTGGCAGCAAGCGTTTAGCCACTAACAGGCGACCTCACTGGGGGACTCCACACTACACAGATAGAATAAGGTGGACTCCAGGGTGTCCTGGGGGCTGGCAGAGCTGCCAGACCACTGAACTGACCTTGGCCGTGGGGCCTAGTGGCACGGGGCTTGCTGGTGACATGGGGGAGTTTGGTCTGCAAAGGCCTGGCACCGCCACCTCTTGAACCCCATCCCTGCAGACAAGCAGCTGGGGATCTTGTAGGAGCCAGAGAAGGGCCTCGCTCTGTTCAGGTCTTGCTCTGGAAGCTTCTGCTCTTGTTCTAGGCCGTGTGGCTCCTGGCTAAGCTTGGTGTACAGAGCCCCTCGTCCCCAGTTACTGGCTCCAACTGCCAGTGCAACGTGGAGGTGAGTGCCCGGGGCAGGCGGGGGTGGCAGCATGGCAGGCCTGTCGGTGAGCGAGGCAGCCCCGCGCAAGGACCCCATGCTGCTTCCAGCCCTAGTGCCACCCTCAGCCCTCCTCACTGGGGGTGGCTAGGAAGGGGCTGCCCCGCCGAGCAAGTTAGGGTACAGGAACCATGGGAGCTGACCGCCCTCTGCACCCCCAGGTGGTCAGGGTGCTCACTGTGATGCTGCACAGGCAGTGGCTGACGGTGCGGAGGGCGGGGCGGGCCTCCTGGACCGAGCAGCAGAAGCGGACGGTGCGCTGCCTGAGGGACGCGGTGCTGCTGTTGCATGGCCTGTCCCAGAAGGACAAGCTCTTCACGGTGCACTGCGTGGAGGTCCTGCATCAGTATGACCAGGTGATGCCAGGGGTCAGCACGCTGATTCGAGGGCTTCCTGATGTGACGGACTGTGAAGGTGAGCTGGCCAGAGGCGCCTGCCCTGCCCCCGCCCCTGCCCACCTGCGGGGCTCTCCCTGAAGTTCAAGGACAAGGCAGACTTCCTGGGCCGGCACTGGGCTCCTTATCTTCCTGCGCCTGTTCTCTAAGCATGCCTGCTGCCTTTTGCTCCTGTATGTTGGGTTGGCCTGGCAGAGCCACTATTTTTCCAGAAACATCCCTGTCTGAATTGCCTTTGTATCACTTTGCTTGCAGTAACTGAGGGAGCAAGGCCTGGGCGTGGAAGGGACTGGTTAGTTCCTGCAGGTGTAGGGGGAGGGGCGGTCGGACTCCCCCCGCAGTCCCCAGCACTTCGGGCCTTCACCACCAATTCCTCTGTCCTGGCGCAGAGGCGGCCCTGGATGACCTCTGTGCTGCGGAGACCGAGGCAGATGACCCCGAGATGGACTGCAGCTGAGGTCTGAGCATCGAGCCACATGGTGGCAGCAGCACCTCTGCTTTCGCCTTAGGGACCGATTAAAAGCTGTGACCAGCTGTTTGAGAACACGCCAGCCTTGTGTTGCCTGAGTCTGATCTGTGTCGGCTGAGTGGAGTGGGAGGGATGAAACCGGAGCGTGACCGGGGGGAGGCTGGGATCCTTCCCGTTTCTGGCTGGAGCCATGACCAGTCCCCATGGTAACGAGTCTGCCTGGAGGAAGGAGCCCTGCCCTGCCTGTGGAATTGTCCTGAGTCATCGCTTTGGGCCGAGGCCATGGGAAGAAACCATTGTATGGCGAGAAAGGAAGCGGCCCTCAGCCCAGGCCTAAACCAGGGAGCCGTCAGAAAGCAGGGCTGAGGGGTCTGTGGCGGAACGGCCGTGGCAGGGGCTCCCGGCAAGCTCGAGCGCAGCAGCCGGCCTTCCCTGTCGGCCGGGCACCCCTGCGCTCACCTCCCTGCCGGCTCTCACTGGTGTGAGGGCCCTGGAGCATTGTGCCAGCCAGCAGGCCACAGCTACGGATCTCTGAGGCCTGTGGGGGAGTCACGGGGTGCAGTGGGGCGGTATTTGGGGAGGGCTGAGTGTTGGCAAGAGAGGGACCCGGCAGGCTGACTGAGCAGGGCGGGCCCAGCTCTCACCAGCTTGGTAGGCGGGCTCAGGCTAAGTTTCACTTCCCACCTCTGGGGCCAGCAGCAAGATCCAGCTGGTGTGCCCGGCCCAAGTCATTGCTGCCTGCCTGCTACTTGGTAAGTGAGGACCCCCAAGGGGCTGGGCATGGTTGGGGGGGCCAAGGGTTCTGCCTACCAACCCCAGACTAAGTGGTCACTAGAGGAAGAGAACCTCCCGCAGACCATGTGCTGATACAATTAAGGAAGCCACACCCTCTCTGGCTTCCTGCCCTGAAAATGGGTGCTGAAGATCACCAACAGTGCCTTCCTGTGCTGGGAGGGCCTGAGGTGAGCTCAGCCCACCTCCCTGCCCCCGCCTTAGGTCTTGTCCAGGGCACTCACCTGCTCCCTCCTGGGCTCCTCCCCAGGCTCGGTGGCAGGTACCCACCATGTGCTCGCAGGCCCTGCTCCCAGGGCCCGTGCAGACCCTCATCTTCCTGGACCTGGAGGCCACCGGACTGCCCTTCTCCCAGCCCAAGATCACGGAGCTGTGCCTGCTGGCCGTCCACAGGTGTGCCCTGGAGAGCCCTCCGGCCCCTCGGGGGCCTGCCTCCATGGCGCCCCCACCGCCCCGCGTGGTGGACAAGCTGTCCCTGTGTGTGGCCCCGGGAAAGGCCTGTAGCCCCGCAGCCAGCGAGATCACTGGCCTGAGCACAGTGGCGCTGGCAGCGCACGGGCGTCAGCGTTTCGACACCAACCTGGTCGACCTGCTCCTGGCCTTCCTGCGGCGCCAGCCACAGCCCTGGTGCCTGGTGGCGCACAACGGCGACCGCTACGACTTCCCCCTGCTGCAGGCGGAGTTGGCTTTGCTGGGCCTGGCCAGCGCTCTGGACGGTGCCTTCTGTGTGGACAGCATCGCTGCCCTGAAGGCCCTGGAGCAGGCCTGCGGCCCCCCCCAGCAAGGCCCGTGGAAGAGCTACAGCCTGGGCAGCATCTACACGCGCCTGTACGGGCAGGCCCCGCCGGACTCGCACACGGCCGAGGGGGACGTCCTGGCGCTGCTCAGCGTCTGCCAGTGGAGGCCGAGGGCCCTGCTGCAGTGGGTGGACGCTCACGCCAGGCCCTTCGGCACCATCAAGCCAATGTACGGGGTCACAGCCTCTACCGGAACCAACTCAGGGTCATCGGCTGCCACAACCACTGCACTCCTGGCCAGAGCCACGCACACCAGTCCCCACCTTGGGGGCAGCAGGAGGCCCAAGGCGCCTACTCCAGTGAAGGACCCCGAACCCTCACCCGCGGAGGGACTACTGGCGCCACTGGGCCTGCTGGCCTTGGTGACGGTGGCGGTGGCTACGCTGTATGGGTTGTTCCTGGCCGCACCTGGGCAGTAGGCCGAGACGAGAAGCCTAATAAAGACACCCTGGCACTGAGCACTCCCTCAACTGCACCTTCCTCAGCAGCCTTAGAGCCTCCTGCACCTCTGCCCACGCTCAGGCACCAGGGCGGGGCGGGCGGGGCGGTGCCCAGGGCAGCAGTCTTCGTCCCTCGCCCTCCCAAGCAGGATGATCTGGCCAGGACGATCAGCCGTCCGGGCCCCAGGCTCGTAGGGAAGCCAGGGAAACCCGAGTTGGGTGGGAGTGGTGTCAGTCTACTGCCCGGTGCCCACAGCCAGGCGTCTGAAGAAAGGGACGCGGTTCCAAAAGTCTGCATTTATTGTAAACAGAGGCACAGACCCCGGACTCAGAAACACACGAACAGGCACAAAGCTGAGACAGAGCTGGTGAGACAGCAACAGTGGGGGGCGGGGGGTCCGAGGTATTCACATCCGGGCCACCAGCTGCAGGGGCCCCTTCCACCTTGGGTCCAGGTGCCCGACTGGCCTAGGTGTCCCCACTGCAAGGACAAAATGGGCCGGGGGTACAGGAGCTGGCTGTGCTGAGGCTGGTGTGAGGGGAGCAGGGACCACCAGGGTCAGATGGTCCCTGTCCTCTGGGGGCCGATTTCCCTCCAGGATCCAGGGGCTTCAGCCTCACAGCAACTACCACATACATTTTAAAACAGAAAACAAGCAAAATGTTTGGCTAGAAATAAAACAAACACTGCAGGGAGGACACCTGAGTGCGCAGGTGGACAGAGACTGCCCTGCCCGCAGGGGTAGAGGGCCGGGCCCCTGGCTACGGCCCTCCAGGTGGCCCCAGGGAGGCTGCAGAAGAGTCCCCGGGCGTTTTGCTATCACAAGGCTGCGCACTTCCCACGCGGCGTGACACAGGCTTGGGGATCAAAACCCAGCTCGGCCAGGTCCCGGCGTCGCCCACTCCCCGGCATCCCAGCTCCGGGTCTTCGAAGGGACGCACACCCTGGGGACGGGGCCGAGCCGTTCTGTTGAAGCCAGAGCACGTGTACATCTCGCTGCCAAAAAGCTGTGCCACCCCAGTGTGATGAGCCCCCCCACACCGATCCCCCTGGGTGGTCTGGCCATGAACTCCCACCCCATTCTTGGAATTTTGTTTGAAATTTCAAGGAAGCAAAACTTGAAGTGAGGAAGAGAACGAAGTATGGTCCCAGCAACTCTGGCAAGGATTGCCCCCACCTGTCAGCATCCCAGTCACGACACACACACATCCTGCACGGGGAGAAAAGGGCCGTGCCTGCCTAGCCATTCACACACAGACACACACAGACACACATGACGTGTCAAGTGGCAACTGGAGATGCAGGGGCGCGCTCAGTAGGCAGCCTTAGGGGGGTCCACGTAAGCCGGGTTGTAAGGAGGCTGGCTGGCAGGATAGGGTGTGGCCGCACCTCCTGCAAACAGAGAAGACAGTGGGTGGCTGTGGGCACCATGGAGCTGCGGGGTCAGGGCGGCTCAGGGTGGTTGGCTGCGGTACTCACCGGACAATGTCTCGTGGTAGGTAGGTGGGCCCATGGGCTGGGCTGCTGGGTAGGGCGGTGGGTACTGTGCCGGGTACGGTGCTGCTGCCACCCCTGGCTGGGGGGGGATGGGGTGGTAGCCCTGGTACGACGGCGCCGGGTAGGCAGGCGGCACACTTGGAGGCTGAGGGTAGGGGGTGTGCACCACGGTGGTGGACGTGGTAGTCACAACCGCTGCAAACAGAACCCCAGTCAGGACCCTCAGGCTTGCCACCCACTCCCCTGCCCCCCCGCCCGCCTCCAGCTTAGCCACATCGGGGCCCTGAGTAGCTCCCTGGCCACGCCGGCCTCTGCACGGCGGGTGGGGTGGGCGTGCTTACGGCGAGGGCGAGGTTGGCAACACATCTTGTACAAACAGCAGCAGGAGCAGGTGAAGCAGGCAATGATGGTGACGATGATGAGCACAAAGATGGTCACGCCGACGGCAACAGTGGCCTCGAACCTGCCGCAGAGCCCGCTGTTACCTCACCTCACCTCAGCCAGGGCCGGCAGTCCACAGCCCAGCCACCGCCGGGGGCAGCCCCCTTGTAGGAGGGCGCTCCGGGCAGCACAGAGAAACTCCGGGGCATGCGGCCGGGGCCTGTTCCAGCCTGAGGTTCCTCGTGGGTCACGTGGGCTTGGGAATCTATGATGCACCCCACCTAGGGTCCGTCGCCCCTGCCCCACCTTCGCAAGCACAGGAGGGAGATCTTCCATGCCTCCCCACCATCCGTGACCAACTGATGAGCAAATAAACGGTCGTCGAGCACATGCCACAAGCCAGGCACTGTGGATTAAGCCAAAAACTCGGTGATGGGCGAGAGAGACCATGGCCTCTGGGAGCCCACCGAGCCCTGGAGGTGGCAGGTGTTGGAGGTAATGACTCAGGAAGCGCAGGGAACGAAGCCGAGGAGACGGTCCAGGAGAGCAGAGGCCAGGTGTCCAGCACGGTGAGGGGAGGGAGGCAGTGCACCGGCCTCGGCACTGGCCAGCTCCCCATACGGGGCAGGGCTGTCCCCGGTGTGACCGGAGCCTGCTGGGCACCTCGCTGTGCCAGGGTTCACCTGCACCCTGGGCTCCACAGGTGGGAAAACTAAGAGCCGGTCGGATGCTCTGGAGGGGACTGGAGGCGGTCCCTTCTGGGACTGGAGGCCTGCCTGACCCAGCCCTGCAGCCAGTGTCACGGCAGTGGGGAGCCTGCTCTTGGAGAAAGCGGGCCCTGAACCAGAAGTTCCCCAACACTGACTTTTCAGGGAAGATGAGCCCCCTCTATCCTCCTATTCCCAGAGGTCAAACTTTATTCTGGTAACAGGCAAATGCCTGCTAATGGCACCAAGCACAGCAAAACCCGGGAGGAGCCCATGGGCAGTAGGGCATCTGCCTCCCCTGAAGCCCAGTGGGGCGCGGGGGGGGCACACACACTTTGGGCCCCCACCCTGCCCCGGTGGAGGGGCTTCCATAGCCCAGACAGGCTGCACCTCCGTTGGGCCCTGCAGTACAGCCTAGGAACAGACACAGGACAGACCCTTCACACTGCAGACCCGAAAATACCCCAACGCATTGCAGGACAGGATGTCAGAGTCCTGCCCAGCAGAGGAGCCCACACCTGCCCCGCCCTCGGCCACAAGCTCCTCCCAGGCCTTCTGCGGACCCAGCCAGGGAAAGGGGAAACACACATTCACAACCACAAGTGACCAGTGACCAGTGACCAGTGCGGGCAGAGCCATCACCTTCAGTCTCTCCCCCAGTCTCTGTCTCTCTCACACACAGCACAGTATGGCGCCCAAGCTCACCCCATGTTAGCCTCCACCTTCACTCAGGGTCCTCCTGTCCCAGGCAGCCCTCTTTCCATCACGGGCCACTCAGTTTCAATTTCCTCCCCTCTCGGAGAAAAGGAAAGCACGTCTCCTCGGCCCTCCCCTGCCCTGACGTCAGTGGCAGGAAGGACAGACACAGGATCCTCTTAAAGACGCCGCACAGGTGCAAACGGGATCCGAAGAGACGACAATGGGTGGGGCTTGGCTTAAGGCAAAGATAAGCCTTTCACTGAAGAGGCCCTGCGCCCGGGGGCGGGGCTCCCCAGCACAGCGCGGCCAGTTGGGAATTTGGGGTCAGATTGCCCTGTGAGGTTGCTGTCTGCAGAGCCGCGGTTTTCCATCACGGATTTTGGATACAGCCGTAACTCTGGTACACCTCTTACACCAGACAGACTGAGAGCTCAAAAGACCCAAACCTAACACAGACACATCTCAACTGTGGGCGACTGCCGACTCTCTGGGTTTCCTGGGCTCCATGGGATGCCAGGATCAAAGGGTGAAACGGCCCCAAAGGGAAGCAAGAATCACCTAGATTTTATAGCCAGGAGGGTGGGAAAGGTGAAAAGGACGCTGGTGTTCCTGATAGACTCATGGGGAGCCCCGCTTACAAGGTAGTAACAAAAAGGGTTCCTACAATTCATGAATGAACATGAGAACAATGTACCAGTATTAGGCCTCTTTACATATAACATCGATGAGCTAAAACTTGTTTTCCTGTAATTTAAAAATACTAAACTTCTTTTGAGTCTATTGTGAATTCTTATATGTTAGAAATCAACTCCCAGGATGTTAAAAGAAAAAAAAAAAGCAAGGTGCAGCTCAGGCGCCCAGGCCCAGGCAGCTCCCCGCTGCCTGCGGAGCAGAGGCGCCAGGCGTGGGGAGGTGGCCCTCCCAGGTCAGCGCTCCCCGCCTGGCCCGCCCAGGCTGGCCCCACGCCCCCACGGTGCCGCACCCCATTCCTGCCCAGCCCCTGCCCAGCCCCCGCCGGCTGCCCTCCTCGATGGGCACCTTCAGCTACCTCAGCCCTCTGCCGCCGGCCACGTCTGATCATGTCACTCTCTTCTCAAAACCCCACTGTGGCTCCTGCAGCTCTTGGCTCAGAAATTCACTCTATGTGTGTATGTGTGTGCATACCTCATATATTATAGTTGACAATCACAGAGGGGGAAAAAAAGTCAGGGTTTGTCTCACCAGATAGTAAAACTTACAACAAGTCAAATTTTAACCTTTCAGGTTTAAATAAAATAAAGCCCCTTGTGTGATCTAGGACCCCACCCTCCCTCCTCGGTGCTCCGGCCACTGGGCCCTCCATGCGCACCTCTGGCCGGGGCCCAGGAGTTCCTCCCACCCCTGCATCACTGATTCCTGTTTACCCTTCAGCCCTTGGCTCGAAGCACCACTTTCTCAGATGCTTTGCATCATCAGTGGCTGACATGGAGTAGGTGCTTGGTGTGTCTCTGAAAAATGAACACATTCACTCGGGGACCCCGCAGGACTGCCGGGCTCGGTGCTCCAAGGAAGGGCAATGTTTGCGGGGTGACGGCACAGTGTGGCTGGGGCCAGCGGCCACACCAGGCCACAGTTCCCATGGAACCCCGCCTCTGAGAGGAATGGGGGCTTCTCAAGGCTGGAGCTCCTCCCAGATTAAAGAGTGTAAAGACCAAGTTCAAGGGGCAGAACTAGGCAGCCCCCTGGAAGCCAGACTCCCAGTGCTGAGGTCGGAAAGGGCCATCTCTGGATCTCTGGGGCTGGGACGCCAGCTCACTCATGGTGCTGACAAGGCGGCCGGCCAGCTGTGCCATGGTGCGTGAGGCCCGCTGTGGGGGCGGGGGGCCGGCCCAGGCTCCCTGTGCCCATGCCTCACCTAATGGATGGCCCTTCCCCTGTGCTGTCACAGGGCGGTGGGGGCAGGGGGCCTGCATGGCCTGCCCGGGGCCTGTAGCCGGAGGTTCTACCATGCAGCTGCCAAAAAACACCCCGGTCCTGCCAGGCCATCCCATGAGTGGCGAGGAGCTAGAAAGGGACAATACAATCAGGATCCAAAAGAAGCATCACAGGGGACTGAGGAAGCTCCGGGAAGGGAACAAGCCAATAATGAACACAGCCAGATGGTGTTGACGGAGCAGAATGGGACTCACCTGCCAAAGTCGGGGGTTGGGGAGGTGGGGGCATGCAGAGGACCAGGGCCCACCCCAAACCCAACATCACCACACTGTGGGAGGTATGGTGACCACTTCGAGACAGGGCACCCCCATTCCGGCCAAGCCAGGCAGATGCGGATTCATCTGGGTCCCTGTGCTCCAACCAGGTGCCTCGGTCTTGAGGATCCAAAGGAGTTACATGGAGGGAGAGCCGGGGGGCAAGACCCAAGAATGAAGAAGGGGAGGGGCTGGTGGGGGGAGGGGCAGGGCTGGTGCAGGCCCCCGGCACCAGGGCCTGGACCTCCCAGGGAGCTGGCTCTCCGGCGGACAAACAGCGTCCTCAGCCAAGGGACGGCACACAGATGCCCGCCCAAGAGGGCACCTCCTTGAGGCCCCAGACAGGTGGCCACATGAGGGCATTCACAGAAGTGTCATCAACAACCCTGTCCCTCTTCCTTCCAGAAACCTGCTCCTCGAGCCCTAAACTTTTGTACGACAGGTGCTGTGGGGCCCCAGGGCTGGGCTTGGGGAGCTGAGGAGACTGGGCTGTTCGCGGCCCCCCGGCAAGGACAGCCCTGACATGGTAACCGTGACCCACGAACTCAGACATCATCAGCTGTCTCAGCATCTGCGCCCCGCCCGCATCACAGGCGTCACCCGGTCACCCGGCACCTGGCTCTCCCGTCGCCCCCTCACTGTCACCAGAGCCACCATCACCCCATCGCCACAGACCCCCAACCAGCACGTCCCTAGCACATGTTCCTGCCACCGGCACCCCATCAGCACCACGTCACCTCAGCTGCTTCCCATTACCATACACGGCTGTCACCCCATCACACGTGTCCCCAACGCCCCCACCACCATCAGCCTCTCCGCCGTCACCACGCACTGCTGCCCCCTCAGGGCGCACCCCCTCCGTCGCCCGTCGCTGTGCCTCCCTCCACTCACCTGCACCCATCCCCCAATTGGGTCACTACAAACCCCCGCCCTTGGCCTTTCGAATGTCAAACCCCAACCACAGTCACTTCCACCCCCAGCACAGTAAGGACACAGCTTCCCAACATAAGGACGAAAGGTCCTGGTGGTCAGACACGGTGACAGCCTCCAGGTGGCAGCTTTCATGGGGCCCCACCCCAATGACTCCTTCCCATCCCAGTCCCCGCAGCCTTCCTCCTCGCCCACCGGGACCCCCGTCACCTCCACAGGAAGATGCACCCAGCCTCCTGGTTTTACTTACCCCGGCATGTTGTCGTCCATGTCAGAGTTAAAGCTCAGCGACGAGGCCAGCTGCTCCAAGTTCTCCACGCTCTTCCTGACCGCAGCTAAACTGCAAGGAGAAAGCCGCATGATGAACAGAAACCCCCGGCACGCCAGGGACAAATGCGCCCTGCATCAGCGCGCACACAGGACGCGCACAAAAGCCCACTCAGTCCTGGGCCACAGCGGCAGCCCAGACGGCATCCTGAGACGGGGCGTCACGCACACTGCAAGGTCTCAGGCTACAATGCCAAGCCCTTCTCCAGTGCTCTTGGGACAGTCCTCAGGGCAGACCACATGAGAGGCTACAGGACAAATCTCAGCAGATTTGAAGAGACAGCTGTCATACAAAGTATCTTTTCCAACCACAATAGGATGAAGTTAGAAATCAGTAGCAGAAGATTACAATGCCTATGTTAAAAAAAAAAAAAAGAAAGAAAGAAATGCTAACAAAAACTCCTACCTTGGGAAACTATCATGGCAAGAAAAAGAAACTCCGGTGAGTTAAATGAGAAATCATAAAGGAAATTAAGAAATATGTAAAACTGAATGATAATGAAGATACTCCATGAAGATACTTCATGAAATGAAGATAATGATAATGAGTATTTGTGAAACTCAGCCCTGACGATGTGGCTCAGTGGACTGAGCGCCGGCCTGTGAACTGAAGGGTCACCAGTTCGATTCCCAGTCAGGGCACATGCCTGGGTTCCAGGCCAGGTGCCCGGTTTGGGGCTGCAAGAGGCAACCAATTGATGTTTCTCTCGCACATCAATGTTTCTCTCTCCCTGACTCCCTCCCTTCCCCTCTCTCTAAAAGTAAATAAGTAATTTTTTTAAAAATTTGCAAAATTTGCTAAAGCAGCTCTTAGAGGAAACATAACTTTAATAGTGAGATGGTATTAAAATCAAGGAGATGAGAAAAAATAGTGCAAACCCCCAAAGAAGGAAGCAAAAATAAAAGAGAACAACCACAAACAATATAAGATTAACAAAACCAAAGCTGGTAGACCTCTGGCAAGATTAACCAAGAAAAGGAGAAATGACATTAAAAAAAAAAATGCAGAATTTAAAAAAGGGGAAATAACTATAGGTACAGAGATTTTTAAAAATAACTCATTTGGATTCTGACTCGAACAAACTACCCATGAAAATACATTTTTGAAACAAATGGAGTCAACTAAAGGCAGACTAGTATTGAAAGCTATTAGTGAATTACTGTTAATTGTGCCAAATGTGTTATTGATATATAGTGGTTATATGTTTTAAAGCACTCATTTGTACTGATAAAACAAACATTTAAGGTCCTGACTGGTGTGCTTCAGTGGGTTGGCCGTCGTCCCAAAAACCAAAAGGTCGCCAGATCAATTCCCAGTCAGGGCATGTGCCTGGGTTGCCCGGTTCGGGCGTGTAAGAGGCAACGGATCAATGTTTCTTTCCCTCTCTTTCTCTCTCCCTTCCCCTCTCTCTAAAAAATATATAAATAAAATATTTTTTAAAAACACGAACATTTAAGGAGAAATGTGTATGATGTCTGGGATTTGTTTTTAAATAATCCAGAAAATTTCAAGAGTGGGGGGAGGTGTGTGGAACAGTAGTGCCAGAGTGCTGGTGAGCGAGGAAGTGGGTGATGGATACACGGAGTTTTATATTATTCTCTCTGCTTTTGTATTTAGTTGAAAATTTCCAAATCAATGTAAATCCAAATAAAATTTCAGTCCTGGCTGGTGTGGCTCAGTGGATTGAGCGCCAGCCTGCAAACCAAAGAGTCGCCGGTTCAATTCCCAGTCAGAGCACATGCCTGGGTTGTGGGCCAGGTCCCCAGTAGGGGGCGTGCAAAATGCAACCACACATTGATGTTTCTCTCTCTCCCTCTCTCTAAAAGTAAATAAATAAATAAAATCTTTAAAAAAAATAAAATAAAATTTTAAAGCAGTGGCCCTGTGCTTTAGAAGGACAACCCATAGAGCTGAGAGAATATTTTGAAACACCAGTGTTCAGGCCTTAGGGAGCAATGACAGTGGGGTGCACCCAGCTGGGATCCAGGGGTGGGAAGGCCAGGAAGAGAGATCCACCGAGGTGAGCCTGGTATCTGAGACTCTTTTTCTCCTGGGGGCACTCACCAATTTCAGAGGACAGCTGAGAGGCTGAGCAGACCTTCTGAAAGCCTCAGGTGATAAAGACTAGATCCAGAGCCCTCCAGGAGTGAGGCCCTGGTAAACCCTACTCACTTGGGCTGAGGCTCGAAATGCTGCAACCCAAGACAAGGGAGAAACAGAGTAGAAGCTCAGCTTCTCATCATCTCAGCCTCTGCAGTTAGGCAACGTGAGCCCGGAGTGCTAAAGGCACTGACAAAAGCAACATAAAACCTCCCCGGAGGAAATCCTAAGCTCCAAATTTCTACCATCAATTTACAAACACCCTGTCAGACACACAATCAGAAACGTTCAGGAATATCAGATTAGACACCCTGAAGAGAAAACAACAGAAACTACAGACAATGGCCCCAGCTGGTGTGGCTCAGCGGATTGAGTGCTGGCCTGCGAACCAAAGGGTTGCCAGTTCGATTCCCAGTCAGGACACAGGCCTGGGCTGCAGGCCAGGTCTCCCACCACAGAGAAGGACACAGCAGTGGCGGGCACCAGCCCGATGTACACCCAAGAACACGGGTGGGTTGTACAAACACTGTACTGAGTGCGAAAAGGAAGGGGATCGTTGTACCCACAAAACAATACAGACTTTGCAAGAACAGAAACAATAAAAAAAAATGGCAGACTGGTTGCCTACTGGGTGAGGGGAATGGACTGGTCATGGGAGATTAAAATAAATATATACGATGGTGGAGGGCTGGTCTTTCCAGACAATAATGACCACCTGCCGCAAGCAGAGGATGACCACCTCAGCCCTCTGTCCCTGTGGCCAAACACAGAAGAAGCAAAGAATATGGCAAAGGGAGACAGGCAGAAGACTCAGTCCGTGAGACAGTCTACACCGAAGGTGCAGTGTAAATCCACGGGCCACGCGCCCACGCACTGCACCCTCTAGGGCCCACAAGATGGTGCCCGCACAAATCACACACAACGCCCCAAGTCCATGCACGCACTGCGGGCTACACTCACATCACAGTGCCCACCCAAGGGCGTGTTGGTACAAGTGCAGACCCGAGGGTGAGCTACAGAACCAGCTAAGAAACCCGTTCGGCCCCAGGCTGGATGAGCCGGAGCCCTCCAGGGCAGGGGAGGGGCAAGGGACTAACTGGACAGGGTCCAGGGAGTCCAGCCCAGTGCACGGAACTCCAACCCCCCCACGCCCAGCCCAATGCTCTGCCACCATCTTCAGGACTGAGGGGCGGGGGCGGGGCCACTTCCCTTCCATGCACAGTCCCACGGTGACCGCTGGGGCACCCACCGGTCCTCGCAGCTTTCCTTGTTCCACACAAATTTCTTCAGTATGTCAGAGCAGCAGTACTGGTTGTAACAGGTGCCACAGCAGAAAACAGGACAGTACTTAGGGTGGAGGTCGTATCCACTGGAATCCACACACACCTCACCGTGGGCTGGAGTGGAGAAACACTTGTTCGCCTGCAGCCATGAGGAAGCCTCATGCCGGGCCTCAGCCATGTCCCAGTGAACACGGCCAGCAGGCACGGGCGGCTGGGCCACCCCTGGCCACCCCCACCCAACCAGCCCTGCCTTCTCTCCCAGGCCACAGCAGATACACCTAACGGGGATCCCTCTTTCCCCACCGGCCCACTCGCCTTCCGATGGGAGAATGAGCTTCCTAACGGTGAGTCTGGCTGGGCCAGTCCCTGCTCTCAGACCACCCCTGGTTCACACTGTCTCAGGATCAAGTCCACAGTCCACAAAGCAGGGTCCTGACTGCACAGGGCCTTGAAGGCCACCCCAGCTTTCCAGGCCTACGCACGCTCTGCCCAATTCTTGGCTGTTTCCCATCCCCCACCTTCAAATCTACTCATCCCTTAAGGCCGCACCCCAGGCTACTGCCTCCAGAAGCTGCCCAAGCCCAGCGGCCACACAGCTGACCAGGGACATCCCTGGCCAGCCATTGCGGACCGGGTGCCGCACTGGCCAATTCTCGATCCTCTTTCCCTCTCCCCGCCCCTTGGCCACAGAAGCCTCAGCCCCCGCTGGACTCCACAGCTGCAGGGGCCCAGCCCTGACCACGCCCTCAGGGCAGGCTGTCTCCTGCCCAACTCGCCTTCACCGCCGTCACACCTACAAAACTGTCCGTGCGGCACTTAGTCCCACCCAGGGCCCCCAGCAGGTGCCTCGGAAAGGTCTGTGCCCTCAGTGGCCAGGGCTCCAGGGCAGCGGCAGCACTTCAAGTCCCAGAACCACCACAAGGCTCTCAGCCACCGAGCTGGGATCTAAGGACATCCGCACAGGCTGCGGTGAGTGCAGAGCCTCAGGACACAGGGTCACGCTGAGGGGACCTGACGGACAAGTGTAGAAAATGACCCAGGGCTTTGGGTGACCACAAGGTTTGCAAACTTCCAGGAAGATGCTACAGCCATGTCCCCACACACTCTTAAGCTACCTTATCAGACAACTAGTGCCCAATAGCAGGACAGAACGGTCCAGGGTTCTGCCTGGACAGGCCCCAGATGGGTCTCCAGAGAGCCAGCCCGGCCAGTGCATCACGTTCCCCGGGCCATTGGCCAAGCGAGGTCCGTTCAGTGACCCTGAGAAGAAAGAGCTAGGAACGGGGTGGAAATGGGGAGATACTTTGTCCTTGGCAGCTCCAGCAGAGCCCTGCTCTGGCAAAACTGTGGGGCAGAGGATGGGACCCCCAACAGGCCCACCCCCAGCCAGCTGTCCACACGGCAGCAGGTCTGCTCAGCTCAGCTCAGCCCAAGCTGCTGGGTAGCTGGGGTGACCCCCCACCACCTCCAGAGAGTCGTCACTGCCATTGGTGCCACGGCTCGCGAGCCTCTAAGCCGGAGCTGAAGACAAACACCCGTGACTCTGTTTGGGCCAAAAAGTCACAACACAACTGTTCTTTGACCCTCACACACTCTGGACAGGCTGCCCAAGGCTCCCCAGACCTCACTGGACCAGGGACCAGAGCTCTGCCTGCTCCCGTTCCCACCCCAGGTCCTCCAGGGTCCACCTAGGCCCGGGAAATAAGGCCCTTCCTCTTGAGGAAGCCACCCACCCAGGGGGATCCTTGGCGTCCTACGCCTGGTGGTGGGGAAGCATTGCTCCAATTCCTAACCCGAAAAGGCCCCCAGCCTGGGCTCCCCATCTGTGAACCATCCTCTCTGACCAATCAAGACCCTGACCCTGGCCCAGGTTGCGGGTCTGATCTCCAGACAGGAGACAAGCATCAACCAATGAATGCATAAATGAGCGGAATAAATCAATGTTCCTCTTTCTTCCGTCCTCCCTTCCTCTGTCTAAAATCAATCTTTAAAAGTTTACAACCAACCAATCCGCACAGGTAGCTGTCTCCTCCAACCCCATTGGGCCACCTCAGCTGTTTCCAGGACCGCAGGGGCCTTGCAGACAGAGGCTGGGGGGTCCCAGCCAGTAAACAGAGGCAAAGGGAAGGCCTGGATGGAGGGGCCAGGCCTCGGAGCAGCCGACCCCAGGCTACGGCTGACCCAATCCCTAGGACCATCACAGGGACGATAGATACCCGCCCCCGCCCCCCAATTCCAGGACAGAACCAGGGTGGCAGCTGTGTGGGGTCTGGGCGATGCCATTCCAGGCGGGGAGCGGCAGGGAGGAGGCAGGGAGTGGCAGGGAGGTCAGTCCCAGGGGTTTGCTAACTGCCTGGGTCATGGGGGGCGGGGCCCTGCGGGGACCGACGCGGCCCCCCGCCGGGCGAGAGCCCCGACCCCAAAGGCTCACCCCCGGGGGGCGGTGGCAGCAGCAGCAGCAGCAGCAGCAAGACCAGGAGGAACAGGTTCCGCGGGGCAGAGGCCGGCGCGGCCATGGCTGGGCAGGCGGGCGGACGGACACGCAGGCGGACGGAAGGGTCGCCGTGCAGCCGCCGCCTCCGCGACCTGAGCCTGAGCCGGCAGCCGCCTCTTCGCCCCGCCCCGGCGGGCTCCGAGAATCCAGGCCGGGAGGAAGAAGAAGGAAAAGGAAGAGGAGGAGGAGGAGGAGGAGGAGGAGGAGGAGGAGGAGGAGGAGGAGGAGGAGGAGGAGGAGCAGGAGGGGGCAGGGAGGGGACGCGGGCGTCCTCCGGCCCCACGCAGCCCGCGGCCGCACGACCCCGGGGACCCAGGCGCTGGTCTTCTGCGCTCGGGGGACCTCTCAGCCCCGAAGCGGGGAACCTCCGCGGGGATGTGCGACCACGGCCGGGCGCCTGCTGGGCGCCGCCGGAGGCCGGCTAGGCCCCCGGCCCGCCACGTGCCCAGCGGATCTTCACGCTCCTCTCGTGGGAACAGGTGGTGCGGCGACAGTCCCCAGGGCAGAGCTCGACACACAGTAGGCGCCCAGCTAATTAATGTCGGGTCCCCTCTGGAAGTCTAGGCTTCCGGGGACCAAAGCTTTGTGGACACACAGCCCCCCCGGGCCCTGGGGTGACACCTTTGTCCCTGTGGTCCCCGGACCCCCAGTCCAGGCAGGCACGGCCCTTGCTCTGGGCGAGCCTGGCTCGGGGGCCTGGTCCCAGGAACAGCCAACTGGCCGCTCCCAGGCTCGCTCAGGGCCCCGGGAGGCTGGCCAGCCCACGTCCCTCTCTGCCCCCAGAGAAGGTGTTCTGCATAAGACACCCTGGGTGCAGCCATGGCTAACGGTAGCGGTGGCCTTGCCATGCGATGTGTCAGTGGGTTCCGTCTGCTAGAAAAATCATCAGACTCGAGGCTTATGAATCACATTCCTCGTAGCCCTGCAGACTGGGAAGGCCAAGCCCACGGTGCCGGCAGGGCTTGTGTCTGATGAGTCAGCCTCCTGGTTTGTTCGTGGCCCCCCTTGCCCTGTGTTCTCTGGGTCCTCTAGAATACGGGCTCCAATTCCCTCCACGAGTGCTCCACCGCCTCCATCGAATCAGCTCCCAAAAGCCCTGCCTCCAAATACCATCGCTTTGGGGATAGGACTTCAGCATTTGTATTTTGGGAGGACACAAACATTCAGCCTTTTTTGCCCAGAGTTAGCATTTTTTGCACCTGACACATGCACTTTATTTCAGCAGAAAACAGGAAATGTCACACTAACTGGGCACATACCACACATTTCTCACCCGAGGGCAGGGGGAGCCGGTGTCAGAGACCTGAGGGGACAACACAGGATGTCCTCACAGCAGTTCCCCACGCTGGGGTGGGAGTGGGGGCTGGGGTCCTCCCTAAGTCCCCACCTGGCAGGGAAGGGCACAAAACAAAATTCAGCCAAGGAAACCTGAAGGTCTTGTTGGCTCTGAATAAGCAATTCAATACTAGGGTGCGCCTAGGGGGGTCTACAAAGCTTTTCTAGGAAGACAAGTGGGATGAGGCAGCTCGTCACAAAAGAGAAAGGATTGCTCTTAGCCCCTGACAGCAAAAGAGGAGGGAAGGGAAGGGCTTTTAGCAAGCGGCCTGCCTCTTCTTTTTAGGGGCATGGAGAGGGCCCAGGGGCAGATGGCCTCATGGGTGTCCACCAGAAAATGCCGCACCAGCTGATTACATCTCTGATACCGGGTGAAACTGCAGTAACATCAGGTGTTAACGGAGGTGTGGCGTCATGGGCTTTTCACTCGAGGGAAGCCATTTTGGACCTGTGAAGTTTTTTTCCTCTATAACAACACAGCAGGTGGGAGCAGAGGCCTGACAGTCCCCAGGCAGGATGACAGGCCCTAGCTGACACAGCCCAGACCCGTCCAGCTCAGCTGCCTCTGCCCCTCAGCTCAGTGGAAGGAAGGGTGGAAGGAAGGAAGGAGCCCCATTCAGCCCACTGACCACTTTCCCCGCGCCGGCCCCGGAGTCACTTCAGCAGGGGGTGGGCTGCTCGGGCCCAGTCCTCCGTGTGTGCCCCTCCCCCAGCCTCTCAGCACTCACCGTGCGGGGCCGCAGCTGCTGCACATCCACCGCCCTGCCAACCCTGTCACCTCGAGTTCAGGCGCCCTTAGTAGGAGCTTGTCCCCAATTGGCTTCCACCTCCACCCTCTGCCTCACCCCGTCCGGGGGATCTGTCTTCCTGGGCTTTTCGTATTTAGTCACCAGAAGGCAGCCCCAGGGGGCAAGAGAGAGGGAGGAGAGGGCAGGGGTAGGGCTGTTCTCTCTCCGCTCCTTCCGGAAGCTCCTGAAGGCAGTCACGCAACCCACTCCACCCTGCATCCACACCCGCCTGTTGCGACACCTCTCAACTGTGTCCCTTTTTTCAGGGGTATCTGCTGAGAATGCTCAGGGTACTAGTTTCCTGTGCCCAATGCTCCAAAAGAAAGGCCAGCTTTCAATACATCAGAGTTTTGGAGCAAGGAAAGTTTTATTGCTGCAGAAGGCCGAGCTCCACCAGATGGGAGAACTAATTCTTAAATCCATCTCACAAGAGCCCAAAATTCAGGCGTCTTCTATATCGGGAAGCAGCAGAGAGGCGGCTGGGGACGGTGGACCACCAGACGCTGCAAAGGGGTCCAAGTGTTAACGGGGCACAGCCAGGGCCCCCCAAAGGGGGGATTTCTAACTGGGTGTGTCCAAGAAAAATATAGGATATTCTTCCACCCATCCCAGAAGGGAGGCCGCCGTGAGGGATGGGAGACAAGGAGCAGGGCCATTGAGAGTCATTTTGCATGTCCATGGCAGCATCATAGCTTCATTCCTCACATGCAAAGATGGTCACTTTGCATATCAGCAAGGCTAATCAGGAAGGCTGGCACCATTTTAACCCAGGATAACTGGCAGGCAGCCCCCGCACCCCCCCCCCCCCACCGTTACAGCGTGCTTGCATGAGAGGTCAGAGAGCGTTCGCCCCCTGCCACCAGGGAACAATGTGAAGACCGTGCGGGAAGGAAGGGGGAGAGAGGACCCTTGCTAGTGGGTCGTGAGAAGGTGCCACGTGGGTTTGGATTAAGAACTGGAGATTTTAGCGACACAGCTGGTGGTGCTGGGAACCGCGAGAGGCCTGCCCAGCCGGGCTCCAGACTTCCGTTTTCTTCTCAAGGGCGATTTGCTGATACGTAACTCTTTACATGTGCCAGCAAGAAGAATGTGGTCTCCCGTCAACACAAGTAAAACTTCAAAATTCCTAATGGTCAACCATCCCCCTCACAGACTTCGGTTCTGAAGTCATTACTTTGTGCATATTCCCCCCGCCCGCACGCCTGCCAAGCGGGGACCCAGTAGTTAGTTAGCTACTACAGCAGGGGCTACAGCCTGAAGGCCAGTACCCAGCTTGGTAAAAAAGGCTTTTTTTTTTTTCCAGCTAAAACTTTACATACAGCCTGGAGCCAAGCTATAGAGAATTTCTGCACGAGGCCGGCAGGTCGCAGCAACTCCCAATGGTGCCCAGAAAGCCCAGTGCCGGGCAGGGCGTGGGGGCAGGGCGTGGGTGAGCGCTAACACAGACCCCTGTGAGGCCCCTTGCCATCCTTCTGCGCCGAGAACCTGGGCTCCTCTCCGTGTCTCAGGAGGCCAAAATGCCACACAGTCACTTCCCCAAGGGCTGGTGCCCTCCCTGGAGTTGGACCGGAGCCCGTGACCAGCCGCAAGATAACGTATTCCGCAGTGTCTGGGGCAACGGTGACCCTCAGCGAGCCCTGGTCATGGAAGAGGGACCAGGACTGAGGCAGGTCTGCCCCTGGCACGGCCTGGACTGTGTAAACCATTTGCTCCTAAGGGTCCTCCATTAGGGAGGATAAGCCCTTGTGTCTAAGTTTCCCTCTTTCACTTGCCAAGGGACTTCCTTAGCTTCTGCCTCGCCTCACCCTGCTCGCCCCGGGGCAGCGGCCGTGGCTGCTCAGCAGGCCAAGCAGGACTCGACTTGGGCTCGAGGTGAGGTTGTACGTCCTCGGAGTCTTGCCCTTCAGCCCCCTCTTCCTAAATTCTGCTTCTGGTTGAAGTGGGTGGAGTCAAGTTTCCTCCCACTGATGAAGCTGCAACCAGGAATGGCAGTAGCTGACCACGGTAATGGGCATGCGCCAGGGTGTCCCTAGTTGGAGCTAAAGGGAGCAGGAATCTGACCAGGATAAAGGGCAGAGCCCTGGCAACCCTGGAAGGCTGAGGGGATGGCTAGTAAAGCCACCCCTGGTGGGGCAGCAGAAAAAAATGTTCAGAGTTGTTCTTTGTCCTTCCTTCCAGGCTCCAGAGCTTGGAATTTACTGTCTTTTAGGTGCTAATGAGATGACTCCAGGTGGGGGAATTCATCCCCCCCTCCTCCTGCCCCCAATAGCTTCAGGATGGAGCCGTCAGAAAAACCAGGCCGTGAATGGAGGGTTGGAACATTCAGCCCCACCCCTAACCGGGGGTTCAGTTCCGTGATTGACTGCTATCGCCAAAGGCTAGTGATTTAATCAGTCATACCTGTGTAATGAAACCTCCATAAAATCCCCTGAACGGTGCAGTTCAGGTAGTTTCCGGGGCTGTGGACAGGGCGAGGTGCTGGGCAGGGTGGAAGCTCTGAGCCCCCCTTTCCCAGCCCGGGGCATCTTTCCATAAAGTGGTAACTGTAAATAAGGGGTTCCCCCAAATTGTGAGGTCCGGCAAATTATCAAAGCTGGAGAGGGGGTTTAGGAACTCCCGGTTTATAGCAAGAGGTCAGAAGTTACCAGTGGTCTCTTGGGACTTGGGACTGGCACCTGAGGTGGGCAGAGTCCTGAGGGGCTGAGCCCCGAACTTGTGGGGTCTACACAAACTCATGAGTTGGTGTCAGAATTGAGTTGAGCCCTTCCTGGGTAGCTCAATTGGTCAGAGCACCATCGCCTGACACGCCAGGGTTTCGGGTGTGATCTTCGGCCAGGGCACAGACAAGAAGTAAACAAGGAATGCATGAAGAAGTGGACCAACAAATCGGTGTTGCTCTCCCCCCACCACCTCGTTCCCTGCCGGCGCCTGGCCCTCAG